GGTACCGGAGACACAAGCTAACGGGGCAGCGGATGATGCGGAAGATGAGCTTGCAGGCATGGGATCCGGCTCGGACGACGAACTCAACAAGTCGGCTTCGAGAGCTAAAACAACCAAAGAGGCGGCAAAGAAGACGGAGAAGGTGGGAACGGTCAAGAAGGCCGTGAGAAAGGTGAACGAGATGGCGCACACAAACTTCCGTCGGTTGAAGCTGAAGAACAACGGCGCGAAGGGCGGGCCGGGTTACAACAGCAAGTTCCGGCGCCGGCGCTAAGACAAGGGTGTTTTTTCTTTCTTTCTCTTTTCTCCGGGTTGCATTGGAAGGCGTTTGTTTGCATGGAAAGCGATATCCCCTATTACGGTGTTGATGAGATAATGCCCAATACATCCTTGTCACGGACTACTGCTGCTCCTAGCACTCTTTGTTTGCTCATTGACTCTCCCGGGTATAATAACATAAAAAACAGAGGCAGCCCCCCCAAGATGTGTACACTATGTTCCCCAAATGCACCCCTCAAGACGACCCCGGAGGCGCCGCAGCAGGACGAGGAGGTAAAAGGTCGCAAAGTCGCAGCTGATGGACACCATTAGCCACGACAGGCACGCCGAGAAGGCCACGCGGTTCACGAGAAGCCGGTCCTCGTCGACCACGGCGTCCGCCGGAATCTCGCCGTCCTTCTCTGACAGCCACTCCGTCTCGTCCCAGACGGCCCCGGCCCCGGCTCCGCCCCCGACGTGGCACATGTCCAGCTCCACGAACTTGCTGATCAGGTCGTGGCCGCGGCTGATTTGCCACTGCACCCTCCCCAGGCACCAGTACGGTGGGCCGCCGTCGTCGTCGCTGCCGCCGCCCCGGGCCACGGGCATGGTCCTCTCCCCCCTGCGGACCGCGGGTGGGGTGGACGTCTCGATCTTTCCCCTGTATCCCGCGCACCCGTTTTCGATGGCCGCCAGCAGCCAGACGAGCGTGACATGGTCCCGGAGCAGCGCCCACGCCCAGCAGAAGGCGAGGGTGGCCTGTAGCAGCATGTTCCCCACGACATCTCGCGTCCCCAGCCCGCGCAGCTGGGCACCGCAGCAGTTCCTTAGCGCCTGCTGCCGATTGAGGATCTCGCGGTAGGACCGCAGCCGCGGGGGCGGCGTCCGGTACGAGTACGAGCACCACCTGTCGGCGCTCTCCTGCGCGTGGTCCACCTGGTGCCACCGCTCCTCCCGGAAGGCGTCCAAGAAGCAGCGGAGGCCCTCGCAGACGGTCCACGCGAGCGGTACCGCATCGTAGAGCTTCTCCTCGAAGAAGCTCGACAGTCCGGGCGCCATCATGGCGTAGAGCAAGAAGCCGATGATGTCGCTGACGAGGAGGTTCGGTACGAGGCGCGGTCCGGGAAGGATTCTCGTCATGTCGAATTGGAACTCCCTGATGCGGCGGCCCAGGCCGAACGCTGGCGGTGCTTCCGAGGGCTTCGGCGGCGGCGGCGACGACGGCTGCGTTGGAGCTTCCATGCTTGCTCGCGTTGGTGATGGGAAATCTCGTTGTCTCGAAAGCCGGCCTGGCTACCCGCGAGTTTCGGCGGCGCGTGGGATACTGGCCCTTCTTCACATGCCGCGCCTTGTTTATCACACGCCCGTCGCCGTCACGGCTGAGGAGATAATAAGCTTATGCTTGGGACGCACCGGGTCCTTAAGATGCGCTGGCAGGATTTTGGGGAGTTTCCAAAGGGCTGATGTTAGTTCTCGCAGACTGCGTCGCGTCTGATGTAAGACGGCGCCAACGCGTAAGCGCTTGACCCGATCTCTTTGTCGCCTCCGCTGATCCATGCTTATCGAGCGAATCTGTTTGGCGCAGCGAAAAAAAGAGGTCTATCCGTTATGCATTCCCTGGGATTTGTCTGGCCAGAGCGAGTGTTGCGATTTCGCATTGTGATGCTTGGCCGTGCGTGACTGACCAGCCACGTCGGCATATGACCATCCTCATTAACCTCCACTGACGTTCTGGCTTATCCCCCCCGACATACACACGGGCTTGTACTCCAAGGTTGGCTGAATAATGCCCTATGTTTTAAGAGTTGGGCTCTCCATCTTCATCTAGCAACCGTTCGGTCTGTACAGCATACGGTAATAGCAATCACGAAACGGACCACGGCCGTCGTTTTTTGCCGCAGACTAGATACATACAGTCAGAAACACTGGCACCGGCGTCCTCCCGTACTCACTACTCTTCGATACATGATTAAGTCTAATTTAATTGAACCAAGACTACTGCACTTCTCGGGGCGCTTCAATCATCGTCACGATGGGGACTTTCTCGGTCTCTGCCCCATTCGCTACTGGTGGTGGTGGTGGTGGTGGTGGTGCGTGAGTGCCCTTGTCCCCCTGCGCCACCACGCCACTCGCCGACAGCTTTGCCTGCTCAAGCTCCTCTTTTGCTTTGGCATTTAACCTCTCCCACATCCTCTTCCTCAACTCAAGGCCATCGAGGAAGACCTGGAGCCATGACGGGTCGTACGGCGGCAACGCCCTGCCGACGCCGTTCTCCGGTTCGCCGGCCAGCGCCCGCACCGTCTCAAAGTACTCCTCAAAGTGCGGGTACACGAGCGAGAACTTGATGTCGTCGCCCTTCTCGGCCACGCGGTCCGCCTCCCACCTCGCCTGGTCCTCGGCCGGCGGCAGCCTCGCCCTTCCGGCCAGCACGCGCGCCGCGAGGACGGCCTGCCACTCGAAGATCTTGAATGTCAGGCCCGCCGCCACTGCGCCGACGAAGACCAGGGTCGGGTCGCGGCGGTACACGACGTGCTGGTACAAGCCCGGGACGCGGTTGTTGCGCACCTCGACTGAGGGTAGGAACGGCAGTGTCCATGTGAAGCCCGTGGCAAGCACGATGTTGTCGACGTCGGCGACGGAGGTGCCGTCTGAGAAGCGCACCGTCCGGCCGTCGATGCGGGAGATGGTGGCGCGGCGTGAGATTCGGGGGTGGTTGAATGCGCCGTCGCCAAAGTAGAGGTTTGCCCTGCGGCCGTTCACGACCGAGTAGACGGGGAGCTTTGCGGTGTTGACGAGGTCGACCGAGATGTCGGCTCCGGAGACGGAGGCGCCCACAACAACGACGCGCTGGGCAACAGTCAGCCTAATGGCATACGGGATCCATCTGTGAGCAAGTCGCATACCTTGTCACGGAACTGGTCTCGTCCGCGAAAGTGCTTGCTGTGAATCACGCTCCCCGGGCGAGCCTTTTCAAACTCCTCGAGCCCTTCGATGTGGGGGATGTAAGGCACCCAGTAATGGCCCGTGGCAACAACCACAGCATCAAAATACTCAACCCACCACTCATCCGCCTCCTCGCCCTCCCTCCTCAACGTCAGCTTCCACTCGTCCCCAACCTTCTCGGCCAGCTCCACCGTCGTGCTGTACGAGACGAAATCCTGGTACCCATTGCGGTTCACGAGTCCCTGTACAAAGTCCCGGACGACGGTCCAGTGGCGGAAGGGCGTTTCGGGCCCGTGCAGGGCGATGGAGTTCTCCGTGCGCCGCTCGGGGATGGACTCCTCGGAGAAGGACATGGGAATGGCGTCGACGTTGGTCTCAAGGTAGGGGTAGATGCCAGATTCGGTAAAGCGCGGCGGCGAGGGCGTCTGCAGTTTCGGGGTTCGGGCCGGGAGGGTCTCCGGGATCGGGACCGGGCGGTCGGCGGTGCGGGATGCGAGGGCGGGGAGATCGGTGAGGTGCGGCGGAGGGGTTTGGTCGCCAACCCTGGGGGATCGGTTGGTCAGTGCATGTTACGGTTGGTTGTTTGGCCACAAGTCCCGCCCCATCTCGTCCAATTGCTGTCATCCCATATCTTGATGTACATGATTGCACTGTTCACCTCATCTCTTCCAAATCCAAGTGGACCAAGTTTCTCGGAGGCTCCAGGCGGTGTACATTCACCAAATCAGATGCAGGCCATCCAGGTGCCCATATGTTTCTGGTTCCGTATACATACGCCCCCAATTGTGAAGAGGCGCCGACTGGGATCTCGAACCATCAAGGTACCCAGTGATCAAGTCATATGAGTTCGACGTCTCCCCGCGTCGCATTGGATTGGAGGGAAAGAAAAAACACGACGAATGAAAACCTGAAGAAGGGGGGAAAACTCACCAGCAACCGCCCGCGGCTTCTCGGCGCTCGAACACTCGGATGACGTCGAAGGTCTTCTCGCGGGCCAGGGCATCGATGGTGATGGACCCGCCCGGCCCCGCGCCGATGACTGCGACTCTCTTGATTGCGCCCATGTTTCCGGCTCAACTTGTGACAGGTCAACGAGAACACGCGGAAGAGCGTTGTGAGAGAAAGAAGATAATAAAGGTCGGGAGAGAGGAAACAAGAGAAATAGAATTGGCAGCACCAGTCGCTTTGCGCAGACGGTCCCCGAGAGCTTGGACTTGGTCCCGGCTGGCAACGGCGAGAGAGCGCGTGGAGGGGACCCCGCTGATATCTCCCAAGAGATGGACCAATCGCGTACCTGTAAGCTGCCTGACGGGGTAGTCGTGCAGGGATGCACCGCAGAATTACAGAGGGAGACGCTCCTCTGGCCAGGGGTCCGCTGTGTCTGGAATCGTGAAGGGGCGGATTTGATCATCTTAGCGTCCGATGGCGTTATCGGATTCACTGGAGTTCTTATCGATAAGGGTTGGGTGTGTATGTGAGGCCATCCAGGTTCCATGTCGGTTGTATCATGGCGCACGTCTTTCTTGGACCCTGTATTTTTTTATTTTATTTTTCTTGTTCGAAAGATGGACAAGACGGGCGAGCTGCATTGGTTCAGCTCTGAATACCAGATGATCAACTCGACAACCGACGGGGGCAAGGGGGTGAGGGCTGGGCTGCCATCGTGAGGGTCTGGCGGGGGGACCTGGATGGCCGACGATAAAAGTGAAAAGTAGTTGGAGAGGACGGTCATTTGGCCTGGGTCGGATCGTTTGTTTTGTTCACTTCATCGCAGACTACCGACGTGATCGACAACAGCCATGGATTCCCGGGCCGACGACAAGATGGTGTGTGACACCCCAACGGACCGCTCCGTCGTCGCGTCCGAAGACAAGCCCGAGTGGGATACCGAACAAGAGCAGAAGGCTAAGAGGAAGTATGTATACACATTATTCACCCATCATCTCATAGATATACAGGGACGGTCTGTAGAGGATGAAGCTTACCGGGTTCCAGAGTCGACCTCACCGTCCTCCCGCTCCTTGTCCTGGGCCTGCTCATGTTCCAGCTTGACCGCATGAACCTCGCCAGCGCCCTCACCGCCGGGTTTGCAAAGGACATCGATGTCAGCCAGGATACCATCAACCTCGGGAACCAGCTCATGTTCATGGGCACCGTCGTGCTGGAGATTCCGTGCAACCTGCTTCTGCAATGGGTGCGTTCTCGCCAAGCGTTTGCGATGGCGCCTCGCTTCCTCAACTCAGTCATCACTCCATCTGATGCGTCTTCGTTCGCTAGTCTAACCGCATAAACGACAACAGTTCGGGCCCCGGAAATGGATCTCCCTCCAGGTTCTCCTCTTCGGCCTCGTCGGCACCCTCCAAGTCCTCGTCAAGAACCGCGCCGGCTTCCTCGCCGTCCGCCTCATGCTCGGCCTCACCGAGGCGGGCTACATCCCAGGGTCCATTTACACCCTCTCGACCTGGTACACTAAGCGCGAGCTGGCGAAGCGCATCGCCGTCTTCATGTTTGGGCAGTTTGGCGGCAACGCCCTGAGCCCCCTGGTCGCGTCGGGAATCCTGAAGCTGGCGGGCAAGGGAGGGTTGGCGGGGTGGCAGTGGCTTTTCTTGAGTGCGAACAACCCCTCCTGTTTATAATCAGCTCTGTTTCCGGTGTTCCTACTGTGTGGCTGACAGGCAGATGCAGTCGAGGGCCTCGTGACGCTCGTCGTGGCGCTAATGCTCATCTTTCTCCTCCCAGGGTCCCCCGACATGCCGAAGCCGCTGGCAAGCGCGGGCATCGTCCGCTTCACGGCTGACCAACAAGAAATACTCCAGAAGAGGATGGAAGTTGACGAATCCGGAAGCAGGCGCGGCGCTCGCGGCATCGAGATCCCCTGGGCTCTTGTCTGGAAGACTGTCAAGCATTACAAGCGGTGGCCGCACTACGTGTCCACCTTCTGCGTCTTTTCGACATGGTCGCCATTGACGACCTACACCCCCTCGATCATCATGGCCCTTGGCTTCGACCGAACCAGCGCAAACGCCCTCGCCGCGGTGGGCGCCTCCCTCGCCATGGCTGTCGTCTTCGCATTCGCTACGCTGAGCGACCGGACAAACAAGAGGGGAGCGACAGTCATACTGGGACATATCTGCTACCTGACCATCTTGGTGGTGACTCGAAGCCTCCATCCGCACGTAGGAAAGTGGTCGAGATGGGGGCTGTGGACAATGATCAACGCCTTTGCCGTCTGCTACCATCCAGCACACAACACCTGGCTGCAGGTCAACTGCCGTGACCCTGGCGAGCGAAGTATTGAAATCGCGTGAGTCACTGCCATCATACGGCGTGCAAAGACTGGACAATGCTGACGGGTGTGTTAAGCATGTGGGTGATGTCCGCCATCAGTGGCTTGATGGTCGGCTCGCAGTATTTCAGGGGCAACGACCTGCCGTTGTAAGTGCCCCTCCCTTTCGCTGTTCTCTTCAGGATTAATCGTCGGAAGAACACATGAAGCTAACAGAAACGAAAGCTACGATAAAGGTCTCCTCACTATGATAATAATGGTGTCGGTGGGCATGGCGGCTGCTCTTTTTCAAGAATCTGTATATTTCGTGCACAACCGGCGCGTATCCCAGGGCAAAAACAGGCCCAGAGACGGTTCTGAGCCGTACGTGTACGTCTTTTGATTGAGGGGGAGCATCATGATTCATGACAGGGCGAGGCCGGTCGTCAGGAGGAGGGCGTCAGGAAGAGGAGCCGAGAGCATTTGTGCAATAGTTGGAGAAAGTCTTGGTGGTAACAACTACTGACCGCCGCGAAATTGGGTCTGATATGACAAGACGATGTGCCGACGACTTATCGAGTGTCTCGGCGTATGCTGCGTCTACTGCAGAACACATGGAAACTACGCAGATCAAGAGCTGCTGTAAATCGACAAGCTCTGTTTATGTTTATGCAGTATCGCTCCAGTTAAACCAAGTGATAAAAAGCAGTGACGCACATACACACAGCAGGCACTGGCGGCACACATGGCCGTTTGTGGGATTGGTAGGCATGAGAGTACTCACATTGGTCCATCCCGGAGAGATATAACCATCGAGACTTGACCTTTCGGCATTCGAACGCAACCTTGACAGGAAAATGTGCATTATAATTAGATGCGTATGCGCTTAAAATACAACAGCATGTTCAAAGCCGAGTGCTCCTCTCTAGTGAGTATGGCCGTGGTCATGAACGTGCTCGTCAGCGCGCTTGTTGAAATCCCGCTTCCCGACCCAGGCCGTGCCGTTCGCGCGCAGCAGCCTCGTGACCTCGTCCATGTCAACGCCGAGGGCCTTCTCAATGTACCTTGGCAGCTCCGTATTGTCCCAGTTGCCCGCCATGTCCGCCTTGATCGCCCGCCCATTCTCGCCGGCGCCGTAGCCGTACAGGGTGATGTCAGACGCGGTGTGGCCGCCCGTGGACCAGTGGACGCCGGCGCGGCTGGCGAGCAGGTTGCCCAGCTCCATGTCGAGCGAGCCCGCGTCGAGGAGCGTGTTCACTTCGGCGTCCGTGGCGTCGCTGAGCCCGTACTCGGGTAGGATCTCGCTGACCAGGAAGGCCTTCTTGTCGGAACCGGTGTACGCATCCCAGACCTCCATCAGGAATTCAGTCGAGGCGTTGACCTTGGACAGCGGCAGCGGGTTGAAGCCGTTGAGCGTCAGACCGCCGCACTCGTGGTCCGCCGCTGACATGAGCATGGTGTCCGGGTGTTCGTCTATCCACTCCCGCACGAAGCCAATGACCTCATTGTAGTGGATCGTATCAAAGAGGTGCGCCGCCGGGTCGTTGGCGTGGCCGGCGTGGTCTATGCGCGAGGCCTCGATCATGAGGAAATAGCCCTTTTCCTTGGAATGCGTGGCGCGGTGGAGGGAGTTGAGAGCCGTCTCTACCATTTCTAGGAGAGAAGGCTCCTGCTGGGACTGGCGGGAGCGATCGATTTCGTACATCATTTGATCTGTGGGGCTTGTCAGTTCCGTTCTTGGCGCAAGAGAAAGAGAAACACAGATTATTGGCAGACTTACCGTCGTTGAACAGACCGATGTAGGGGATGCGGACGTCCCCCAGCCCCTTGTCGAGGGCGTCAAAGGCCGAGCGGTTCTGCATGACGTGGTAGCCGTTCTCCGCGGCGAAGGCGAACAGATCGATGCCGTCTCTGCGGCAGGAGGTAGAATCGGACTGCGGTTTGAAGTAGCACCGGCCGCCACCGAGAAGAATGTCGGCGACGGGGCCGAGAGGGTGGCCGTAGCCGATCTCGTGCTCGGCGATCTTTGCGTACGAGTTGCGATCGGCAACGTGGGCCGCATAGCCTTTTGATACCTGTCAGTCGCATATATCCTGTGAATGGCGACTGGATTCATACTACTCACAAGCAGGGGTGGCGTGGTTGATGGTGCTGGTGACGACCAGCCCCGTCTTCATGCCTGCAAGCTTGGCGGCCTCGAGGATGGAGCCTACTGGTTCGCCGGCCGGGTTGACACCGATAGCTGGCCAATGTCAGTCACTGATCGGCAGATGTGCCTCCGAAGTGTGCTACCGTTGTTGTATGACTTGACACCACATCCGAAAGCAGTCGCAGAGGCAGCCGAGTCCGTGATGAGGTTGTTGCTCGCAAGAGTACGAACGTTGCCAATGACCTATTGCAACCATCAGCACAGGAACAATGGCGAGTCAAAGCCTAGTATCGTACCATCTTGTCGGCTGCGAGCTGGATGCTCACGGGAGCCCCCGGGTTCTGGCCATTCTGCATCAAGGAGACGTAGTCCCGCGCCATGGTCTGGGAGGCGGGGCCGTACCCATCGGGGACGATGTAGATGAAGTTCTTGACATTGGGAGCCGAGATGGCCGACTGGGCCAAAGTTGCAACGACAACGGCTGAGGAGCGCATCTTGAGACTAGAGAGCGACAAAGACGCGAGCTCGGATGTGGTGAAGATCCCGAGGGCAACCATCAAGAAAGCAGCAAATTTTCTCGGCCATGTATATATACCCCAAGGTCGAAAGATCTTGGCTTCGTTCCCGCAGCGCCATTATTTTGCCTTGCTCTGGGCTGCCTGCAACCGTTCATTGCGGCGTATCCTATGCACCACTTGGCAATGACGAATCACATTTGATAGTGTCTCTGAGGTTTGGTGTAAGGATTCGCGTTACGTCGTTCCTAGCACGATAAGGACTTCCACATTGTCGGTAGCTTTAGAACCAGTCTACAAGGATAAAAGGCTCATTTGAACCTCCAAGGGAGCACTACGAACCGATGCGTGTCACCTGGTGCAGTTGTTCGGGAGTGTGCCTGAGAGCCAAGCCACTTCGCAACCCGGGGTGCGGCTTGGCAACGGACAATTGTTCCCCAGTCGCCCCAATGGATGCCACGGAATGAGCAACGTGCTCCCCGAAGTGACGACAGGGAAGCATATTTCAACGTCGTTGAACCCCCGTCTGTACCTTGGCCCATGGGACGAGAGGGGAAGGTGACACGGCCAGTGCAGCCCACGTGTGTGGGTAATCATTGATAGGTAGTCTGATACATTTGAACACATGAGAAGCGAGCTCGCATACGGGCGGGCAGGAAGGAGTTGCGGCATCAGGGCTTGTCACGCCACGGGCTGCAGAGTTCATAGGGCTCTGTCCAGCAGATGATGAGACCAGAGGCTGGTGGAGTGTAAGTCGACCAGACGTGCAACGCTGGTGGGCCTCTTGAACAACGACGCGCGGACGCGGTGTATGTAGACCAGTGGTTGCGGGCTTTGATTGAGTGGATTATCACTTGGTCTGGATCCTTTGGCTCTTTCTGTAGCTATTCTCGGTCAGAGAACTGGTGGCTTGGGTGAAAAGTCCAAAAAGACAGGCGACACCTGGTTGATGTAGTTACACCAAGCCAAGGCGTTGTTGGGAATTTGCTTAGCCCGACACCAAAGAAGACAGAAGGGAGACAATAGAAAGAGAGGGAGAGGGAGAGAAACAAATAAAAAATAAAAATAAAAAAGAGAGTATACCAGGTGCTCCATTTGGATGGCGATTGTCGTGACGTGACGTGACTCTCGGCCGAAACACGGTACTTTGTAGGAATAAGCTTGTGGCGTCCTCGACACATTAGGTATCATGATGGCCTGCAGAGTGACAAGGAGAAAAAGGACGAAAGCTTTGGAATTGTCAGAGTTTCAGCAGTTCAGAAGCCAGAAGAAAGGAACGGCGGCTTTATCAATGAATTCCGAGAAATCCACGAGACGAGACGCGCGGTGTACAGAAGGAAAAAAAAAAACACAGGTGATTGACTGACCAACTAACTACCTAGTGTACAATGGTACCAGGCCGAAGTTAAATACCCCGGTTAGGTAACTAACGTCCACCCCCCTACTGCAGAACTTCACTTTTGGTGAATATTCCCCCTCTATCATGATGTCGGTTATGGGGGGTAACATCATAGGGGTATTTACTTACCCCTGTCACCCTGTACATACGGCGGGTGTGGTCCCTGGTGGGTGTGTCCTGCCAGCGACTTGCCCCAGGTAGTGTAAGCGCTGTGAGATTGATTGGCGGGCATCGCACGGGAACGGGACATGGGTGTGTCCCTGTCTGCCAATAATAGCTTCCCGCGCGTCTGCAATCGACATGTCCAGAAACACTGAATAATACTCCGTACGACAAACACAAAAAGGAAATGCCCCATGTTCGCCCGGGTCGATCCAGGTCGGCCGTGTTTTCCCACAGAGAGAGGTCTCGTATAGACAGACAGAGTCTACCTTGCGAGGCGCTTAACCAAATCTCTCCCGCCGCCTGCTGCCACCCCATGTCACTACTACGGTCTCTCTCACCCCCTGCAAGACCTGACAAAACACAGGAGCCCGGCAGCCCAGTCTCTTGGCTATGGCCTATATCTGGCTTCCGTCTTGGAGAGAGATGCAGAGGTATTGGATGACCATGTTCCCAAGCTGTCGGGCCCTCATCTAAACTGCTCCATCCATCCTTGCCCACTCGCGAACCAAGTGTTTCGAATGCCTTCATGGCCCGGCTGCTCGAATGGGCCTCGACATGGCTACGAGTTCTAGACCTCTGGCTTGCTGTTTTCCTCGCCTGATCCCCAGGCCCAGTCATACAAGATGGTGCCTGCATCCTCGTATGCTTTGCATCCGACAAGCGTCCAAAACCCCGTCATCCACCAACTCTGTACCTTCCCTTGTGCGCCTGTCTAGTCATATCGACCTTGATCTCTCGTTCCCCTTCCTTCCGTTCTCTCTTTCTTTCTCTTTCCCTGTGTTTTGCCTTTCTGTCTTAATTTCTACGTCTTCGTTCCTTGCCTTGCTCACTTTTCCCTCTCTGTTCATTGCTTGTCCTCTGCTGATCGTTTCCCTTGTTTCCGCCCGAGACCATAGCCTTCTTTTCTTTTCTTGGTCCGAGAACAGCGCGTCTTCTAAATTGCCACTATACTCATAATATCCATCTTCGTCGCGCCAAGAAGTCGACTTCAAGTCGCCCATCTCCGCCGACATCATTCTCTAGCGCCACACATCACGATGCCTTGCTCTATTCGCGTAGCAGACGTCCTGCTCCTCCTCCTCCTGACGACTCAGACCACGCAGGCCGGTCCAGTAAGACGTGTTGAGAGATTGTCGGTAAACTCCACTATGACTTTGCCGTACATCACTAACACCCATCACAGCCTCAGGAGGGACTGGAATACCACTTCCAGCGCATTCACCACCACCAGCAGTCTTGCTGTAATATCGAGCGTCGCCTCGGATCCAGCGTACGTCTATGTCTCCATGCCCACTCACTCAGGCCATGCTAACATGAAAATAGAGACGCCACTACCTCCGACTTCTCTGTGACGCTGCAAGAGGAACAGGATGGAGTCACTCCGACCCCAATCTTTGTGACCATCGACGTCACCACTGCCAGTTCCCCAGTCACATCACAGCCATCAACATCAACCACATCAGAAGGCCGAGCCCCTTCAACGACACCAGAGTCCCACTCAATACCGACAACAGAGTCCGGGTCGGCTTTGCCACCTCTCATATCGAGTACTATCTTCTTGCCGCCACAACTCACATCCGGCCTACAGAACGGATCCTCTTTGTATCCTGGTAACACCACCTCTGCATCCGCACCTCTATCGCCACCTGAAGGTGCTTCTTCCACTGCTACGCCGACAGCGCCGCTACAGTCGTCCATCTCTTTCGCTTTTCCTGTCCCAGGTGGAACTCAAGAAGCTACAACAACCGTTGCGGATCGGTCTGGAGTATCCTCTACTCTTGCCTCTGTCCTATCCAGCACCGCCAACGTCGAGGCATCCTCCCCTTCCGCCTCATCGACCACTATCGCCGCTGCACCGACCACGGCATCCCCAGTCCAGGCCCCTCCCGAGACACCCTCGGTTCCATCAACACCCTCCTCGACCGTCCCTCCGACAACGCCCTCATCCACACTCCGGGTCACCGGCACGCCCAACAACCAAGTCCCCACCATCCGGACTTCCACCCCGGCCGCTTCGGCCACCGTTTCTCCCGAGGTCGCCGCTAACAATCTTGCCTCCGCAAAGACCTTCAACACCCTCTTCGCCTCCCTTACCGACCAGTCCGCCTGTGCTGCCGGCCAGATCGCTTGCGTCAAGGGCAATGTTGGCATCTGCGGCTCTAGCGGCGCATTCGCCATTCAGAACTGCGGGACAGGGACATTGTGCTTCGCGCTGCCGATGAACACCACGGAGGGCGTTATTGTTGGGTGTTACGACCCCAAGGTGGCGAGTGGCATCCTAGGCACGCCCGTATCTGCCCCTGTTCCAGGCTCCTCGACAAGCGCGTCCGAGGTCGCATCAGAAATCACTACGACCATTACGCCCACCGTCATCGCAACGTACACAGTCTCCATCATCCCACCCGCCGCAAGCCCACAGACGAGCTCTGCAGTCCAAGCTCCCGGGTTTACCACCACCGTCGTTGTCACCAAGACCATGGAGCCTGCCCCTGCACCCTCATCCACGACGACGGAAGAAGACGACCCACCTACAACATCCACATCCCGCCGACGCACACGCACTACAACGACCGAGTCGTCACCGATATCTACAACCGCAGAGACGACACGACAAGCCACCCAGTCGAACTCAACCCCAGCCAGCCCAACAGGGACCTTTACAGACACCCTGATTGTCAACCCTATCCCCGACGAGACCAGCGGGACCCCAACGGGCCTCGTCGGCGGCCTCGCACCGACGGCGGGTCTGCCGTTCACCGTCGACGTGCCGCAGGGCACGCCCACTGTGACTGTTTTCGTGACGGTCACGCAAAAGGAGCGTGAGACCGTCACGGTTACCGTGACCAAGGGTTGAGAACCGGCCCAGGAACGGGGTTTGGACAAGAAGGGGACCACAATGTAGACTTGAAGTATTTAATAATTGTCCAAGGCGGGAAAGCGGGGTTTACATGTGTCGCCGTCTTCCAACACATACATAATAATCTTGGGCTTTTGGGGAAAAAACAGCGTTGTATTTACGTGGTATTTAGCACAGTTCTTCTGCTACACATATATAATCAGTCAGACACTGATCGCAATGCCTCGTTCCCTTTCGCGTGCGTCATGAGACTAGCCGCCAAAAGTCAGACCAGGCCAAGTAACGCACCGAGAAAAAGAAAATCACACAGATGCGCAGAACACCAGCCTCGATCAATGATATTATTTGTTCTCTGGACCGACTATTCTGTCTCGCCATAGCATGCAAGCCAGGCTCCGCTATGCAGGTCGTCTGTGGCCTCCTATATCCACATGTGCGAATCGTCTATAGTCCCATGAACGCTTGGCCGCTGGCTCTCTTCTGTATAATATAAGCCCGACCCCTCCCGGAAGGGTTTCCTCCCCCCGCTTCTAATCCAGCTCAATGATCTCGTAGCCCGAGCTCGACGATGAGGATGTCGATGCCGAAGGAACCTCCGCAAACTCATCGTCGTCTGCAGACTCATCATCCTCCGACCCTTCGCTCCTCTCCGGTGTCAACTGCCCTCTCTGTTTCTTTGGCATCTTCGAAACGACCAACTCAATGACAAAGGAGCTCCCCAACTTGCGCTTCTGAGATCGCGGCGATACCAAAACGGGGGTCTCTCCACGAGACTCTGTCGATAGAGTGTCTGTCTCCGCCATGTCCTTGTCGCTGTCGGAGCTCCCCGATGCTGCCTCTGCCTGCGCCTGTGCCTGTGCTAACTGTTGAGGTACGTCAACAGTAGGCTGGACTTCCTCGCCATCGATCAAGGATCCAAGCCAAGCTTCTCGGAACGAGAGACCCAGAGCCAGCGACACCTCCCGAGCCACACTGTTTCCGACCACCTTCCACTGCTCTTTTGGCGTCCCTAAGATCACCTCGTGGTCGAGGAAACCCTGAGCACGCCGGACTTCCATGACGCTCAACACACGATTCTGGTTCCAATGCATGACGCGACCGATACGTGCATCCGTTGGCGATGGCGTCGTGGTGACTGTCTGCATAACACTGTTCGGGAATGCGCGGCCCCAAGCCCGAGAGGTTGGAGACAAGACTCTCTCACCTTTGCTGGGGAACAATCCCCTCTCAGCCGTCGTCATCGTGCCCTTGCCATTGTCCCACGTTGTTCGGAAGTTCATGCCCCAAGGGTGCATCGGGATCACGCTGAGTTGTGCCCTGGCTGGTCTTGTAATGCTGTATGCCATTCGGTGGTCAGGGAAGTTCACACAGCAGTCCGCCTTGCCGTCCATTATGTCTGGCAGGTCTGCTGTGGCCTCGGCTATGCTTACGAACTTGAATGGTGTCGGGATTTCGAGGCGCTCCACCATTGGCTCGCCGTTTGGTAACCAACCTAGTGTCTTGCGACGTTTGCCGGATTCATAGTGCGAATGTGACTGTATTGGCACTTCAGGGAGCTTGAGACCTGGCGCAGCAAAGCATAAAAAGACACGGCTACGGCTCTGAGGAGAGCCGTAGGCCCAAGAGTCCATAATGAAAAAGTGAGTTTGGTAACCGAGGCCGACGATAGCACAGATCAGCTGGCTGAAAACGTCCTCGTTGCGCTTCGTCTTGGTCTGCACGATATCCATGACGTTTTCAAGCAACCCAAACTTCGGTCGATAAACGTCAATAAAGGACGCAAAAGCGGCCACAAGAGACTGGTTCTTCCGCTGCTCAGGGGTAGCTTTGTCATTTGTAAGGCGGGAGAATCCCGGGCAAGGGCTGCCCCCTGACACAAAGTCGACTGAACCGACAGGCGGCACCTTTTTGCTGAACTTGCCCTGTAGCGCCAATGTCTGCAGGTCGTCAATTGACCCAGCAAAAGGATAGACAGTGTTTGCTGTGTTCGCCATGTATGTATGGATCGCTTTCACGTTGAGGTCGTTCGCCCAGTTCATTTCGATTACGCCGCCTTCTTCAAGGCCGCGGCCGAAGTTGCCGCCTCCACAGAACAGGTCGAATCCACGAAGCTTGCGAAAGGGCTTCGCAGGATCGAAACCTTGTCTTAACAATGAGAATCCGTCCTCCAAAGGAATCATTTGCCCAGACTGCCATCGATACCTGATGAAAAATGTATTACCTACCCCCTTTCGGTCGTAAGGGACAGGTATTGGACCTCCTGGCTGGAAGAACCTTACAGTGCATCTGCTCTGTATGTTTCTGACTGCGATTGACAGCAACTCGTCGCTATAAACAAGCTCGTTTGGCGGTACCTTCTCGTTGGTGCTGTTGCTGTGAATTGTTTGTCTTCGCCGCAGAAGGCGGAAAAGGGCGAGTTTTGCGTTGCAAAGTTGTACCAATTCGCATGGTTCAACAACGCTGTCCGAGCTCTTCAGACAAACAAGAAGCGTATCCCCAATCTTGTATGGGAACTTCTGTTCACTGGCTCGACTATGATGCATGCAGAAGAGGTGACCTTTTTGGAAGGTGATGAATCGTCGGTCTTCATGAAGATAAGTCTGCCTGCAGAAGAACTCTGCGCTGGTGGCAGACGAACCACCCCAGTCAATCTTGTGTGCAGCTAGCACCTCCTCTTCTTTGATCTTGTCATCAGCTGAGTTGTTGCAACTGCAGTGGTCGGACATAAACAACTCATTACTCCAGGGGTATCTCATGTTGCCACAGATCGTGTCAACGGCACGGTACATCCAGATGATGTCAAAGCTTTTCTTGCCATCGTTGCGCTTATGGACTTTCTGTACAAGCCCGAACCACCGGTCAACATCATTGAAGCCGGCAGGGGTTTCTCTAGTCCAGTTGCCGTCCTCGTCTCGAGCTATAGAGATGACGTCGCCGACATTGATAGATGTTTCGGGGCTTCTTTGGTTTGTATTCTTGGCTGACGTACCGGTATGAATTTCCAGTGCTGAATCGAGTCGAAGAGCCTTGGTTACGTCTCGGCGCAACCTTTCGGTTTTAGGACTTGGGTCCAGCGCTTCCATCATTGGGCCGCACGGTAGGTGATCAAATAACTGGTTGACATATGGCGTAACCACTGTCTTTGGGATATGCGAAGGCTGTCGCTTGCTTGGAGTTGGCGAGGGGGAGGCCAACGGAGTAATAGTTGCCGGTGTAGAGTATGTTTTGTCATCGCCGTCTGAGTGCGCAGTGAACTCGCGTATCTCTTTCCACAGCTTCCGTAGGTAGATCGATCTGACCTTGTGTCCAAGAACTCCAGAAGCCTCCTTCCAGATGAATTCTAGGTTTGCAGCAACTGCGCTGCAGAAATCAGTCCTCTGGTATTGGCTTCGCCATTGATGAAAGACTTCTGAGTTTCCATGCTGCTTGTCTATCCAAGCATGGAAAGCAGATCGAAAGTCTTTGAAGACAACTTGCCGTTTCTCGTCCTGGGCTGTGGAAAGATAATCGATGACATGCTTTGCTAAGTCTGCAACCCATACGAACCCAGTGTAATACCGTTGATACTCAGTTGATGGGTTTTTGAGTCTGTAGTAGATGTTGGTGTTTTGTCTTTTGGCAATCGCAGCGCTCAAGCATGAGCGCATCCAGAGTTGAGACCCCACAGTCGGTTCTGAAGAGCCATAGTTGCCAATTGGGAATTCTTCAAAAGGAACGCCTCTGATGGAAAATTGCTTCTTCCCTACTGACAGTATGCCGTCCACATACATTTTATTGCAGCGGAACTGGGTTCCAAGATGTTGGAGCGGCCGCATCTCGCATGGATATGGCCGTTGCTTCTGAGACTTGTCGTCCCTTGGTACAGCGGCGTCAATGTAGACAGCAAATTGGTCCAAGTCAAATTCGATTTCACCGCTGTTGCTGCTGTGAACTCGACGGTACTCCTCCAGTATTGACTGAATGGCTGTCCACTCTCTTGCTGGCTTAGCTTGGGGCTCCTCCTCATCAGGCTCGCCTTGGTAAAGGGATCGGGGTATAACGAGGGTGCTTGATGGTATGTCCACGGAAACATGGTTAACCAAGGTGATGGGCACAGTAGGAAGTACGGTTCCTACTTCTAAGCCCTCCCCATCCCAAGCTGTCTGCTCGTGAATGGGTGTTTTTTGTTGAGCGTCATCTTGAGGCTCAGGTGTTTTGCATGCGCATAAATCGCTAGTAACCAGAGCAGTTGGCGCTTCTAACGCCTGGCGAGTAACGCGCTCCTCGTAATCAGATAAGCTATCAGCAGGATCCAAGTCCACGTAGAGGTTGTTCTTAAAGCCCTCGTGGTCGTCTGGCTCCAGCAAGAATTCAGGGTCTTCCCAGTCGAAGGGGAAGCAGTCGTTAGGATTGTCCATGCCGCCGTCTAAGGCATGAGAATTAGTTATGGATTTCCAGAAATTTAGGAAAGGAGGAAGGAACACACGTACTACTTGCTGTGTATCATCAGACTTTTGGACGGTGAGGTTGTGCGGCACTGCTTCCTCTCACAAGCACCAACTGTAATAAAGTGCTGACCTATTGAGTGTGTAAGTGACCGAGATGAGGTGAGATGAAATGGGCTGTGTACGCACGCACCACAAACTGCATGGGATTCTGCTTGATGGCAATAGTAAACAAAGTAAATTGCGGTGGCTCCTACCCCCGCAGACCGAGCAGTGGTTCTGCTATGGGTTATTGAAGAAAAGTCAAGTAGAGAGTGATGTCCAAAAAGACCAGAAAGTGAGTGATTGGTGCGCTGTTGCGGTTGTGTGTTGGCGATATTGTTATATAGATAGAAGGCGGATGTGTAGCTTAGTGTTAAGGATGAGTTGCTCAGAAGTGAGAGGTATACGGATATGGGTTGTGAGACTGGGTTGGTGCTGAATTGCGAAACACAACAGGCTGTCAGGAAGGAACGAATGCTCAATCCACCTTGATTGGCCAATTAAAGGTGCACCAACAGTGGGGAGCGGCCGTTCCTGCAGCAGCCAGCATTGACCAATTGGTCTCTAGCGTGCCTGACTATCAAGCCTTGGGTCCTTCGCACCCGAAAGACTTCAGCCATGAAGAGATGTTAAAGCTTAGGTATGACGCAGAATAGGTAGGTAATGATGTGTGATTCACATGACCGCCGAGGTTAAGTCACAGTCTATGAGTAAGAAACACTGTACTGGAGGAAAAAAAAGAGTGCAGCGGGTTTATAGCAGGGTGTGTGTGTGTGTGTGTGTGTGTGTGTGTGTGTGTGTGTGCGTTGTAGAAGTTTTGAATCTTACTGAGTTGGGTATCTTGTATCAAAATTGCAGCAACACCATGGATCGGTCTTGCCTAGCTTCGCACCTGTGGCGTCTCATATACACCTTTATGTTTTGCTTCCGACTCCTCGGATTCTCCTTCTTCCTTATACTCTAGCACAATCCTCCTCACCTCAAAGACAACCTCGACAGCAATGAGAATGATGATGATCCACTCTAGTCTTGTGCTGTGCTGCTCACTCGACATCTCTCGTAACACGCTGGCAATCTCTTGCGCGTAGTCCATCTTCTGATTCAACGTTCGGATTCGGACATTGACATCCAACGCCCGCCCGACCTGTTCGTAGTACCCTTCCAGGCCCAGTTCAGATCGGCTATCCCAGAAGATGTCGGGAAGGGAGTCTGTGAGCTCCGAGTAGTGATTGAGCCTTGCGCGAAGGCTCAAAAGCTCGCCTGTCTTCTGCAAGATGAACTTTCTGCTCAGGGGCAGGCCCGAGCCTTTCGACAACACCGAAGGGATCTTCCTGGTGCTCTCAAAGTATGCCATCAGTGCGCTTTCCAACACTGCAAGTTTTGTGCTCCTGGCCAGTCCGGAGGAGAACGCAATCTTGGCAAGAGTTGTGTCAAGTCTGTCGCCGTCTCGTTGCTCAAGCTTCGTCCCCAACACCACAACATCACCCTTCATGCTGCTCGTCTCCCTGTTCGGGTCGGAAACGTACTCCAGGTCCTCAACTTCCCGGAGCGCTGGCTTCAACGGCGTTTCCGCCGCACTCAATAGCTGCTTCGTGACGACGTCAGGAGGCAAAGCCCACGTGACAATTGTCCCAGAGGGAAACACAAAGATGTCTCCGCCATTGACGGCTCGGGCGTGGACCACCTCGCTCGCTTCGAAGCCACTCTGATCCGGATCAATGTCGAATCCGTGCGCCCGAAGGATATCCAACACTGCACCCATATCGAAAGCCTCGGCGACACATACAGCACTGATCAGCGTTGAGGCGTGCGCATCCGCCGACTCTGCTGGTGCGACTTCTGCGCCTCGCTGTGCCGGTCGTTGAGCTATAATCGCTACTCGGCGAAGCGAGTTCTTTGCGCCTGCGGAACGGGCGACTTTACGCTTGGAGACCGCAGGCAAGAGGGATTCATCGTTTTCGTGCTTCGAATGCGTCGCCGAGGGTTCGCCGTTGTTCTGGGCAAGGTAGACGTTGGAGGTGAAGAAAGTGCGCTTGCGAGGTAGACTTGCCGGGGTCGTTATGTGTAAATATCGCTGCGGACGAGGAGTAAATCGGGCAGGGTGCAGGCCACGACTGATTAACGACGCTATCTTGAGCTGGCAGGGGCGCATATTGAGGCTTCGAGTGCCATTAAACAGTTACATTGATCGGAGGAAATGAAAATAAAAGAAAGGGTCTATGACTACAGGTCGAACACAAATTTGTTTCGCAACTGCAACAGTGCAGCCGTTGCTTTCCGAACGGCCTTCTTTCTTATCGGCCAGCTGGAGCTTCCTTATCGCACGTGACGTGATACTGCGGAAAGTTTCCCGCGTTCGCGACATACCGGGCCTCTTTTTTTTTTTTTTTTGAACGATCGTCAAGCTCCCTCAACTGGACATAAAGTATTCTCAATCCTGGGAATCTGAGGTTTTGCTAGTGAAGATGGGGCAATGCGGCTGCTGCCCATTTCCAGATCACACACTTCTGTCCTGACCAGGGGCCGGTGGGTGTTTGCTCCTAACTGGCGTGTAGTAAGCATATTCTTTGATCCAGAAGCTCTCCATCCTCAGCTCTAACAAGGACCTCCCCTCGACTAGTTCTCGCGACGCCCTGAATATCAGTCTAGTCAGGCTGTAGCCCTTGCTCAAAATCCATCAACCTGGCAAACACCTGGAGTGGCCAGTTCCAACTCGGCATCGTATCAGCAATCCATTTCGTCGAAGCTCCCCGGTGCCGAAGTGGAATCACACTCGAACGAGCGCCTTGCCATATCCCCCAACCAACCCCTTGTCGACTCTTCGGACCTCTGCGATCCCGATATCTTTCTCTCCGAGTCGAAGCTCCCCGCTGCCGAACTGGAATCAAACGAGAACGAGCGCCTTGCCATAACCCCCAACCCACTCCTTATCGACGTTTTGGACCTCTACCGCGATCCCGGTATCTTTCTCTCCGAGTCGAAGCTTGCCAGACTAAGGGCTCTCGCGGTGAATAACAGTACCCAGCTCGTCGTTATCACCGCGCAATACATCCTTCGTGAGGTACCACAGTTGGATCCAAGAATTGGAGACCTGTTATGCAGCAATGAGAAATGGTTGGCCAAGCTGCACCGCTTGGCGAGAAACGGTCTCTCGGCGGGTGACGTTTCCTATTGGGCTTGGACTCTTGTTTCGCCCGACCCGGATGTGAGAGTGGCCAGGTTTATGAGCAAACCGTGCCAAAAACCACTATTTTTGCTGTGCCATCTTCTTCTCAAAAACGCACACTTCAGTCCTGATTCGTTTGAAGGACTCCTGAAATACTGCAGAAAATGGTGCTCGTATCAACAGATAGGGCGTGGTTTTGCTAAGGCTTTCGCCCGGTCCTACGTATTGAACCCTGAGCTGTTCAATAGGGTGGCTGAGAACCTCTGCTTCCATGCAAGCAGACTTCAGTCCGACGCCTTACCAGAGATCGCAGACCTGTCCGTGGCATACATTAAGAGTATAGCACAACGCTGTCAGCATCCAGACAAGGCATACGAGTTTCAATGTAAAGTGTTCAACGGTGCCCTACAAGCTGTTTCAGTTCTGTCAAAAAGGACGCCATATCAACAAGCCTCGCAAAATTGGAGGGCAATTACTATTCTGCTCTCGCTGTCGTCCAGCTTGAAGCATCCCCTCATCATCGAAGGAGAAAGTTATCGGGCAATCAGGCAAGTTTTGCTTGCGTTGCCAAAGACAGCTTCAGAACGGAAAACGGCCGGCGCTCTTTCCAGCTCGTGGCCCCCTTATCGAATATTGCGAGACGGCATGGAAGAAAAGGCGGACACGCAAGAGTATTTGAGCAGAGTTGTCAAAGCCGGCTTCATGATGCAAGAGGCTGGTTACAGCAAGAAGGAAATCGATGTGACCACGGACGTGTTAGGAGGCATGGCTCCCGACGGATCGCCAACAATTCAGACGAGGGCTATTTACCCGCGCCATCTGCGTGTGGAGCAAGGGACGTGGGCGGCGTTGGTTCGGGCAACTCGAAACGCCCAGGAAGCCTGGGCAGCATTCACAAATCCTCCTGAATCCGGAATGAGGCCAACATTTGAAGTGTACTGGGAGTTGATGGTGAAGCTTGCAGCACGACAAGCCGATCCTCGCCACCATAATCTTCCCGGGGATGGGAGAGAAGTCTTCCCTTTTGATGACAGAAACTTGAGCGACTTTGAGAAAGCGCGTATCTCTCCGCCCAGCATGCCACAGTTAATAGAGCAGATGTACAACGCCGGTGTGGCCATCGAAGAACGGCCCTTGGCTTGGTTGCTTAGACGGGCTCCCGACATCGAGACTGCTCTGGAGTATATCAGCCACAGCAGCGTAGACGAAGCACTCAAGAACTCTCTCAGGCAGTGCTTGAAAGTATCCCAGAAGCCTGTGATAACTATACCGACCAGGCCCTCTCGACCCATCGACTTACCTCACAAAATGTTGCATGCAACTGTCGATCTCCTTTGCCGTCTACAGCCCAATCGAACGAAAAACACACCTGACTATCTCCCCAAACACAAACTCTACTCCATCCATCACGCTTTTCGGCTCGCGCAAACCGGACGGAATTTGGCCCACACTTCTGATCGGCCACCGTTGGAGTTAATCATGCTTGCTCTGGGCAGGCCGAACATCATGGTTAGCAACACTGCCCCACAAGATAACAACATCGAGGTTGTGAAGATGGCCCTCAAAGTCTTGGGGGAGGCCGAGGAACGTGGCGCGCTCACCTTGGACATGCTCAATGCATTTGCCCACGCAATACGCAAGCTGGTTTACTCAAGTATTTCCATGTCACTTTCGTCCACTTCGGCGATGCTTCCTGGGGACGAGGAGTTCGTGTCACTCTATCGAGCGCGGAACACAGAGCTGGCGGTGCCAAACGGGCCCAACGTCTTCCGGAGACCAGATGCGGCCGATAACGTTGATGGTTCTTGGCGACAAATACACACGCCGGTTTTCGAGGCCCAGCAAGAGCAGGAAAATCTCCAGACGCCTTGCAAGGTCGTCCGAGAAGCATCGGAGAGATTGAAAGCTGTCTGGAGGGTGCTGTTGACCAAGGCCTCGGCACACCCGCCTTTCGCCAGCCCACGCGTTTCGGAAATGAATATATATCATTATATGCGCACACTCGTAGCTGTCGGTGATCTGGAGGAGGCGGTGCTGCTTCTGTGCTGGACTGTGCGGGACTGGGCTCCTGCCGCTGGCGCTAAATTGACTCCCGGGAAAGTCAGAACTCTGACCAAGGCAGTCATCGTCTTCCGGGCGTTTGCGGAGCCCTTGCTTGACGAGAGAGCGGTGGCGTCTTTGCGCGAGGAGATCGAGACGAACAGTGAGCAGGGAGGGCCTGTGCACTGGCCGGCCGACCAACAGGTAGAAGAGTACGTGCAGGGCGATGACATGGGCAACCACCAGAACTTGCACGAAGTGGTCAAGTCCGCAGCGTCTCGAAGCAAAATCATCCGCTGTCAGGAGCTCGGAAAGGATAACGATGTCGACTAAGAGCTGGGGAGGAAGGGAGGGGGGGTTGTATGATAAGGCCGTGATATGTATGGTACCAGGGGTGAGGAGGTCTTGGCAACCGTGTACAAATAAAAGGCATAGAGAGGCTACCATAGACCTGGACAGATACCTAGTAACGCACAAAAGCAAGTTCACTCATGTACAATAGTCCCGTGAGGGACGATGAGCTGGAAACCAGCAAGCAGTATGCATGCGATCATTAATTAGAAACGACAAACCCAAGTTGTTGATGGAACCTAAGCCACTCCAGACCAGACCGTCTGTCCCTACAAACTTGCTTTTTCCAAGCAATCAATGCTGCGCATGTGTCCCGAATGCCTCCAAAGTTCACAGCTATCCTCAAACCCCTTCATGCTCCTTATCGCCGAAGGGTGACGAACTGTCCCGCTGTGCCGGCAAACGTAGATTCTTCAACCGTCTCTCGCTGGATCACGGCCGACTCAACCCTTCGCCCTGCCCGCAGTAAGTAGCCGGTGGCGCAGTTCGGCTCACGGTATTCCTGTTTTGCTTCTCCAGTTCCGACAACTGCTCCTCGTTCTTTCGCTTCTTCGGAACTGGGGCCGTAGATCGTGGAACTGGAAGAATCGTGATGCGTAAATCCAAGGTGTATAAACAACAATTAATGAAACAGACGAAACATACGTTTTCTTTGCTGAGAAAAACACTATTGACTTATTGGGAAACCGCAATACAGCCAGCCCACGGGTTCTATAGATGGGGTATATGCGTAGTATCAAGCCTAGCCCCTTCCCATCCCGTGGCTTCAGACATTAATTACAGTGTGCCTGATACTCATGTAAAAGAGCTATACTTCTTTATCCTTTCTTATGCCATCCTAGTCTTTTCTTTTCCTAAGAGGATGGGCTTCTCTTGAGGCTGCCACGCACCACTCGGTATTCGAACCTGTCCGCTGTTGTTTGCTTCGTCTCTCTGTCCCGCTGACGATCACTCTCCGCCTGGGCCCAGAACTCGTCCCGGACGAAGCCCTGGGCCCGCATGTCTGAGATGTCTTCTTGTGCCCGCACAAGTTCCCGCCTAGTCTCGGCGAGAGCTTCGAAGGTTGCTTCCATTGCGTCGAGAGCAAGCCGTGGGTGTTTGAGCATGATTGGGTTCAAACGGTCTTGAAAGCGTCTGTCGACAAGAGAGTTCTCTGAAATCAACCCAGCGATTCTATTGAGGTACATGTCGAACTGTGCATGGTGGCCGCACGTTCCGTAAAGCTCATCGACCATGCTGGGGAAATCGACGTGGTGTGTGTAATACTCTGCTGAGAAACGCAACGCCGAGGCCGCCTCCTCGTACATGATGAAGATCTCAAGCTCATGGGCCAGTTTGAGGGCACGGAGGGAGTAGAAGAGCGGCTGAGGGATGTCGTGAAGGTCTTGCTCGCTTTCGCCTCGCTTCCGCGTCGCCGGCTGCGACTCAGCCTCGTACTCACCGGAGTAGAGAAAGTGGAGGACGGCGCCGAACGGGACTGGATCATATTCGAGGTGTGCAAATTCGATGCCGTCTGAACCTCTTTTCTACTTGGTGTCAGCCATAAGGTGAGACGAATGAGCGGAATGAACATACAATGGGAGCGATGGTGGCCAGGTCTCTTATCTTCGCACACTGCGTGAAGACAATGTTTTTATGCACCGAAAACTTCTTCTCGACTCCATCCGAATCGGTGCAAATGAGATGAAAGTCGGCGAATGCGCCGCTCTCAAGAAGGAAGGTCAAGTTGAGGCAGCCCATTGTGTCGGTTGTCTTAAAATTCGCCGGAGAAAAACCGAGATGGAAAGAAGAAGGTAGCTGTCCAGCAGCTTAGATGGGTCGAAGAAAGTAGATTGTAGCTGATGCCTTGAATGAAGAGAAGACAGGTTGCAGATGGCTAGCAACTGTTCTGGTTGAAAAGGAGACGAGAAGAGGAGTTGTAAATGATAATAGAGTAGAAAGAGGTCCAAAAGATTAGAAAAGGCCGGAGATCAGGAAGTGAATGTTGGTGATCAAGGAGTGAATGTCGGAGAGCAAGAAGTGAATTTAGTCCACAGAAGGAACAGCCTGTAAGATCTCTCGCAACTTCAGATTGAATTCACTAGATACGCAGCAACCGGGTACCCAAGAGGAAAGAACCCGAAAAGGATAGGAAAAGGTTGGACGAAGAACTTTCAAGGTTCGGATGGAAGCAACAGTTAGTAAGGTGTTTTGTTGCTGCTGGAAGTTACTGGGCTACGCAGCCAATTTCAACTAGGGAAACCCTCTGGTGCCTTCTGCTTGTGTAGGTGGGAGTTCAAGTCTCAGTAGAAGCCCATCGTAAATGTTGCGTTCCTTGGGAGGCTGCCTACAGACCAACGAGGCAAGCCCATGGTTCCCATGAACTCTCGGTTGCCGCCAAGGTTACAAGCTCTGACTGTGCCATTAGTACAAGACATACCAGACGACAGCTTTGAATTCACAAGTCTATGATTAAAGAGATAATAGCCTTCTCTGTTCCGTATTGGACGTTTGGGGCGGTGTTCCTTACTCTCAACTTCATTGATATTCCCCTCCTAGATGTCTACTCGACTCCTGATGGGAGACAGGACACCTTGGCTTACCCATGATGCCCTATCTTGTTCGCGGCGCAAAGTAAGCGGCAAAGAAGCTGGCCGGCGCAAGGAAACAAATGGTTAGCGGACTCGGAACGCTGATGCAGTATCAGGCTGCCGTGCCATCCTCTTTGCCGGGGTGATTGACACTGTCCGACGCAGCGCGCCTGAGGCTGATTCTGGAATCCAAATGTAGAGCAAGTACATAGCGTAGGCACCTCAATTGATGACTTGGTCGTTTACGTGGTCTGGGTGGTGCCTTTGGCTCCTTCAATTGAGACTCCTGGCATACGAGGACGAACGTGCCAGTAGTACCACCTACATAGCCAGTGATACCGAGGGCTTGTCATGTTGTCCAAATAAAGCCTGTGGCCGCCCTCCTGCATGGCGCGAACTGAACTTAACCTTGAAACTTACGACGTCTCTGTCTTAGTGCTGTCGTTGAAATGAGCTTCGCAACTCCCCTAATTCTAATTCATAGAAAGGAGTAGTGGGTGGGGAGGTCTATTAGACTATTTCGAAAATCGGCAGAACCCTGCCTCGAAGAAGCTAGTCTACGGAATCTCGGGTTTAAGCTCCAATGTCGGGTCAATGGAAAACCGAATTCAGATGAGACAAACGAAGCGAGGATCTGAACCCTGAAGGGAAGCTGCTGTGTGTAGAGGTCTCTTAGGTACCGAAACATGACAGGTTGTCAGCAAACCTTCAGATCACAGGGTATCGAGTTGGTTGACCAGCTCACTCGCACTGACACCAAGCACAAACAGATACGCACAACTCCTTAACGTAAATTTCGTTATTTCTGATTAAGATGCAAAGTGCTTGGCTCAACTCAGCTCACTCTATACACTGGAGCCAAAACCTTTCCTTCCTCGTCGAGGTAGGCGCAAAAAGACAGCAACCCCCATGGACTACGTACCCCCTCCCCTGACTGACTGACGCAAGTTGCAAAACCTCTGTGCATGTGAACAGAAAAGCAAAGAGAAAATGAAAATGAAAAAACCGGTCGTATGATGCAGCAACGACACCAATTGTGCTGAGACACCACCATGTCGACACCCAAAAATACGCCCTTCCGGCCATCATCTATGAGCTATCACGCTCCTCCAAGATAATTCTAGTAACACAAGAGCCAGAACGCCAATATCAGGCACACTGTATAGACCCGAAACGGACCTGGGTTGCAGCGGCATCCTACTTCGCCTTTCCATCCAGCATGAAAAAGGCCAACTCGTCCCGAATGGTACAACAATCCACCTGCCCGGGTTGGAGACGCAACTAGAAGAAAAGGGCCCTGTCTGACCAACTCCGAAATGACATCGCTCCCTTGCTATTCAGACACCGTTGAGAGAAATCGAAATCGACATTTTGCGAACGAGAGTTGCAGGAAGACTGATGCGAGAGTGTATAGGTTTTTATCAAACCCGCACAGATCGATTACTGTGGGTGCCGCATAGTTCAAGATGGAGGTATGGCATCAGGCGAAGCCCTTACACCGTCGGGCGCCCTAGCCCCTCCCGCGATACCTTGCAGCCCCGAGACAAGGTGTGACACCGTTGGCAACCGAAAAGGGTTCACAGACTGCTAAGCTGGCTTCCTTTGCTGTTGGGGTATAACCGGTATGGGCACTGGCGTCACTTTATGAGGAATTGGCGGGGTGCCATTGGTTGCCTTCCCTACAGGACTCTGCGGTTTCGGGGTACCGCCTGCAGCCATGCGGGCTCTCATGCTCGCATTGTAGGGAGATCCTTGGGAGCTGGGGTCATCGCCGGGCATCGCACCCTCCTGCGTCCCTTGTATCTTGGTCCCAAAGGCAGCGCTCGTTTGTTGCGCTGCGGCTCGGTATCTCGCTTGTTCTGCATGCAGGCGCTGCTGATCTGCTCTCGCGACGGCTGCATTGTATCCAGGTGTTAGAGAGTTTAAGGGTTGCTGAGGGAGGTGACTACCATTCGCGTATTGCTGACGATTGATTGGGGGAGTGCCAGGCATGGTTTGGTGAGGAGTCGAACCGTAGTACCGTGCCTGCTGGTGCGGTGTCGGCGACGATTGATATTGAGCAGCTGGGATCTGGGGCGACATGGTTCGTTGCTGCATGTTGGAACCGTTGGCATAGTAACCACCGTAGCCCTGAGACGGCGTAGTCGGCTGTTGCTGGAAAGACTGCTGGTACGGTTGCTGGAAACGAGCGTTGGGCGTGCCGTGCTGCGGTGTTCCTGGATAGCCCGGGTACTGCGGAGGTCTCTGTTGAGATCCGTATTGGACCCCTTGATGTCCGTACGGCGTCTGGGCCTTTCCGACATGTTGTGCATAATTAGTGTATCCGTTAGTAGGCCGGTAGTTGCCTGGCTGGCCAGGGCGTGGCTGCGGTGTATGAGACATCTGGTGGGGTACGCCGCCAGGTCGCGGAACAGAGCCCTGTTGCGGGGGCATTGCCGGTTGCTGACCCGGTCGGTAATAATTTGTAGGTGCAATCGACGGCGTCCGTGTGGGGGTGCCGTACTGACCGGAGCCGTATTGGGTTCCGTATGGCGTGGATGCGCTAGGCGTGCGGTGCGGGGCAGGTCGGTTCGTAGGTGCGGCGGTAGCCACGCTTTGCTGCTGACGCATACGAGCTTGTGAGGCGGCGTCGTCCTCCATTACGCCCTTGTACTGATCTGTGCGGACCTCGAGCTTGGTGCTGATGAGAAGCTGTTCAAGTTGACCACCGTTGAGCTTAGCCACCGCGTAAGGAGGCAGAGTGTTGATGATCAGACTCAGTTGTGCTTTGAGTGCCTCGTATGTCGCAGTCTCCTCTTCCGTCGGTGTCAAGACAGCACCATGAGACAGCAGGTCGCCGTTGACAGGGTCGCCCGCGTAGCGGTTCTGGGATGATGGTAGCGTAAGGTTGCGGATGCGCTGGTACGATAGCAGTGTCTCAATCATGTCAGTGACCTCGTCGAGGAGGTCATCAGCTTCCTTGTCAGCGGGATCCTTGTCCTTGGGCTTGGCTAGAACGTCGTTCATGTCTTGCAAGGCTGGATCCACTAGCCACTCATCCCACTTCTCAATTGCCTCGTTGACGAACTCTTCATCAACCTGTCCAGTTACAGCCTCTTTCTCGACAGGCTTCTCGGTAGTCTTTTCATCCTCGATTTCCCGCAATTCAGACTCAATCATTCGGTTAAAGTTCCGCTGGCCGGTGAGCTGCCAGTACATGCGGCCGGCATGGCTGGACGGAACGACAGACCCCGAGTCATCCCTGCAGGGCGCGAAGCTGGAAAAGGCGCTACGGAATAGCGATTCCATCTCGTTGACCTCCATTTCAGTCGACGAGGGCCTATGGCCGGCCAAGCTTTGTGCTCGTTCACGTTGTTTCGTCTTGGTCTTGGCTGATGGTGCTGCGTTGGTGTAGTCCAAGTAGTAACCGACCGCCAACTTCTTGCTTGAGTACGAATCATTGAAGTACTTTGACTTTTGCGCCGGCTCGGGATGGTAAAACCCGAGAACGTTCCCCTTGGCCACTGGCTTCGGTTGTTTCGGCGGCTGCAGCGGAGGAAGGGGCCGGCTAGAAGAGAAAAGGTCCCCAAGTGTCGGGGCTCTCTCCACTTGTCGCGACGGAACGATGTAAGAAGTAGACACACCAGGTGGTAGGTCGAAGGTAGAGGCCGTTGCAGCGGAATCCTCCTTGCCCGACGCCTTCTTCGGCAAACTCGAAAAGAGTTGCTTGCCATGAGGGGCATTGCCGAAAACCGTCAGGACAGCATTGCCCATGGCGGACTCCACATCCGGCTTGGTGTTGGTGATATTGACAGCGCTGCGCGGGTAGGATATCTCACGTCGGAGCAGGTCCATAGCCTTGTCCTTGAACCTTTTGGTTTGTGCTACAGCAACGCCATCGATGTTCTTGTTCACGGCATCGTCGTCGGCATTGGCGCACTGGAGTTCTCGTAGTTGATCCTGGACAGCTTCAACAAGATCTGCCGCGAGTTCGTCGACATGCGAGTAGGCGTCGTGGGTGACCTTGTCGGCAATGGTAGCTGCGCTTTCGGCGGACTTTTGACGTTTCGCATCAGGCTGCTCAGACTCGGGCTCAGGAAGACGACGCTTCAGGATTGACGGACTTGCATCGAAACTGGGAACCGTCAGTCAGTACAAGCGTGCTCTGGAGGCGACGATAGAGGAGGTATGCGCAGAAAACGTGGCAATCATACCTGCTCAGGACAGTGAAGTAGTCCTTGATGAGGGGTTTGTGGTCCTCCTTTGGCAATTCGCCGTCGACTTCCATCTTTTCAGGTCCGTCGGTGCTGATCTCCTCGCCATCGTCGTCGGTATCGCGCTTCCTCTTGACAGGGACAACCGGTTGGGGGGACTCAGCGTGGTCCGGCCCAGGGATGCCGTTTGCCCGGACCGAATCCGACTGCGCCATTGTGAAAAAAGCGTCGTCGTGGGTTGTGAATGGTGATTTCGTTATCGGTCAGAATTATCGCGGAGCTAAGGGCGTGCTGTGCGTTCGTGACCGTCGATGTTGCGTGGAGTGACGGGGGTGGCAGGTAGCAGCCCAGTGGAGGGCAGATTGTCGCGACGCGCGAGGTTCGTCGGTCGGTCGTCTTGGTGGAACTCCAAACCTGGAAACCCTTTTTTTCGTCAAGTATCGCGTAGCCAGGCGTTCGAGGAAGCCTTTTCATCCAAGAACACGTTTAAAGGCAAGAAACGTGACCTAGAAATTGACCAGGGTCCATCAAAGTCGCCGTTTATGATTTTTTTTTGCCTTGCAAGCGCTCTTGGAGCAATTCCCTCGGTGTTGTTGGGAGGCTGCGACTGGGAGAGTGTGCACCTACCTGTCTTGTTCGAAAACTAAGATGGCGCTGGACAATGGTGGTACTTCATTGGTCATATTTAGTGGGTCATTTCACGTGATGGCGTGGGACCGGCTTTGAACTAAGAAGGTACTTGGTACCCACGGGTGCCTCGCTGATACACTTCGTCCGTCGGGGAACACCACATGAAATGGTTTGTTTGAAGCTGGAGTGGCGTCAAACACATAGAACCTAGCTTTGATGAATCCATGGTAATGAATAATCCAAGAAGAGAGTTCCATAGCAAGAAACCAGGTCACTAACGCGGCCAAGGTGTACAACTTACAAAAGTATGCAGATAGCACGGTAGCCCCAAATAGTCTCCATTTGACCAGTTCCATCTCTCAGGTTCACATCATTCAGCCTCCAAACATCAACACTGCGAAAGGCTAACAATGACACGAGCTTAACATCTCACACAACTCACGTGAAGAAGAAGTAGACATTCATCGCAAAAAATGCTACTAGTGGTATTCTCGCACCGGTGTCCAGACTAGCTACCTAAGTAGATATATTACAGCCGTCCCGAGTATGAACCTTCAAGTAATGGACGTGTCCTCAAGGAAATGGTTTGTGAGCAGGCGTTTATTTCTTAGCCTTGGCCAGACCAACGGCGTTCTTGCCGAGGTCGTAAACAGAGTACCACCGGCGGAGGAAGGCGTCTCCCAGAATAACGAGAGGGCCGACCGGCTCGGGGAAGTCCATGCCCTGGAAGGTGGAGATGCAGCTTCCAGAGACTTCCAGGACGTAGTCGTAGGCGGAGATGCTGAAGTTGTAACCAGCAAGGGTGAAGGTGATGTCGGGGAGCTCGTCACGCTTGGAGCACTCAACAGAGTACTGGCCGTTGTAGCCCTTCTTGGCACCAATCTCCTTGTTGAGAAGCTCAGCAAGAGCGGAGGGAAGAACGTTAAGGGAGGTGCCAGTGTCGAGGATGGCACCGTGACCCTCGAGGTCAGCGGTCTCGTCGCCGAGGGAGATGGCATCGAGGTCAACCTCCCAGTACGCCTTGCGGCGGAGAGGGATGTAAGTGACCTTGCCCTCGTAGTGAGACTCATCAAGGCCACCAAACGTGGCCTCGCTCTCATCACCTTCCTCGTTGGTGTCGCCAAGGTAGAAAGCAAAGACGGGCTCGTCAATGGCCTTCTGGTTAACAAGGTTGTAGAAGGGGGGGACAATCTTGTTGACGGAAATGGTATCATAGCCAAGACCAAGAATGCCGTCGAAACGGCCGAAGGCAAAGGCCAGGCCAGGCTCACTGGTGGCCTCGGCGAAGTCCTGCTTCTTGATCTTGAGGTCGCCGATGGACACATCGTCCTGGGAGACGAAGCCAGTCAAGCTGCCAGATCCGTAATGAATCTCGAAAGAAGAGCCGTTGGACTTGTAGGTAGAAGAGGCTGACGAGTCGTACTTGGTGTGCAAGTAGCAGGCAATGCTGCCACACTGCTGGGAAGGCACCCACAAGTTTGAGCTTCCAGTGTCCAGAACAACCTTGAAGGTCTGGGGAGGGGTTCCGATCTGAATCTCAGAGAAGTCTGAGTTGAAGTGTTAGATTGTCACAGAGTTCGATAAGATGCGGAGGGGTTGGGGCTTAACATACACTGAGCGTTCATGAAGTTGCTGACAGGCACGGGGTGTTCACCGTCCGTCTGGATGGGCTTCTGGTTGAACATGGCGTCGGCATGGTTATTGGGACGAGTGCCCATGTACTTCTGGCCCAGCTGTCTGACCTGGTGCTCGATGGGGACAGCGTTCTGCGATGATGATGGTCAGGATACGCGGCGATGGAGATGCGATGTGAAGGGCAAACGTACCAGTTGCTCCTCAAGAGGAACCTTCTTGAGCTTTAGCTTGTGGACTTCGGCCTGGGCCGCGCCCAACAACACGGCCGCGGTGAGGAGAGTGCTCTTCATCGTGGCGGTCGACCTCGATTACCCTGTTTACGATGTGTGTTCAACGTCCTGCGTCTTCGTGCTGGTGATGCTGGGGGGATGGCGGGATGGAACGGATGGGGTGGTGGGTGATGTGTTGACGGGGGAAGATGATGCAGCTGGGGCGGCGTCGGTATCTATTAAGTAGGGACCTCCTAATACCACCATGCGTGCCCCGTGACGGCACCTGCCACTCGCCTCCGCAAGGAACGAGGGACCATGACGTGCACCCGATAGGCGCTCGCACCTTAGGTATCAATGTGCCTATCAAAGCTGGGTTTGGTCGCCAAGGACCCACTCTTCTGCTGGCTGGACGACCGACGGCGCGCAACTCATTGGAACCCCGGGACAACCAGAGCTCGGAACAGCTCCCACACACTCGCAGGGTGTTGATGCAGCCAGGACGGAGCTTGCGTGTCTGATCGCGTGTCCCGGCTGCCTTCCCCAATCCCAATCTGGTTGCGTTTCGCGTTCCTTCTGCAGCTCTTGGATGCACTTTCCGATTGCCACAGGCGTTGACGAGCTGCACGCCGATAAAGATGATTGCCATTGTTTTTACCGGACATGGCGGAACAAGGTGGGTTCGTAAGACAGATACACTAATAAGCAAGATCCTTTTGCTCCTCCGCGATTGAGGTACCGGTGCTGCTATACCTGTACCTAGGTATAGGTAGGTAGGTTCCTTGTAGGTAAGTACCTGACACGGGTACCTTAACGGACCTTAGCTTATCTCGCAAAGGTGCTGGGTTCCTGATGGACTCCCGCGGAACTGACTGCCAACGGGTGTGTCTGGAAGCTAAGGTATCTACATGCATTCGTTAACGCCTTAATACCTGAGGCCGCAATTTACCTGCCCAGATGACTCAGCATGGAGATTCAGCTCCTTGCTGAGGTCCTCCAGGTTCACAGAGCGCCAATCGCGCTTTGACCTTGAGGGAATGCGTCCTCCACCTAGCCACACGCACATACCGGTAGTGACAGTGACAGTTGCAACTCCGCACTTCAACTCAGAGTTCGTAATGTTCCAGATGCATGGCTACGTATCTAGATAGTATATCCGTAGTGTCTATATCCTACCCACTGCGTATGACTTGGAAAAGACAGTCAACAATCAGCATCTAGAGTCGCGGTCAATCACTAGCCTATCAGGACTTTGTGCGAAATGAGTTTTGAGAATTGCAACGAGGTAGGGATATATCTACCTAGGTAGGCCTTGCACCGTTCGCCGACATCGCACACCTCGCTATGCGAACCCTCCTAGTTGTGGTACAGGTTTTCGACCGATAGTTTTTGCGCCGCAAGACTTGCCTCGAGCACCGGACACATTGGGCGGGGAAATTCCATTGCTACTCCGTACCTAGTTAACGCAGAATTGATGCCATGTAGGGTTTTCCGATTCATGTTTTCAAATATCCCCTGTCTACTACTATAGGTAGGTAGCTCTGGAGCTCTGTCTTGTTGTTCCTCTCTCATGCTAGCACCCGCTTCCATGCAACCGGAGACTGGGAATCCTCGCCATTGCGAAGAAGGCGCGGGCTGAGAATATTTCGCGTGTGCAGTTCGCATTCCATCAGTGGGTTCATCACCATCACCATCGTAATTGCCATCGCAGTCACTTTTCACCATCGTCATCGCAGTCACTTTCACCGTCGCCATGACCCTAAACCGACTCAGCCGAAGTCAAAATTGAACCTAATAAGATGGACAATTGAGGGGCACGAGCATCCCAACGGTCATGACTCCCATACCTCCGGCTCTCGTACAGCGAAAATGTCAACCGTTGGCTCGATGACTTGTGGGACCGTTCCAGAATCGGAGTCGAGGAACCCACCGGATGTGAGGTTAGGGATATGATGCGCGCTCTTTAGCGTCTGCACACATTCCACCATGTCCACTACAGCTTACTGCTGTCTCTCTCTCCCTCCCTCAGCACTGTCCCAAAGTGTGCAGCTTGGTGGTAAGAGATGCCCCAAGTCCCCTCCGGTCCCTGTGGTCCCTGTTGAGGGGCATTCGTCGCCCAGCTTGACCCCGCCAATCACACCCCGCCACCCCACCGCTTCAACGTGAGGATGCGGCCATCCAAATTTTTTTTCGCTTTCAAGCTTTTTTTTTCTCTCCCTTCATAAGCTTGCTGGCTTCCCTCTTTCTTCCTTCTCCTACTTTTACTTCTTCACTGCCATTGTTTGCGTGAATTCTTTTCTCTTTCCCCAACTTCCTCTCACCGCATCTCGCAACACCACAATTCACAATGGCTGCCAATGGTTCTAACTACTCTCTCCCCGTCTCCCACAAGGAGGTACGTTCAGCGTCCTACCCCGCCGGCTCTCGAGAATGTTTTGTATGCTGACTCACTCGACTAGATGTTGGAGAGGTCCCTCATCGACTCGGACCCTGAGGTCGCCCAGATCATGGTATGTTGCTCTACCAATGCCTCGAATGTGGACATGAACAATGGTCTAACCAATTCCTACAGAAGGATGAGATCAAGCGCCAGCGCGAGTCCATCATTCTCATCGCCTCCGAGAACGTTACCTCCCGTGCCGTCTTTGACGCTCTTGGCTCCCCCATGTCCAACAAGTACTCCGAGGGCCAGCCCGGTGCCAGATACTACGGTGGCAACGAGCACATCGACCAGATTGAGATCCTCTGCCAGAACCGTGCCCTCAAGGCCTTCAACCTTGACCCCTCCAAGTGGGGTGTCAACGTTCAGTGCTTGTCCGGCAGCCCTGCCAACCTTCAGGTCTACCAGGCCATCATGCCCGTCCACGGCCGCCTCATGGGTCTGGACCTTCCCCACGGTGGCCACTTGTCCCACGGCTACCAGACCCCCCAGAAGAAGTGAGTCCTCGGGGATGCTCGTCACAGCTCCAATCTGGGTGGCATATGCTAACGTTTGACCTCTTCAAAGGATCTCTGCCATCTCTACTTACTTCGAGACCATGCCCTACCGCGTCAACCTGGAGACTGGCATCATCGACTACGACCAGCTCGAGAAGAACGCCCAGCTCTTCCGCCCCAAGGTCCTCGTCGCCGGTACATCCGCTTACTGCCGTCTGATCGACTACGCTCGCATGCGTAAGATCGCCGACTCCGTCGGTGCCTACCTCGTCGTTGACATGGCCCACATCTCCGGTCTCATCGCTGCCGGTGTCATCCCCTCCCCCTTTGAGCACGCCGACATCGTCACCACCACCACCCACAAGTCCCTCCGTGGACCCCGTGGCGCCATGATTTTCTTCCGCAAGGGCGTCCGATCCGTTGACGCCAAGACCGGCAAGGAGACCCTCTACGACCTCGAGAACCCCATCAACTTTTCCGTCTTCCCCGGCCACCAGGGTGGCCCCCACAACCACACCATCACTGCTCTGGCCGTTGCCCTGAAGCAGGCCGCCAGCCCCGACTTCAAGGCCTACCAGCAGAAGGTCATTGACAACGCCAAGGCCCTCGAGAACAAGTTCAAGGCCCTTGGTCACAAGCTTGTTGCCGACGGCACCGACTCCCATATGGTCCTCCTTGACCTCCGCCAGTTCAGCCTTGACGGTGCCCGCGTCGAGGCCGTCCTTGAGCAGATCAACATCACCTGCAACAAGAACGCCATCCCTGGTGACAAGAGCGCTCTTACCCCCTGCGGTCTCCGCATCGGCACCCCCGCCATGACTTCCCGTGGATTCGGCGAGGCCGACTTCGAGCGCGTCGCCACCTACATCGACGAGTCCATCAAGATTTGCAAGGAGGTCCAGGGCTCCCTTCCCAAGGAGGCCAACAAGCTCAAGGACTTCAAGGCCACCGTTGCCGGCGGCCAGGTTGCCAAGATCAACGACCTCCGCAAGGAGGTTGCTGCCTGGAGCGCCAGCTTCCCCCTCCCTGTTGAGGGCTGGCGTGTCGACGCTGGCATCTAAACTACATGTGCCAGCGATCAGCAAGCCACGTATGCCAGGGAGCGTCGTGGCGTTCGTGTAAGGGAGAATACGGATTATACCACATTGGACTATGACAATGGCCCAGTTCAACAAACAATGGTTCTCAAGGGATCAAGGGTGGGGCGACTCAAAGGTTTTAAGGGATGGTCGCGCATGACATTTAACATGGTTCATGAACAAAAAGGGAAAAAGGTGGCCTTGAAGACGAGGACATCTTGTTGCATTGTTTTTTTTTTCTCTTGCAGGCGTTGATTTGAGGCGGAAATACACTAAACCATCGGGGGCAAAATAAAATCTACTGGAGGCGGAGGAGTTGGGTGGCGTTCTCAACTTCGGCACTTTCTAGGGTAGCAAGACTGCTTCAACCGCGGTCGAGCGTCCAATGCAATCAACACGACATTGAAGAACAACTTTCTACGAACGACTCGTTTTGGTATCTTTCTGTGAATTCATCTCTAGGTTTACTTTACTGCCCCTCTCTCTACCCCCCGCTTTGGCTTGATGTTTGACAAGGTCAGCGTGGTGCGGCAGTTGAGACGTCGAAACACCGTGTAAGCTGATACATGGGTCCAGAGCAACCCAAGATAGGTAAAGACGACGGCTCCAAGGAGCATGGGCGTGCCCAGACCAAGTAGCGCTCTTTTCTCTATTCGGGGTGTTCTCTCACCTCGGTATGAGGCGCATTGTTGCCCTGACTTGAACACTTGAGGCTTTCGCAACCTGGGACATGCATTATTGACAGCAAAAATCCACAACTGGCCGTTCTCATTGTGCGAACCCTTTCAAGCACACACATAAGAGAAGCCCAACAACATGTTTATAGTGTCGACCGTACGTACGCCTTAGCTGCGCACAATGACTTTGTCACTACGAGACGCAAAGGATTGCGAGGCTGCCTTGTCCTCACGCAGATGAAAGGCTCGTTGATTCATTGTTCTTTCGCTGCGAGCCCGTATCTGTGCCAAAGGCAGGGAGCCCTCTGAGGTTGGCTTATATACCCAGCATCTGTCCCACAGCTGTGCGGCTTTTATTTCTCGATCCATCAACATCACCGTCACAAACACATTCAGCCAGGGCAGCATCATCAACAATTGTATACTGTCTATCCTCGGTAACCTAGCCGTTTTTTTCAACACCGCCTGATACCATCCATCGCTTTTCGTAAGTGTCCAACCGCACCAACCTTGACTAACGAGACCAGTTCCTCCTCATACCTCACACCGAATAACCGATTTTTCAAAACTGTAAGTCCAGTTCCGTGTCCTGCAAAAAGTCACCAAAATGGCAAAGGTAAGATCATCCCTCGTTTCTGTCATGATCGCCCTCGCCCACGTCAGCTTCGTGACCCCCTTCTGCGTCCCCCCGTTCCCAAACAACACCAACAGCACAAACACAACCATTCGGACCTCCCAATCCCCCGCCCCCTTTCCCACTACGGCTCTTGGTCGGCCACCGGCCCCGTACAATGTGTCAGGAAGACTTTCCGCCCCCCCGGCCCTAGCCTCTCTCACCTCCGCCCACGAACTCGAGTCCGAGGGCCCCTCCTTCTACCGCGGCAGCCAGAGCTGGCGCAATCAGATTTGCGGCGTGTCATCCTTCGCCGGCTTCACTCGCGCCACGTCGGCCCTGACTGCGGACTGCCTTGCCCTCGCCGACGACCCCGCCGAGGCAGGCCACCTGTGGTACGCAAAGGGCTTCGCCGACAATACGACGGTCCTCGAGGTACGCAACCACGGCACGTGCAGCTTCGGCATCCGCCCGCCATACGCGGACGACATGTACGGGATCGTCTCTGGGTGGTACATCGGCGGCATGGATGTCGCCGAGGTCGTCCGCACCGCCGTCCGGGACTACGACGCCGGCGGGCTGGTGGGCGCGACCGGCGTGATGCACTGCAAAATCAGCAGCGCGGCCAACGTCGACGTGCAGTGGGCCATCTTTGGGCCCGGCGAGCAGGCCGAGGCCGGGTGGTGGACGGCGCCGCCCGTCCCCTCGTCGGCTGGGACCAAGGCGCCTGTTGGCACGGCTGTGTTTTCGGCCGTTGCCGCCTTTTGGCTGCCCGTTCTCTGGTATGTTGTGAGTTGAGATGAGCCCGACACAGAGGGCAAATGAGAGCTTGGGTGAGTTCGTATAAGATGGGTAACGTGTCAATTGAAAATGATACTCAAGTAGCAACCCCTGTATAGTTCCCTGATAGGCGGTTAAACGGGCCTCTTGTGTTGCACATCCTCAATACTAGTGACTGTCCCAATAACCTCTCTCAACGTATGCATTCGCGATTCAACCATGTGAGTAACGGGAGGTCTTAGGGCAAGATTCGGGTTTGGGGGGTGGGGGCTGCGGATGATGGGAATCAAATTACTCGTGCCGTTGGCTGGGCTCTCTTGTCGATGTCGTCAAACCAAGCAAAAATTGGATTTTCTGTGTAATGCTGTTTGTTGCCTGAAGGACTTTGAGGGGAGCCATTTCCGTCACCTCGAGGCGGCCTGCGTCGGTAAAAGTCGCCGGACCCGACCGCCTGGGTGTGACTCGCACACTCGTGCACCCGCGAAGGAGAGTTTGGCTTGAATTTCCTTTGTCAACTGCAACCCGACTCGAGCCGTGAACTGCAGGATAGAAGGCTACCTTTGAGTTACGTTGATCACCGTAAACTTTACAGTGGTCTATGAGAGTCGTTGATGCCACTCATGATTCGACTTTTCCGAGACGCCGTCTCCGCAAGTACCCCGGGATAATCGTTCAGACGTGACCACATCAATATGCCTTCTCCAAGTTGCCACGTCTCCCAACTGAGACGGCCCAGGGCGCGTATACAGGCTGTAGATGACCCGCCCTTAGGCCTCATGCCATGTCAAACTCTGTTGGAAGAGAGGTCGTTCCGTTTATTGGAATCACCAAACATGGTCGCCCGACACGAGTTTCAGTTGCAGCGTGAAAACCGAAGCCGTCGCTCGAAAGGGTATTGTCATGTTTACTCAAGCCGACGGAAGTTAACGGCCATCGGGAATGGCAACATGGGCAATGAGGTTTCAGTCGAGGGTTTCCGGTGGCGATGTCTCCAACGCTGATGTTGACATGTTGTCTCTCCAGCTTCAGTCGCAGGGGAAGTTGCATGTCACCTAACCATGAAACCCTTGAGCCGTGTTGGACCATGACTGACTGGTTGGCGGTGGGCAAAGTGACGATGGCCGAAATAGCAGCCGAAGACGAGGATTGACCAGCAAGGTTTGTGCACAGCAGACGTACAAACTCCAAGGTCAAGGCAACGGTGCGGAAGGGCGGTCTAGAGGAGGTGTGGAAGTGTCAGTGCTTGTGCGCCTTTCTTCCGGGGAAAGATAGCGAATCGCCGGTGTCGTCGATCGGTTTCGGTGGCGGCCGTTAAGAGTTCGTTCTGTTCTGTGAGTCAAGACGGCGTCACGGACTCACGACACCGGAGCGGGGCCCATTTATTGAGATCAGCTGCCGCGCCTTCACCGTATCGTATCATCGGGCCGGTTGCTTCTCGACGAAGATAGGATCGCATTCGTCAGTCTCGAGAGTCCGTATACAGTCGTTCTAGCGGGGGAGGGGACGCTGATATGTGCATTAGACCGTGCTACCTACTTGTACTGCCTTGTCCTTCCTCGCTTATGTACGAAGTAATACATGGAAGGAGAACTTCCAGAAGCGGCAGTTGCGACGCCCCATCCCATGCTGTGGCGGCTTTTAGGGGGTGTTCAAAGTTTTGTGCAAAGAGACACAGTGGCTTGCGTTAGGCTTGTTACCTTATCCTGACGTGAGGTGTGTGTTACTCCATCCAAGGAGACTTTTCAAACTTGGAGCAAACAGCACGTTTCTTTCTCTCTGTCGAGTCACCACGTCAGGTCATCCAAAGGGGGTCAACCCTTGCGCCCCGAGTGAGGCTTCTGTATATTTGCATTTTGCTCGGCGTCAACAGACAGCACAGCACATTACCGCGATCAAGGTACCGAGTATATGAAGTCGAAATGAGTCAGCTGCCGTGTCTTGCGCCCCCCATCCCCGCCGATGCTGGGGTGCGTTTGCTTATGTCACATACACGTTTCGTGCCGCCTGCTTGCCATCTTCACCGAAGCAAGAAATGGGGCAGGGCAGTGCTTGATTGCAGAGGCCAAATCGCCGCGTGATGGGGCGCGAGGTGTTCTCGTATTGCTTTTTCGACATGGCCTTGCGCACGGACGATAACATGTAAGTGTTGGGAGGCGATGATTATCTGTTCGTCCGGTCTGAAAGCCAACCTGTCATGTCAAACGTTGGACATTGGTAGTGCACTCACCAGGTAGGTACCTAGGTAGTTGATTTACCTTGGCCAATCACGGTCAACTTTGCCAAACCAACAAAATAGACGAGTGTCTTTCGGGTTGGTGCAGGAAGGATGGACAAGAACAAAACCAGAGGCAGTCATGTCAGAGACCCAACATTGGTGGCGCCTTTTGGTGTTTCGGGGACGGCAAAGGCGTTTGCAATGGAGAAGGGTGTCTGTCTGTCTGTCTGTCTGGCCCCCCCGGGTCCCCAAGTTGATGTCTTCACCCTGAACGATACGTCATCTGTGGAAGTCTATTTACTCTGATGATACGTATTCGTGCTGCACGTGTAATGTGGGAAAGGAAGGCGGGTGAGGCATTGTTACATCGTTAGTGGAGGGGCGGCCACTTCGCAGTTGCAGATGATGTGCCGTTGGTGCGCGGGCAGCGAGCGGACAGGCCCGCTATCTACCTAAACGTACCTACTACTTACCTACTATGTAGTAGCACCAGGGCACCAATGGACCTTCGTTCTCGAGGCGCCTTCCCGGGCCCCCCTTACCCTATCCTATGCCTCCAAACCTGGTAGTCGCCCTTGCAAAGCTGCTGCAAGAGTACGGATACTGGCTGCACTCTTACATTGAAAAGAAGCCAAGACGAGTTCGGTTCATGCTGTCCGCCTGCAAAGTCAACTCGGCGCCACATTTCGCTCTTTCGCACGACGTACTTCCTTTCCCCCCATTGGACGCCCATTTGCCCTGCCACAGTCCTCGAGCTGGCACTCGACTCGACTCTACCCCTTCAAGGTCTATCTGTCTGTCCATCTGTCTTGCCTCGCCTTGCCTTGCGGTATCGTCTTCCGTCCGTCCTGCTTTTGTTTCCTGCCGGGTTAAGCTGGCGCTTCCGCCTCCGTCCTCAGGGGGTGTGTGACCAGTCCGGCCGGTGTGCGACACTCCATCACAAGGCCATCTGCGACGGGGGCGTTCCTCCTTTCTCAAATACTGCTTGCTAGCTTGTGCTTGTGCTTTTGCGCCTCACGCGTTAAGAACCAGGTAACGGACGCCATCTAAGCACCTCGACGCGCAACATCGAGCCGCCTCATCTTGGCTTCCGCTGCGGCTCTAACATGACTGTTCTTTTCCTCTCTAGCCGTACATATACCCCTACCCCTATCGATATAAAGACGTTCCATACAGGCCCCTCCCATTACATCTAGACTTCTGACCCTCGTTTCCTCGATACGCCCGCCTTGTTCGAATATAACTCTGCCAATCCCTGCAAAGAGTAAGCTGCGTTAGCTAGCGAGCGACGACCAAGACTCTTTCTCTCTCTCTCTCTCTCCCCAAGTCCCCCGCTGCTGGCTTGGCCTTGAGCAAGCAAGCATGGTAAGTTATTCGTTTGTCTTCTTCCTGTCAACGGCTTACACTCGTGCGTACCGACCCGCTCATCACCATCTCTGCTCCTTCATCGTGTTTCCTCGTATGACATCTTATTACACTAGTAGTGCCCCGATAGACACTTGCACTTTGTATCTTGCTTTTGCCCTGTACATACTAACCACACATGTGTATACTCAGGGGTCCATCAACAAACACATTTCTCGCTACGAAATCACTGCTGTCTTCACTCATCCAGACGCTGTTGTCGACGTTGTTCTGGTTCACGGCCTCAACGGAGACCCCGAGAAGACATGGACATCTTCTGATGCCAAACGCGTCTTCTGGCCTGCCGAGCTACTCCCCCAGTCCCTGGGAAAGACCCGCGCCAACATTTTGGTCTACGGCTACAACGCGGATGTTTACACAACAGGAAAAAGTAGCAAAAGTGCCAGCGACAACTTCATCTCCCAGCATGCTCAGACTCTGGTCACCAATCTCACCCTCTACCGCAAGAGCGAGCGCACGTCCAATAACCCCATCATCTTCGTCGCGCATAGTCTAGGCGGTCTCCTGGTCAAGCGTGCCCTGCTTTACTCCAATGATGTCAGAGACAAGAACCAAGAGGACGCCAGGTCCATCTTCGTCTCAACTTATGGAATCATCTTTCTAGGTACTCCCCACACTGGCTCAGACATGGCAACATGGGGGCTCGTCTTGCAGAAAATGGCAGATGCCATAGCACCAAGAAAAGTATTCGAAAGCGAATCCGTCCTCCTCAAGACGTTGAAAAAGGACAATGAGACGCTGGAAAACATCAATAATCACTTCCTCGATGTCTACCAGCGGTTTCAGATCCATATGGCTCACGAGAACCACAAGACGGATGTCAAAGGCACAAAGTGAGAACATTTATACTTACATCCACTTTGATTTGCCTCTGGGGGGCTTAGTAAGGCCTGTTTGTCTCATCTCTCTTACTACCATGCCATTCTGCTTTCCTCTGTTTCATCTCTATAGCGTCCATCATCTCTGTTTCCCGTCTTTCCAATCCATGCCCTTTTCAAATCCGCGGTAAAAGGCCAACGTGACAGGCTGAACCAGTCAGTGATATTCTTTGGCTAATATATACGATCTATCATAGGATGCTAGTGGTTGACGCCAAGTCAGCAAGTCCGCAACTGCCAGGCGTCACTTACTACGGTATCGAGGCCACCCATTCTGGCATGTGCAAGTTCAACAGCACCAGCGCGCCTGGATATAGAAATGTATCGACCGCCATTCGCGACTGGGCAGAAGAAGCCCCGCCAGTGATCCGAACTCGCTGGGAGATCGAGATAGACGACAGGAGAGCGAGAGCCCAGTCAGAAGCAGTCGAGAGGATGCGTAATTACAGAAGCATTAGTAGCACATCTTCGCAAGGTACTTTTCCTCCATCTCTTTCGTCTGGAGCTCCCAAGTATTCCCAATCCTCGTTCTGGGACTCACCTGCATTTCCCCTCGTAGTCAAGGCCGCCGATCAAGGCTAAACTATCCCGGAGAATGTATAGGAGATCGATTCTAACAGTTCGGCAGATTTAAGTAACGCCCTATCGACACAAGTCTCATCGCCGACTGCCATTGCCGACACTATGGGCTTCTCTCCATTTGCCTCGGTGCGGGAATCGTATACGCCCCGCCCTATTTTTGTCCACCCTGACCGATTTCGGCCCAATTCGTTCTTCAAAGGGCGCCAGGACGAGCTCCGTAGTCTCCACAAGGTGTTGACGGACGCCAAGAGACGATCAGAAGGCACTTCTGCCGTGCTGATTCAGGGCATCCCCGGGGCTGGAAAGACACACTTGGCTCGTCAGTATGTATTCAACCATAAAGACGATTACCCGGGTGGAATATACTGGATCAGATCGACCAGTCTGCAAGACATGGAGGATGGGTTTTGGCACATCGCGAAAACGGAGGCTATCAGGGGTATGGCTGCCCAAGAAGAGAAGAAGGACTTGTTGAACCCTCAAAAGATGGTCGAGATCGTTCGGAATTGGTTCAACGAATCAGAAAACTGGCTCCTGGTGTTCGACGGCATCCGTTTTGGCGACAATGCTGTGCTCGACTTCATTCCCGACAGACCAAACAGCAGCCTCATCTATACGTCGACAGAGCGCGCCGAGGCTGGTGCATATCGTCTGGATAATCCGAGCATCATGAAGCTAGGTCTTCTTCCAGTTCAAGACGCGCAGGAATTGTTGCTCGAAGAAATGGGAAAGAAACAGCCGTATACGACTGACGATCTCAGGCGGGCCCAAGACTTGGTGCAGCTGATGGGCCGTCTCCCCTTGATGATCCATGCTGCGGCATTGCAAATGAATGTAACACGAGAGCCCCTCGCCAAGTATCTGAAGTCGTTCAGAGACATACCGAGAGTGGGAATTCTTCCCGCCTACAAGACAATCCGAGACCAACTGCAAAAGCGAGGCGACGTCGCCGCTCTAAATCTCATATACATACTCTCTTTCTTCAGCCAGTCGATGCCAGTCGAGATGCTGGCACTTGGACTGAAGGCTCTCGATAAGCGCACACCGGTGAAGACGGAAACCACACGCCACAAGAAAAGCCTGACTCAAACTTTGGTCACGTTAATCAACTTTGCCCTCATTGAGCGAAACGAAACAGACGACATTCCTTCCTCCAGCTCACAAAGCACTCGTCAAAGCGTCGAGCTCATCCCCGAGCCATTGGATACGCTCCGTGTGCACAGCATCGTACAAGCATTCTTCATGGAACTTCTTGCCGAGGAGCGGCAGTTGGAATTCTGGTTAGAACGCGCTGTCCGAGTCTTCTGTCAATCACTCGATGAAGCCGATGCCAGAATGGGTACCGACCCCGATACCGGCTTGCCGGATGACTACCGGCAATACGTAAGACATGGAAAAAAGCTGATGGAGCATCTCGATCGTCACGGCCATTCTCACAAGCATCACAAAGCCAAGGAGCAACCTAATTCGCAACGGTAAATTCGTTCCCACCCCTTAACTGCCGCTACTGCTGCTCATTAAAACTCTCTGTTGTCCTATCGCCCGTATGAGACTAATACTGGGACGCAGAGACAACCCGGCAGACTTGGTTACGGCCAAAGCTGATCTCGAAAGACGTCTTGCAAAACTTCCGAGAGAAATTGACAAGCTACAGAAAGCCGTATCAACAGATATCGTAGACGGCAACAAGACCGCCACGCACTCTTCTGTATTCGAACGCACGTGCAGCATATCGTCGCAGTCAACAGAGGCTTCCAACGGCACGAACTTACCGAATCGCACTTATTCGGAGGATGTCGAGTGCGAGTCTCCGCTTCCCTTCGTTGACCCGAATCATTTCCACATGCCGTATCGTTCATTTCCGGAGGACAATGAGCCCCGGGCCGAAGACGAAAGATCCGAGGATCGGACCATTACTCCGTATCCTCCGGATGTGGTGGAGGGCCCGAACCCAAATTCTTCCGAGTCGGAGTGGACCGTTGTTTCCAAGCACCGCTCTGTGAAGAAACGAGAGCAGCGACGCTATCGTGATCATGGGGGGGCATGGAGAGAGACTACCGCAACGGCTAACGATCCACGCGTAAGTATCAGTCGGGAGTCCGCCCGCGGTCTCATCACTCCACCTCAGTCTTCTAGGGCTGGAAGGCCCCCCAGTCATTCAAGAGTGACAGCCATGAGCGAGGCCGAGACTGAGCTCATGCACATAAAGAAAAGCTCCCCCCCTCCACCTCGAGGCGGTGGTCAAATCTACAACAGGGGCCGAAGCTCTAGCACAGCTACTGCACCGCAGCCGCTGTCGATCCTGGGCCAGTCCAGCTACGCAAATGTAACATCGGGAACCACTATCGAGGATGAGACATTCTTGAATCCTATGTCTCCTACGCCACCGTCAAGGGCAGGAAGCATTGACAGAATAGCCGCCTACGATGATGCTCGTTCAGTCAACAGTTTGCGAACTATCGATAGCATGCCCTTATCTATCGCGCAAAGAATGAAAGAGAACCAGCCTGCGGACACGATCGGATTTGGAGGCCAACCTCGAGCAAGTAGGCCACCGGCATCTCAACAGGATCGAGAAGTGCACCCTGTCCGACCCGTTCACTTTACAAATTTTCTTCGACGCGTGGCCGGTTCCGTCACCGGAGCGAGGCGTCCGAACGAGTCGAGCAAAGGGCGAACAGGTATCGGTGGACCGGGAGATTCGGCAGATGCGGGGCCATCCGATCCTCAATCTACTGCAAGGCCTCCTATAGTCCTGAGCGAGGGTGCCTGGACAGCAAACTCCAGCCCGGGAACGCAACATACGGCGCTCTTTCCTTCTGGGCTATCAGTTGTCACGAATCAGACAAGCAGCCTGCAACGGACTCCCACGAGTGAACAGGACGCCGCAGCCACTCGACAGCCCTACCCTTACGATTATGGGGAATCTTATAGCAAGGCTCTCTCACGGTCTAACCCGAGTCTTGAACGGCCAGACCTGAATATCGTATTGCCCGCAACCGCAGTTTCAGAGAGTCCTGCCCAAGCAAGGCCTCCGAACGGTTACTCATCGCAACCCATGTCGAGAAATCCGAGTTCAAACCCTCAAACCGCGGGAGCGACCGGCTCGATAAGCACTCCTGTAAGCAGCAACAGCGGTAGTATCAGATCAAGCCTGGCCCGCCCCCGAGCACCGTCAATGGTTGAGACGGAGCCCTCTCCGCGGATTGCACCGATTGATATGGACCAGACATCCTATGATGTCTGGAGACAAAGGCACAACGGACGTCCCCGTAATGAGGCACTGTTCGGGGGGAGCAACGTGCCCAGTCTGCTACCAACGGGGCGACCACCCAACTTTGCACGAGAAAGTCCAATAGCCAGCCCACGAAGCGCCTCGGGCGGGGAGAGTATGACTCGATCTGGGTCTGGGGGCATCCGGCTTGCGGATGGCGGGTTCATTGGGTTTGGCGAAATGACTGTGAACGTTATAGATGCTAGACAGCGGTTGAATCAGTCAGACGAGGAACACCTTCAGCGAAGGTCCGAGGAGGCAGTTGAGTTTTCCCGCCAGGTGAGAGCTGGAAACGTTGGCGAGTCCCCCCCGGAATTGGCATACGTTGGACTGGGGGTCCGGCTGGGATAGATGGGAATGCACTGCTGGTTCTCATTCTGGGATGTATCTTTCGGAACGGCTGCTGCTTAGATGGCAGTACAGTATAGTAGAACAGAACGGGCTGGCGCTGTGACATGTCAAAAGCGGCATTATGGGTGGAGACTGATTGCCTATTTTGTTTCGGTAGCGAAATTACCCCCCCCCCCCCCCCTCGGGGGCTTCAGCGTTTGTTTCTTTTGTCTTGTTCTCTTAGAAAACATCATAGTAGTAGAAACATCAAAGCAGCGTTCTTGTACTCGATGCCTCTTCTTTCCATTTGCACGGAAAATGCCCGTTCCGCGAATTGCAATTTACAAGTCTAACAGAAGTAGGAAATTTTGACGCCATCCGGCTCTGGCGAGGACAATACCACGTTCGCAAGGGAACCAGTCGACACCCTCCGCCCCACAGCATTGCAATTCCTCATGCCTTTGGCGCCAGCATGAGCACGTACTCTCGCGTGCTGTGCCCTAGCTTGATCATGTCCTTGTCCCTCAACTCGTAGTACCGGCTGTCGGCGATCTTGTCCCCGTTCAGCACCGTCCCGTTGGCGCTCTCCAGGTCGATGAGGTACGGCTTCACCTTGCCGATCCGGTCGCCGAACTCGTTCCTCTTCTCGACGTGGCGGAACTGGATCACGGCGTGCTGCTTGCTGATGCTCGGGTGCTCGGCCGCCAGGTCCACGACGGCCGCCTCGCGTCCGACGAGCCAGCAGCTGCGCGCGCTCAGGTCCACCGTGTCCACAATGTCGGCGCCCTTGAAGACGAAGAGCCGCCACTGGTCCTTGGCGGCCGGCTTGCGCGCCTCGGCGGGCTCGTGGTACTTGAGCACGATGGAGGTGCCGTCGGCCTGCTGCACCGAGTTGGAGGCCGCCGCGAGGAGGCCCGTCGTGCGGAGGTTCGGCTTCTCCTTGGGCTTCTCGGGCTCCTCGCCCTTGGACACCGCGAAGGAGGCGTCCTGGTCGGGGAGCGGGCCCGCGCGAAGGAGGGGGCCGGCGGTGGGAGCGGGCGCCGGCCGCTTGCGTCGGGGGGCTTCATGTTCCGGGTCGGAACCGGGGTCGGAGCCGCGACGGCGATGGTGACGGCGGCGGGCGAGTTCCTTCCCGCCGCTGGCGCTGGGGGATCGTCGCCTACGCCGGTCTCTATCTCTTTGTCTGTGTCTGTGTCTGTCTCCGTCGCCGTCGCCGTCTCGGTCTCGGTCTCGGTCTCGCGAGCGGGAGCGTTTCCGCGACGAGGAGTCCGGGGTACGTGAGCGGCGTCTCTCGCGGCCGTCCCGTGAACGCGACCTCCGCCTGTCTCTGTGTCTGTCGGAGCCGCGGTCGCGCCCGTGGTCTCGGTCTTTGCTTCGTCTGCGCCGGTGGCTATCGCGGTCTGCGGCGTCCCTGCGCGGCCTTGTGTCTTGGTCGTCATCGTGGCTGCGCCGAGAGCGGCGGTCGCGGCGCTCGTCGTCTGAGCCCATTGTGTGATTCGGGGTCCTCCGAAAGCGCGGCTCGGAATACTGGTTTGGCTGAGGGTTGACTAACTAGCCGGCTGGCGGAGGAGCTCGTCAGGTACCTTGGGCTGCAGCTCGCGGCAAGCGCAGCACTTCGGAGGCTTCGAGCCTCGGGTAAATAACCCTGAGAAGTCCGCCGAAGAACTAGGGATCTTTGTTTTTGTAAGAAAACCAGGAAAATTTGGCGGGGAAATCGTACCAGACGGTGGTGTCCGAGTCGCAGGCAACGGGGAGAAAATCCTCCTGGGAACTCTGAGGTCATCCCACGGCGGACGTGCACTTTGGCGCGGCACGCAACCCCACACACGCCGCGTTCTCGGCCCCCACGAGACCAAAGGAGCCCCCCCCCACACCGGCCCCGTCCTTACTCCCCTTACCGTATCGCCCGGCTACCCTCGTGTCCTAGTCATAGCCCAGAAATAGCTAGGTAGCTAGCATGATTGGTAGAGACTCACCTTCTTGGTCACAACTTAGCCAATTGTTTGATTTGATCGTCTGATTCCTCGACGGTCGCGCAACCAAGACGACGGTCTGCGAACTTAGTTTCACTGCTCATGGAGAGGCAATTGGTACTGCTTTCTCGGCTATCTTAAACCCCCGTAGATTCTATAACCTTTTATCGCACCGCCGGTTGTGCCTCTTATTCTCCAAGGCTCTAATTACAGCCCTTTTCAAAAATTTCCATCCTGAGATCCTGCCTCGCTATGCGATGCTGAACTCGGGAATCTCACCCATCTCGTTCTTAGACTCCGCTCCAACCTTATAAGAAATCCTCCACCGCAGCTTGAGAGACTCTACCTTGCGGTTCTTGTCCCCGGCATGCCATACTTCTACGAACTGCGTCACACCTCTGGTCTGACTAGGGGCCAATGAGCGCCCTGTCTGGGGTCTGAGACCAAGTTCGTAACCCTGAATGGAGTCAGCAGTTTGTTCATCTTCTGTCGGACATGGACCGGAAGCTTACCTTTGTTGCAGCGAGCTGGTAATGAAGCTCGGTGACGGGTTGCGCAGACTTGTTCGAAAAGGCAAAACTTAGATTCATAGCATTGCCAGCCCCAGACCTTCCAGCAATCATCTCAATCTTCACGATAGAGTCGCTTACAGTCGCCTTATGTTCCTTAGGTTGGCTAGGAGCCTCAGGCGGCAAGGCTGATGAGAAGGACCATTCGTCGTCATCGTTCGTGGCTGCTGCGGGCGGCGCGGTCACCGCAGGCGGCTGAGCAGGAGTAGCAGGCTTAGAGGAAAACACGGGCGAGGCAAGGGCGGCAAAAGGATCGTTTGAAGCCGGAACCTGCTGCTGAGGGGGCTTGAATGCGGACATTCCAGAAGGCTGGGGAGTACCGGATTGGGACGCCATGGGGGACGTGAAGGACGCGAATTGAGAGAAGGACGCCGCTTGAGGTGTGGCGATGTTGCTCATTGTACCCTTTGCACTGTTGTTTTCCGTTACGGAAGACAGCAGTGCGGGGCCTGGGATGTCTAGCTCTAGTCAGTACGGCACACACACATTGAACAGCGAGGTCAACTTACTCTGATTCGCTCCAAATCCAAGCGCCAGAGCACCTCCTTGGCCGTAGCTTGTAGAATCGCCGATAGAAAGACCAAGAAGGTCATTCTCGACACCGGTGGACTGTTGACCTGACTGGCCTGAAGACGAACCGTTCATTGTTTCTGGTTCCCCATCGAAATCGATCAAAGATAGCTCTTGCGCCGCGCTCTTGGACGAACCAGAGGTCGACGGAAGTGACGCCCCGCTAGCCACCTTCAGTGCAGCCTCCAGATCGCCCTTCTTCATGAGTTTGTACCGCTCCACCGTCTGGTGTATGCTGTCGTTGATCTCAAGCAGCTTCGCAACAGCTTCATGGTCATCCGACTCCTCCTCACACATCTTCTGAATCTTGGGCTGCGCACTCTGCAAGGCTGCCGCGAGCTCGGAGAAGACATCACCATCCTGCATCGTATCGCCCTGCTGAAACGCCTCGAGCCTCTCCTCAAGCAACCGTGCCTTTGCTTGGATCTTCGCAACTTCTTGGGCAGCCTTTGCGCGATAGTCCGTCTTGGATCGAGTATCGTAACCGGCCATAATCTTCATCAAACGGTTCGCCTCCTGCAGGTCCTCGGGGGTGCCTCGGCGGATCAGCTCCTGAAGCTTGGCCGATTGCGCCTCGCGCTCTTCCTCCTCCATTTCCTCAGCAGATTTTAGATTCTATGCCTGTCAGTACCATCCTTGGACCTTGAAAATAGACAACAGATAGAGAATCTCACATCACTTGGGTTGAGCACCGCGGCATCATCACGCCGAACCTCAGGGAACGTGTACCCTTTGTAGCTTAGAAGACGATGCATGTCCCGAATGAAGCCCAGGTCCTCCTTGTATCTGCTTGTTTCGCATATCGTACTCCTCCACTCCTCGATCGCCTCGAGAATCTTCATCTGCACCCGCGTTGCCCGTATCGGGGGTCGTTCGGGAAACCTCCTGACGAGCTCATTGAGAAATTCCTTTGTGCTGATCTGCAGGTGGAACGGGTAGCCGCAGTTCTTGACGCAGATATCGAGCAGATTGAGCGCCAAGAGGGCCACGTTAGGGTTGCGATGGTTGATGTAGCTGACGATGGCGACAGCGGCCTCGCGCGGGGCGGAGCCTTTCTTGGAATTGATCAAGTCGGAGATCTCAAGGTTCAAGGCAAGATTCGGCTCGTAATTCTCGGGACTGCAGGCAGCCTGGATAAATCGCTGCAGCTGCGATGGCGTGGGCGAGCCCATCTCGCCCCAGCGGTCTCGGGCCGCAGCTCTGGCTGATGCGGCCTCCATCGTTGCGGTAATTGCGTTCGGGTGCGGCCTTGGGCGGAGAGGTAAGGGAGCTATCTAGCGATTAGAATCTCGTCGTCGTCGTCGTCGTCGTTAAGGTCTCAAGGTGCAAAAGACATCGGATTTTGGGGGGCCGAGAGGAATCAAGAGCTGGCCGAGCAAGCGCCTGCGATTTGGATATAGTGGATTAGGTAGGTCGGCGCAGGCATCCCTCATGAACCCTTTGATAGGTACGTACACTGACATCTGTGGCCGAATGACGAGGGGCTGCCGAGAGTGACAGGCGGCGCGGGAGGAGCCACTTCGATTCCAACAAGGTGGCCTATGCTTCATATGTGGGTTCCCTCATCTTCCTGGAGTTACGTACGCCTAATTGCATACATGGACCAAGTGATGCAGCTTATCGAATTTTTCGAGCTATCGCTACCAATTTTGCCCCTCCAAGTACTCCGTACCCCGCCAAACCATCTCTTGTGAAGGAGAGAAGCTGGCGAACAACCGTAAGAAATTCGCCCCGAGTATCTTTCTCCGTCTCTCGCGAGCCATTCTTCGATTATCCCTCTAATCCTCGAAAATGGTCCGCCACAAAAAGGATAACTTCGGCTCTCGCGGCCGCAAGAATCACAACTCAGGACCCCCACGACAGCGCCAGCCCCGGAGTGGCGACGATACCGAAGCCCCTACCTCCCGTCCTACTTTCAAAGCCGCCTGCTGGGACCTGGGTCACTGCGATCCCAAGCGATGTTCTGGCAAGAAGCTGATCCGCATGGGCATGATGCGCGACCTTCACGTTGGCCAGCGTCACAATGGAGTCATCATTACCCCCAACGGTAAGCACACCGTGTCTCCGGCCGACCGCGACCTCATGGAGCAGTACGGCGCCGCCGTCGTCGAATGTAGCTGGGCGCGCATGAAGGATGTACAGTGGAACAAAGTCGGGGGAAAGTGCGAGCGTCTGCTGCCCTACCTGGTGGCTGCGAACACGGTTAACTACGGCAAGCCGTGGAAGCTGAACTGTGTCGAGGCCTTGGCTGCGGCATTCTACATCTGCGGGCATCCCGAGTGGGCGGAACAGGTTCTTGCACCTTTCTCTTATGGCGAGGCGTTCTTGGAGATCAACGGAAGTCTGCTGAAAAAGTACGCGTCGAGTGAGGACGAGAAGGGTGTAAAGAGGGTTCAGGATGAGTGGCTGGACAGGCTTGATAAGGAGTACGCGGAGAGCAGAGAGGAGGGCGACGCCGATGATATGTGGAAGGGGGGAAACACAAATCGGAGAGCTATACCAGATTCCGACGAAGAGGAAGAGGAAGATGACGATGAGGACGACGAGAGCGGAGAGGAGCCCGGCGAGGGCGGCAGTGTCGACGGCATATACCTAGGTAAGAAGCCCGCGAAAGACCAAGAGGAAGTGGAAGAAGACGAAGACCCATACGCCATATCAGATGACAGCGACGACGATGCAGCCATGGAGGAGATCCGTCGTAAGGTGCTCGCATCAAAGACATTCTCGAACCCTTCAGCAGAGGAGAAGAAAAAGCCCGAGGCGATACCACGGCCGCAGACCCTGAAGCCGGATTCGGATGTTGAACCGGACTCGGACAACGGGGAGGATGACGATGATTTCGACAACATCATCAACGCCACGCCCGTCACCGATAAGATCGGTCTGGCCAAGCTCGAGAAGGAGCGGTCGCGGTCAACAGTGACAAGTAGGACGTTCTCGTCAAGCACCATCTCTGCACCAAAGCGATGGTAAAATAATACAAAAGCCAAGTCGAGAATGGCCGAAGATGACATGATACATATTGTACAATTGCCATTATGGTCTATCTCTACTCTACAGTGACGTTGTGTGGGTTGTGCCCTTGGGTGAACCGACTCTCATCCAAGGTCAGCTATGACAGCCAAGTACCTCTTAGTGCCTGCTGTTCCTTCCTGCGCCTGTGATATCCCCGGTATTTTATTGTGTAGGTGTCTTCATATCTTACAAGCTTCGCTTCTCTCTCACTTCCTCGTATGTTTGAATCTGGTCGCCGGCCTGGAAGTCGGTGAAGCCCTCAAAGGCGATACCACACTCGGTACCTTTCCTGATCTCATTCACGTCCTTCTTCCCGTGCTTGAGGGTATCGATCTTGCCTGGAAGCGGTTTTAGATTAAATCCAATGTTTTGAGCAAGGTTTTCGGGGGCTGACTTACCATCAAAGATCTTCTCACCTTTCCGCAAGATGCGCACATTTGTCGACCGAGTGACCATTCCGTTCCTTACCTTGCAACCAGCAATGTTCTTGTAAGTGCGTCCCTTGACGTTGATGGGGAACACCTGCAGAATCTCCGCCTCGCCGACAACCTTTGACGTCACCTTGTCGGCCAAGTTCTCAGACATGACCTGCTTCACCTCGTCCGACAGGTGGTAAATGACAGTGTGGTCCAATATCTTCACGCCCTTATCCTCGGCCAGATGCTTGACATGGGCTGGGATAGCGCTGTTAAAGTTTGCAATAACGCTGTTGGAGGCCTCGGCGTATTCAACGTCCGACTCAGACACCTGGCCGGCCGAAGACCGAAGAATCCGAGGCTTCACTTCATTGTTGCCGATCTCTTTGATGGTCGCGCACACAGCCTCGACGGACCCCACGACGTCAGCCCTGACCATGAAGTTGACAACCTTGGTCGCGATAATTTCGCCTTCCTCAGCATCGACTGTTTCGATCTCCTTGGCGACTTCTGCCGCGATCTTGGCTTCGCGTTCGCGGTGTTCCTGCTCGGCTAGCTGCTTCGAAGACGCCTCTCGTTCACGCATCTCCTCGCGGTAATCGACGGCTGTTCTCGCCCGATCCTCATCCGGTGCCTGTAATACTTCGTCTCCAGCGGCAGGGAGTTCGTCCCTCCAACCAAGCACCTCGACAGGCATTCCGGGAGGTGCCTCCTCCAGCTCCTGACCAGCCTCGTTCCGCAGGAGCCGAACCCGGGCCCAGGCGGTGCCTGCGACAACGAAATCCCCGGGGCGCAGAGTGCCTCGTTTGACGAGAACGTTTGCAGATTTGCCGTATTGCTTCACGCTAGCTTCAAGCACCCAAGCTTCCGCCATGCCGTCTTTCTCGGCGCGCATATCCTGGATGTCCGCGAGGGTGACGATATTCTCTTCGAGGTCGCCCATGCCCTGGCCGGTCTTTCCACTGACGCAAACGACCTGGACGTCACCGCCAAAATCCTCAATTTCTACACCGTGACGAGCAAGATCGGCCTTGACTTGGTCGGGCTTGGCGTCCTCCTTGTCACACTTGTTGATGGCCACAATAATCGGCACATTTGCTGACTTGGCATGCTTGATGGCTTCAATGGTTTGAGGCTTGACACTGTCGTCAGCAGCAACGACCAACACCACAATGTCGGTGACATTGGCGCCACGTTGTCGCATGGTCAAGAAAGCCGCGTGACCGGGAGTGTCAAGGAAAGTGATAAGCTTGCCGTCGGACATTTTCACCATGAAAGCGCCGATATGCTGGGTGATGCCACCGTGCTCTTGGGCTGCGACGGAGGATTTCCTCAGATAGTCAAGTAGAGTAGTTTTACCGTGATCAACGTGACCCATGATAGTAACAACCGGAGGCCGTGGTGGTAGCACGGTTACGTCCTCTGGCGGAGGTCGAGGCCTGAGATCCCGGACACCGCCAGTGTCAACGGTTGGCTCGAAACCGAACTCCTGAGCTACCAGAGCGGCAGTTTCTCCAGTCATGATGCTGTCCTCGGTAATATCCTCAAATCCCATCTCTGACAAGGACCTGAGGAACGCCTGCGGCTTCAACTTGAGTGCAGTACCTAGGTTCGAAATGCTAATGAACTCAGGCAGGAAGATGTTCTGAGGAGCAGCCTTCTCCTGCGCTAGTCTCCGCGCCTTTGCTTCGGCCTTCTTGCGGCGACGTTCAGCTTCCCGGCTCGCACCATTGTCTTCCCATACTTCGTTCTCGTTCTCCCATTTTTGTTGCGCTACCGATTTTTTAGCGCCGCGGGAAGAGCCGTACGCATCTCCTCTCCGGCTTCCTGCTTTGTCGCGTCGCCTTGGATCGCGGCTGATTTCGTAGGACTCGTCAAAATCCCGTGTTCGGCGTTCCGGCTTTGATGAGTTCTCCACCATGACCTCTTCCGTCACGAAATCATTGCTGCTTGAGCGGCCAAGATCCCGGCGTGATGTCCGGGGCTCCTTGCCTTGTTGATTGTACTTTGTGTCCAGAACTTCTGTGAACCTGGAGAAGAAGCTTTCTTTCGACAAGACTGGGCTTGACAGCGCATCGGGAGCTGTATCTTGAGAACGGTTGCTGGGGGGCTTCCTCGCGAGTTGACCCCATCCGCCAGTTTCCCCGCCGGCCGAGTTTCCAAGGCCCATCTTCTGCTTTGGTGGAACTTGCTGTGCTGAATACCTGGTTTTCTCGTCCTTCGCAAAGTGTCGGCTGTGCGGTACTGGTTTGGTAGTTGGGGGTCTCTCTGTCTCGGACCGATGTCTCCAATCTTTCGCTGCCAGAGGCTTCTCCTCGAGTCCCGCCAGTGGTTTCTTTGCGCCTACAGCAAAATTATTGGCGAGAGGGTTTCGAGAAATCCTGGGCCCATTCAAACCACCAGGGAGGCCACCTAGGGGCTTTGGCTTCTTCGCAGCCTTGGGCTGTATTGCTTGCTGCGCCGCCAGCTTCTTTCGTGCCGCGAGCTCATGAGGGAGAAGCAGGCTGTCAAGTGAGTCACTCAGGCTGAGAGGGCTCTTTCGTTCATCGGCTTTCGACGCCCCTGAAGATGGCTCAGCACCAAACAACGGCTGGCCCCATCCGCCGCTGGCAACTGGACCACGCGGTACTGAAGAAATGCCTGCAACCCCGGCTGGTTTCACACCATGACCTCGGCCCCAGCCGCCGGTTTTATCGTTGCCCTGCGGGGTGGGATTCGATGCGTCCGAGTAGTTGCGCCGACCAAGGTCATGTTGTCGTGAGAGGGTGGGGTGGCGACAGAAGGCGCGGACATGTGCACTGCTTCGCTCCTATGAAGGGATTAGGTTTTGTATCATACCGTCAAGGAAAGGAGACAAGTTACTTACGTTCCATATCCTACATCGAAGCATGGTCTGTTATTTAGCGCAACATGAACAGCGGCGGCAATTGAAGAAACACAAGACAAGCTTTGATTGAGCTCGAATCGCCCCAGAAATTTCTCAAGCTCGAGGTGAGTATGTGCAATGTGCAGGCAATTGCTTCTGGCTGACAGGCGAGCTTTGATTGGTCTAAAAAGGTATCCACCTGCAGACGGGTTGTGCTTATGCAGGGCCATCAATTAATGTGCAATCTATCCCCCTGGCCCCTCTAGCAAAACTAGCCAGCTTGGAGCTTAGACACCCTGGTTAAGCTCCTTTCAAACTTGCAGGTCAACCTGCTGTATCAGTGTCACGACGGTCACCATGGCGCCCAAAATCAAAGCCGTCAAGTCCAAGTCGACGCCCAAGAGGTCGCCTGGCACGCCGCCGGCACCTTTCAAGAAACCAGCAGAAGTCCTTCAACCCTTGCTCGAGACTCTCTCGCCCAAACACGTCTACATCACTCATATCGATTCCAAGCCCACGGATTTCAAGAAGAAGATCTTTCTTGTGCCCGTTGGCATGAACCTGGTTGTCGCCGCGCTCTTCGTTTTGCGCATGTACTACATCCTTCCCTATTACTTCAAATTCGTTCAGTCTGCCATGGGCTACCCCAACGAAACAACCTTCCCGACTGGTGACTCGACCTGGGGACAGTTGCTGTGGGAGGTTGTCAAGCGCGGCGCATCACTGACTCTGGACTTCATGCTCTTCGTCTTCGTCTGGCCATGGCCTGTTGAGTTTGTCTTTGGCCGGTCGTACGGCAACCCGGTCAGCTGGCGATGGAAAGTTGGCTTCCGAGAGAAGGAAATCTACGTTCGGCGCAGCCGGGAGTGGGACCAGCAACTGGGTGACATATTCAAGGAGAAGGAGAAGAACGAGGCGCTGCAACAGATCATCCGACAGGCCTGTTCGCCACTCCTTCTACAGGAAAAGACGGGCTATCTTACCATGACCGGCCAGTGGGATCTCGACTGGCAGGCCATGATTGACGCGCATACGATGGTGGATCGTAAGGACATTGCGCTAGACGCTTTCCGACGTTTGGTTCTGGTGCATCACGAAGACTACGGCTGGATGTCTGTGGAGGAAGAGGGGGTGAGCGCCAAGGAGGACGACAGACGGAGACAAGTCTTCCAGTTTAGGGACGCTCTCGCCGCCATTGGCAAGGAGAACCTTTTCTTCCGCTGGATCGAGATTGTGCAGTTCGAGTCCTCGCAACCTGGTGGATTCGGGCCCGAAAAGCAGGTGGAGGTGGCCAAACAGATCCGAGACCTGTTCCAGGAGCAGGGCGTCGATTTCGACCAGGTATGGCACGAAGCCGTCGGCACAGATGGTCTGGCCGGCATGTAAAGCAGGCTGTGTGTTCGTATGGAAAACGGGGATGGTTATCGATTCCGTGTAGGGTACGGAACGGAGCATGTCACAGAGCTTGAGATAGCCATCTGTGGACGCAGGCGTGTTAAAAGTAAAAGCAAGAGTGTTGTTCACATTGCGGTTCAGATGTGAGTATCCAACGCACGCTATGCTGCGAACGAATATGGACCAGCGAAGACGATGGTGTATGATGAAAAGTTGCAACCGAATTACCAATGAGCATCGAGAGTCCGATATGTTGAGGGTCGCCTTATTTGCTAGACTTCTTGCCCTTCTTAACGGGACCAAGGGCGGCCTCTCTCTTCTTGGCCTCCTTTGCCTCGATCTCCTGTCTCTTGGCGGCCTCCTGGGCCTCACGCTCCTCTCTCTCGGCCTGAAGTAATAAATCCAGTCAGTACCAAAGTATGGGGGTGTTGGATGGAAAGGCTAGTCTGCGCGTGTGTCTTCGCGTGTGAATGAAACATACCTCTCGGCGAGCAGCGTCGGCAGCTCTCTGCTCACGGATAAGTCTTAAGCGCGCGAGGTCAGCCTTGGCCTCGTCCGTCTTGCCGGCCTCGTGCAGCTTGCGATATCTCTCCTTGGCCTGCGCAGCCTCCATGCTCTCGCGCTCCTTGCGGTTGCTGGCAACCGTCAGCTTCTTGACGCCCTCGGCGGCTTCGTCGACCTCAGGGGCGTCGACTGGCGCCTTGGTCTGGTTACGGGCAGCCTTGGAGTGGTTGGGGTTGGCGGGCATATCGGCATCGTCCTCACTGCTCTCCTCCGAGTCGGACGGGGGCAGGTCGCCGACCTCGACGGCCTGGGCTCTCTTCTTGGCTACAGCGGCGTCCTTGCGGGCCTTGGCGGCGGCCTTTCGCTCAGCACGGGTCATCTCGGCCTGGGACTTGCCGTCCCCCTCGGAGTCGGACTCCTCCTCAGAATCCTCCTCAGAGTCTTCTTCGGAACTCTCGTCGTCACCTTGCTTCTTCGAGTTGGCAGACCACATGCTGACTTCGTTGCCATCGGCGTCAAGGGGTCTAAGGTCACGGGAGAAATGCTTCCCACCTGGGTTATTGTTGTGATTGTCAGCATCGAAGAGGTGCTGTCGCGGAGCACGGGTGTGAACAAACCTCCACGGGTAAACTTCCTGAATTTGCCACCGCGGCCGCGAGAGTTGGATCCTGGCTGTCCACCTGCCATCTTGACTGTGATTTGAATTGTTTCCTTTGGCTAGATTGTCAGGATAGAGCGCAAATTGTTGCGGGGTTGAAGAGTGGGATGCTTATCGAAAGCCTTTGGCGCAAGGGGGTGGATGGCGGGGTAAAAGTGTGCTCTGCTGGGTGGGCGGTGGCAGCACTTAAAAGGGTGCGGTGGTACAAGTGAATGAGAAATACAGCAGCAAAGATGGCAAGGGAGAAGAAGTGTTGATCACTGGTCCAAGCGGAATGAAAAAAGGACATGGAAGCCAATACCTACGTCGTTCAGTTATGGTCTCATTGGGCAGAAACTAACAGATACATGGAAGAGTCACAGGCTAAGAGGAGGGGCAATCATCACTACCATGGTAGCATAACAGCCACAGCACGCAAAGCACGATACAGTCGTCCCTCGGGCTTTTAGTTGGAGCACACGCCAAATGCACGACTGTAGAGTCCCGCAAACACAAACGCGTTCGTCACTATTGGTTGGCACAGACTGGTCTGTCTTGGTGGAGGGATCCTCTTTGGCCTCATTTCACCGCCACGGCTTGTTTGCCCCACGCTGAGGACGGGCAAGTCCCTGGTTTCGAGAGGCCGTATCAGAGCCTGCAGAGGCTTGGTTGATAGAGAGGTTTAGTTACGGAATTCCTTGGCACTGTGTGCCCATCCAGAACCCTCGAACCGAAGAAACCTCAGGATTCGCCGGAAAGCGGGTTTGACGTGCTCCGTGTAAAGAGTTTATTTGTACTGTGATGTGACCGGTTTTACCCGGCCACCGGCAGAACCCCCGTGCCGAGTGTTTCCAGCCGCCGCGACCCACTCTGGGGAAAAAAATTCCCATATGAAGGCCGCGATTTCGCGCAAAGCGAAGCTTTCTCTCTTTCTCTTTTTCTTCTTTACCTAATCATAAAACACAAACCCTCTCTATTCACTCTGGCTTTCACGTTATCAATGAAGGTGTCTGGAGGGGAAATGGGAGGTAAGACTGACGCACTTTCCTCGCTCACTTACCCTCTGTCCCGTGGCAGCTTCGGCTGTATTGGTGATCAGAGAAATTTTACGCGGCGATACATTCTTCTCTCTAGCCCCCGGCTTTTGCTGTGCCCTAGTATTGGATTGTAACTGTTGATAGCAACTGCTCACGTGGCTTTGATATGATTCCATTGTGTTTAGTGAAGCACATTGAATTTGTTCTCCGACGTAGCAAAGTGGACGCGTCGTTTCCAATCTGTACGTGAACTGGCCAGAGGCCGCCATGAGCAAGTAGTGTGATGTGTTTGGACACCGTGCATGTGCACAGTGCCTATCAGAGTCCTTAGAAGTCCGGCTCCTCCCCTACGTATCATCTCACTCTTGAACGTGAAACCATCGATTTGATTCATGCTTTTTGCTATAAAAAAGAGCGTTGCGTGAGAGGTTCTCAGAGACATTGTCCTCCAAATATAACCCTCGGTATGAGCAGCTGCCATGTTTGACGAGTCGGGACAAGTCTACAAAGAGGTCATTGTACCGCGCCCTCCAGATGCGTATCAAAACGGCCGGGACTGGTCGAGGCGGACGGGCTGGCCACCCCGGAAAGGTCGCGGTGGAGAGGGGAGAAAGGGACCGAGGTCGCTGGCCGACATGGCGATGCATACGGTGGCGGAGAACATAGGTGACGTGACGGAACAGCACCTCGCGCGTGAGGACCTGCCCAAGAGGTACTTGTGGAGAATATGGCGACTGCTAGAGAACAGGTTCGTCCGTCCATCTCTCGAAGACCTACCCGATCAGACAAGATTCATAGGTCTAATGCGTCGTTCGTAGGGGTGTGTGCTTTCAGGCATGGAAGGTGTTTTCAAAACTTCTGCTCGCCGAGGACGACGAGAAGACATTGGGCCTTTACCGATACCGCCAGCACATTTGTCAGCCCAGCGAGAACCTCCGTCACTACCTTAGGCCGCTCGAATCCGTAGCCGTCGACTTTGTGACGCATCTCAGCATCACGGGATTCTGCTCGTTTGCAGAGAACGAACTGCTGGCCCTTGGCCGCCTCAAGAATCTTGCCATTCTCGAGATTATCCAGCCGGCGGACGAGCTGCGAACCATCTTCCCCAAGGTCGACGACCGCCTCGTCAGGGGCTGGTTGGAGATGGAAAACCCCTTTCCCCTGCTGCGTATCCTTAGACTCTGGGGCGATGAGTCGGTGACCAAGAAATCCCTCCAATACGTTTCCAGGTTCCCGTCGCTCGCGCTGTATGACGTCAACGCGTCACGGAGTGACTGGAGGGGCGCCGCGGACATGGCGCTGCGCGAGGGCTGGGAAATGGAGGAGCCTTTGCATGGCCCCCACGACACCCTGCTTTGGTACTTGATGCTTTTCGACTTCGTCGAGGAGAGCAAGCCGAGACAGGTGCAGGGCCTGGCCCGGAACATCGACGATGGGCTCATGAACTTTTGCCAGAGCAGCAACCAGCCCATCAAGTTCATCCCTAACCGGGACGCGCCGTCATTTCTCGACCACCTTGGCGACGCGGCCAAGAGGAACCTCTCCATGTACGTTGACGTGCCTGGCTACGAAGCCCAGACGTGTAAGGGCTTCCCTTTCGAGACCTGGGCGTTCTGGCTGTACTCCTTTATCGGCCAGTTCACGAATGACGAGGATCTGACCAGAGTGGGCTTCGAGACGGTGCGGAAAACCGTCTCGGAACAGCTGGTGCTCCCGTCCAAGCCGCTAGCATGTCTCCAATTGGGCCACTGCGGCTCCTCGAGGCCAGGCATCACACCTGCCGTGTCTTATGTTCGCCGCGGTCTGTTTGCGACCTCAAGATATACCTTCTTCAGGACTTCTTCACCGAGTAACAAGCAGATGTCTGCGCGGAAGACGGCGGAGCTAATGAAGCCTACTGTTCAGCTTGGGAATGTAGAGACTGGCCTGAATCCGAATCGGAAGAAGCGACGGCGTCTTGATGATATCCTGCAATCATTTATGGGCTCTTGATGGAAGGAAACCATATTCTGCAAAGGCAAAGTCAAGACGAGACCCGGCAACACCATCCTTGGCGTGGGTGGACAGTACAAACAGAATGTTATCCAAGAAAAGACATGGGGAAGTCAGCGTTATGGGAGTATTGTAGAGGATATGACGAGGTTTTGAAGGAGACAAACGGGTAAATCTAACAGCAATAGAGCTCAAGGGCACGAAAGAAAAAAGAACTTCATGGCTAATTTGGTCCCTAACTTGACGCCGTACTCTATATGCCGACAGCTTGCCCTCCATAACGGTATTCCTTAACAGATCCAACCTCTGGGGTATTCTACAGACCGCTCTAGCCTTACAACATGGGCTTCAGATCGTCAGCAACCGTGAACGGCGCCTCGGTCTTGCTCTTGATCTCCTCCACCGTTACACCGTCCGCAATTTCGATAAGGGTCAGGCCGTGCGCGAAATCGACATCGAAGACACACTGTTAGTACCTGTTAGTATTTGACGAAAGTCATGGTTCTGGATTATGCAGGAGCGACTCACCAATTCGGTAATGATCCTTGACACGCAAGCTCTGCCAGTCAGGGGGAAAGCGCACTGTTTGACGATCTTGGCATTGCCCTTCTTATCCGTGTGCTCCATTGTGACGACGACCTTGGTCGCGCTGGGGTTGCTGACGAGATCCATAGCTCCACCAAAGCCCTTGACCTTGCCGGGCAACATCCAGTTAGCGAGGTCGCCATTAGCGCTGACTTGCATGGCGCCGAGGATGGTGAGGTTGATGCGCCCGCTGCGGATCATGCCGAAACTCTCTTCGCTGCCGAAGACGGCGGCACCGGGCTTGAGCGTGACGGTCTCCTTGCCGGCGTTGATGAGGTCGGCGTCTTCGTCGCCCTTCTTGGGGTACGGGCCTAGGCCGAGGATGCCGTTCTCGGACTGCAGCTGAACCTCAACTTCGGGGCCGACGAAGCCGGGGGCCAACATAGGCATGCCGATACCAAGGTTGGCATACATGCCGTTCTTGAACTCCTTTGCGGCGCGGCGGACGATACGCTCGCGCTTGGCGGCTGTGTCGCCAGTGCCGAGGGCCTTCTTGGCGTCGGCGTCGTTCTCATCCTTGGCAAAGGTATACTTCTCAATGTTCTTCTCGGTCGTGCTCTGAATGACGCGCTTGACGTAGATGCCAGGCAGATGAACGGCCTCAGGAGAGATCTCGCCGGGCTCGACAATTTGCTCAGCTTCAACAATGGTCATCTTGGCGTTGCGGCCCATGGCGCCATTGAAGTTGTTGGCGGCGAGACGGAACTGGCAGTTTCCGAGCTTGTCGGCCTTGTAGGCCTTGACGAAGGCGTAGTCGCCAGCGATGCTATGCTCGAGGAGGTACGACTTGCCGTTGAAGACCTTTACGTCCTTGGGGTATGAGAATTGGTCGGGCGAGCCGTCGGGTTTGTTGCGTAGTGGTAGTTCGCCGGTCTGGACGACGGTGCCAAAGGCAGCCGGGGTGTAGAAGGCCGGAATGCCCTTACCGCCGGCGGCGCAGCGCTCAGCGAGGGTGCCCTGGGGGGTCAGCTCGAGCTCGACCTCGCCGGTCAGGTACATCTTCTCAAAGGTCTTGTTCTCGCCAATGTAGCTGGCTACCATCTTCTTGATCTGTTTGGTCTTCAGCAGTTGGCCGAGGCCGGAAGTGTCTGTGCCGGCGTTGTTGGAGACGGCAGTGATGCCGGTAATCTCGGGCTTCTTCAGAACCTCGTTGATCAGGGTGTCCGGGACACCACAGAGACCGAAACCGCCGCAGAGAAGCGTCGAGTTGGGCTTCATGTCCTTGAGAGCCTCGGCGGCTGAAGGATAGACCTTGTTGATCTCTGGTCTCCGCGCTGTCGCGGAGAATGCGCGGGCGAGAATTGCAGTGTGCTACTCATAGAAGAAGGGTCAATTAAGCTGCCGAGTGTGGCGTCCGGTTGTCTATAGATTCCTGATCTCGGTTTGACATACGTTAGAGCCATGCCGGGCGTAGGCACGGAACGAGCGCGCACACAGAGCTGCTGAAGGCATCGTGAACGGTGTGGAGGAAGTTGGGAGTACTGTGAGAGGAGGAATGCAAGCACCGGTTGAGGTCCAGAGAATGATGACCGAGTAGCTTCCACGATGACAGCGCACAAAGTAGAGAACAACCAAGAGAAGGGTTGGAGACGGGAGAGAAAAAGGTAGGGCTAGAGGGAATCGGGGAAGAGAAAGGACCACCCTTCACCAGGGATTGTGAAGGGAGCCGGGTCAATATATTGCATCTGGTACGTGACCTTGGCTTCCAAGGCCGTGGGTTTCCGTCTCCTTGTGCCGTGTGTAGTGTCTGGGGGGGGGGGATGTATGCTGCTCCGCCTTTTCGGGATTGAGCTCGGCAAGGAGGAGGGCAAGCTTGGATCTGGGGACGTTGCCAGGGGTGTCTCACGCTCAGAAGTGCCCGGCATCCCTGCCCACCTGAGGTAGGTAGGTACCCTTTGGGTGCGGCTTGGAGCTGCGATAGTACTGAAGGTGACAGTAAGGTACCTCCCGACAGCCATCCCCCTCCCAAGTTCCGTGACTCGGAAAGTGGCGGGGCTAAATGTTTTGGCGCCTGCGCTCTGTGCTCTGTGGTGGAGGACGCCAAAAATGGGGAAAGTCTCAACTCCAGCTTCTCCATCCGAACCCCGCAAAGCCACCTCTGCTGCAACAACAACAACAACCAAGATGTCTGTCGTTGAGTGATGGGGCTTCATTATTGCTTTGCTGGGCTTCGCAACTCGCCACATAGTTATCAATCGATTATAGGCGTATACTGCCACCGTGTAGCTAGCTAGAGTACAGTGGCACGAGTGGGTATGTACGTAGTAGGGGCCCTAACCCGACTCGGATAGCGGCGCCTTTTGCCGAAGACTGTGCCGAAGCGGAATCAAACCGCCACGAGATCGTTCATACCAAGGCTCGGCAGCAATTGTGTCTACTCCACAGCGATACCGGCCGTTTTCATGCTGGGGCGCATCTTGGCGGGTTTGAAATTCCATCATCCCATGCGCTCTTTACCTACCATGATCTTTGGCCTTTCGTCCGGGTACGTGGTCTGGCACTCAAGTTCTAGGACGGATAGTTGCTGTGGGGTGATGCCGGTCGGTGCCTTCTCGCTGGTTCGGCATTGCCCCTAGAGGGAACTCCATTGGAACTCGACGCTTAAGAGAGAATCAGGGGATAAATTGTTAGAGGACGTATTAGGTCATTGGAAACTAGCCCTCAACAACAACAGTGTCTCTGAATATTTATCCCCGTGACTTGTCTGTCTGGGTTGGTTCCCTACCTAGGGTGCCTGGGACAATGTTCAGATAAAAGCGGGTCTGTAACTGGCTCCAAGTCTTATCGGGCGGTCGGCCAGGGATAAGTTTTCTCCCAGCGGCTTATCGGCCTGCAGGATGCCCCACGCTTCAAAAAATTTCCCTTGATCGCGGGTGGTTCTGGGTGTAGACGGAATTCGTAGTCGCCGCCGTATTCGCAGTGTAATTGTGTTCTTGGTCCATTGCACTTGTCGGCCACGAACCAAACAGCTCCATTGCGCGAAAAATCACGGTGCTGATCCGTCAAGTCGTCAAAATGGAGCAGAGTCCCAAGCGACGCAAAGTCTTTCACCAGGGCGACTCCAGGATCGCGGCCAATATTGCGACTGCGAGTCCATTCGTCTTGCAGACGGACGAGCTTCTAAAGGAGGTCAAGGTTGACTATTCCGAGGCCTTGGATGGCGCCGACACACTACTGCATAAGATCAGGAACCTGATCGGAGGCATTGAGTCTCACGGCCCTATTCCGGTTGGTTGAACTCACGATACTGGCTCCCCAGACATGTAGTTGCTAACCAGACTTCCAGATCGCCGAAGCCACGCGCAAATTCCAAAAGACTCATCGCATAAAGATTCCTTACCCGGAACCGAAGCCCGCCGAAGATGCGCCGTATAAGCTCTCCTACGAAAAGCCCGCGACTTACAACGTCGTTGGAAGTTATGTTTCGAGAACTATGGTCCAGGCTCAGGCCAACAAGGGCGTTGATATGATTGTGCAGATGCCCGCCTCGCTTTTCCAAGAGAAGGATCACCAAAACATGCGCTACTTTTACCGGAGAGCGTACTACATTGCCTATATCGCGGCGAACTTGCGTAAGGAGCTCGGAGAGTCGGCTGGCTTGGAGTTCGAGTACCTGAACGGAAACGCCCTCTTGCCTGTCCTTTCAGTCAGGCCTGCGGCAACATCCAATCTAGGCGACGAGAGCGATGGAAAGAAACAAACCAAGGCGGAATATGTCATTCGGGTCATTCCCTGCGCTCCCGAAGGGGTTTTCCCCAAGACAAAGCTGAACCCGTCGTTCAACAGCAATAGAAGTGGACAGACTAACGCCAAGGATCCCAATGCCGCAACACCGTTCTACAACTCAACGATCAAGGCCGAAGACACATTCATCACGTATCTCCGTGTTCTGACCCGGGCCAAGACAGAATGCAGAGCTTTTGCGGACGCTTGCATTCTCGGAAGGATCTGGCTTCAACAACGGGGCCTTGGTAGTTCGCTATCTAAGGGCGGTTTTGGTCACTTTGAGTGGGCCACCATGATGGCACTGCTCTTACAGACAGGTGGACGAAACGGACAGCCAGCGCTTTCTTCGGCTCTGAGCAGTACGGAGTTGTTCAAGGCTACTGTCCAGTTCCTCGCCTCTACCGAGTTCTCCAAGAAGCCCTTCGTATTCGGGACCTACAAGCACGGCGCCGAGGTCATCCGCGAGAACGGCCCCGTCATGTTTGATCCGGATCGCGAAGTCAACATTTTGTACAAGATGAGCCCTTGGTCCGCAAGTCTTCTTCACTTTCATGCCTGCACGACCATGGAGGTGCTCAATGACACCCTGGCAAACCAATTTGAGCCGACATTTATCACTAAAGCCGACATGCCGCTACAGCTATACGATGCCATTTTTGAGATCCAAAACGTTGATAGCAACTCGAAGAGCAACAACCCTGACCGCCGGGGAGCCGTCTGGGACCTCAGCTTCAAAGCAAATGCGCTTCTCAAGAAAGCGCTGAAGGAGAGATCCCAGCTGATCCACTTCTGGAGCCAAGATCCAGCGTCCTGGCCAATCACCGGCAACCAGCCCCGGGGCCTTCCCAACATTCAAGTTGGTATTGTCTTCGACCCCGCCAACATGGGACGGCTGATGGAATATGGCCCATCAGCCGAGCTGGAGAAGGATGCCGCAAAGTTCCGTAAATTCTGGGGCGACAAGGCTGAGCTGAGACGGTTCCAGGATGGCAGCATTCTCGAGTGTGTGCCATGGACGAACAAGACGGCCGCGGGTATTTGCGAGGAGATTGTTCGCTATATCCTCCAGCGTCACCTGAGCCTCGGCGCTGGTGACCTGCGCTTCCGTGATGCCGAACTCCCTTCGTCTTTGGACATTTCGCCCCTGGACAAAGAAGCCTTCGAGGCGGCGAGAAAGGCTTTCGGGACCCTGGAACAAGATATCCGCGGGCTGGAAGACATACCGTTGTCAATCAGGCAGATCTCTCCCGTGGTTCCTGAGCTCCGATTCGCCTCGTTCAAGCCACCATTCACACTCTCCCAGAAGACCAGTCCCCCAGCCATGGATGTGAACCTTTACTTTGAGGCCTCCAGCAAGTGGCCGGAAAACATTGTCGCCATCCAGGAAACCAAGATTGAGTTCCTCCTGGACATTGACCGCAGATTACGAGCCGTCAACGACAGCATCACAACGAGCCTGGGCCGCGACAATGCGGCGCGCGACATTGACAACCTGGCCTACCTGGACATCATTTATGAGACAGGGGCCGCGTTCCGTCTGCGTATCTACGCCGAACTCGAAGAGACACTCCTGGACCGCCAAGCCAAGAACAAGACCCTCAGCCCCCAGATTAGAGCCGAAGCCGAGGAGGCTCTCTTCAACCTGCACTGGCGCTACAAGCACTTGCCTCTGCACACGCAAACGATCACAACCTACTGCACGCGCTTCACGACCCTCTCTACAACGATTCGCCTCGTCAAGCACTGGTTCAACGTGCATAAGCTCGCGGGCCACGTCACCGAAGAGCTCATTGAGCTGCTTGTCCTCCACGTTTTCCTCAACCCGCACCCATGGAAGGTACCCTCGAGCCCCATGTCGGGTTTCCTCCGTACACTCCTCTTCCTATCCCATTGGGACTGGCGCGATGAGGCCCTTGTCGTCGACTCTTCGGACGACATGGCGGCCGAAGACCGCGCCATCGTCTCGCACCACCTCGAGGCCTGGCGCGCAGGCGACCCCAACATGAACCACGCCGTCCTCTTCGTCGCCACGCCCCACGATCACCTCGGCCTGGCCTATACCCGTCACGGCCCCTCGAAGCTTCTTGCGACGCGCATGACGCGCCTCGCAAAAGCCGCGAGTAGGCTCGTGAAGGAGCGAGGCATCGCCCTCGACGCCGCCGAGCTCTTCCGCCCCTCCCTCGCCGACTATGACGTCCTCCTCCACCTATCCTCTTCGGCCCTGAAGCGTGTCGTCCGCGACGCTGCCTCTGAGGTCGGCACGCGCCACTCGCTCTTCAAGAACCTCGATGAGCGTACCGGCAAAGTGCCCCTGCCCCTCGCAAGGCACCCAGCGACGGTGTTGTTGCGTGAGCTCGAGGCCGCGTACGAGGATGCCCTCATCTTCTTTCACGGGGCACCGGACGACGTTGTCATTGGCGCCATCTGGCAGCCCAAGCTCCGCAGCAGGCAGAATTTCCGTGTCGGTCTGCCATACAACTTCCGGCAGGTCAAGGACGCTGGCGATGAGGAGGCTGACCCTGTCGAGGTTAACAAGCCGGCTATCCTGCTGGAGATTGCCAGGGTCGGTGGCGATCTGATCAAGCGGATCGAGCTTACCGAATGAGGGAAGCAAAGAGAGCCAGGGGGTCAAGACGTAGCTGTAATTTGTTCATCATAGCGGGTTTGGGAAAAGTTTAGGCCACAAAACTCTAGTTATCTCGGAATCACAATGCAAACCACAAGTTCTCGGTCCGTTCTGGACTTGAGTGTCCAATGTCAAAAGGAGCTCCGATGTACTTAAAGAAATTTGTCTTTGGTTATGTTGATTGTAGCCCTATTCAACCCTTGATTTCCCCAGAATGAAACGCCGTTGCCATGATATAGATGCCTATGCACACCAACAACAGCCTTTGACACAAATATTGCCTCTTTCATCATCATGCAGCAAGCCCAAGTGTATTCAGCTTTGAAAGAAATAAAAAAGAGCCCCCGAGTTCATTTTGTTCATGCTAATGCTGGAGCAGCTTCTGGCCCTTGCCAGTGTCGGCGACCTGCTGGGTGGAGAAGGCGCAGAACTTGTCTTTGATGGCTACCACCTCGTACGTGCCTTCTTGGCTCGCGCGAATGATCTTGCTGCTCTCGTACGAGACGTCGTGTCGCGTCTCGAGAACCACGCTTTTCTGGCCCTTGCGAGCATTGGAGCTGCGTGTGTAGGTGAACTCGAACGGTGGTGTGCCCCAGAACTCGAAGAGGATCTCAACCTCGTTGCCTTCATGTATATCTACACGAGTCTGTCGACCCCTGCTGATTTTGACGGCGGGAAGAGGATGAATCGTCTTAGTAATATCGACTGAGGCGCGACACTCTGAGGCCTTGTCAGAGATGGATGTAATGGTGAATTCGCCAGGAGATTCAGCGATGCGGCGGAAGTTGGTTGTTCCAGACTTGGCCTTGCGTTGCTGGCCCTGGAAATCATACCAGATCTCAAAGGGAGGTGTGCCGGAGAGGGTGTATGCAATACGCTCGCCAACACAGTAGTCCCCTCGGCTCTCCAGCGGGTAAATGGCCGGGGCATCGTGGAGGTGCACCTGTACAGATGGTGCACCAATCTCGTACTTCTTTTGGCATCCGCGCGCATCTCTCACTTCGCGAATGCGAACATGCTGTATTCCAAGACGCAGATGCTGCCTTGGAATGTGGATGCCGTACGAGTTCGTCTGGATTGACGGGATTCTGTACGTCTCAGGGACAGTGCCGCTGTGATGTTTGATCTCGATTTCGACGTAGAATGGAGCGATACCGTTGAGAGTGATGGGAATCGTGTCTTCCCTGTCCTGCTCCGTCTTGCAATACTTGAACGACTGCCCAGGCTTAACGAAGGCAGCAGATGGCTTGGCGTTAACACGCTGAGCCACAGTCAGAGAACGAGAATTTGTCGCGCTGTCGTAGAGATTATCTGCCAAGTCGGAGAATTGGTAGGTGTACTCTCCGGGCTTCGAAGTATCCATCGGAATAGTCGCTTTGTTGAGGGAGGTGTCCAGCTCCTTTTTACTGATACTACTGCTAGAGGCATGGCCCTTGAAGCCAGAGCCAGTAAAGGGACTGTACTTGACACTGTAATCGACATGGAAGGGAGCAGAACCTATTTTTGTTAGCAATTAACTCCTTTAAGTGGTTGACAGACTCACCCTTGAGGTTGACCTCAAACGTGTCGATGTCCCCCTCGCAAATATCACGTTTGATAAATTCCTTGCCCTTCAAGACAACCGTATCGGACTGTACCAGGGAAATCTCCGGCCGAGGATACCAATCGATTTCGAACTTGGACGCCTGAGGATCCACGACTCCGGGGCATTGTTTGTCTTGGACGTCGACAATCTCGTACAGGCCACGTGCTTTAACGGGAATGATGTCGTTGTTGTTCCTCAATTTCCGTTGGTGGACAACATCGCCTTCATCGGCATTGCGGTACGAAACTGTCCAAGGACCATCTCCCTGAAGACGCAAAGGCAGCTTGACCTCGGCGTGTTCGATTGTTTTGAAGCTCCGCTTATTCTCGAGCATTCCGAATGCGGCACGCGGCCGCTGGCGCCTGACGGAAATCTTCAATTCGTCCTTGAGGAATGTGCGACACCCCGATTTGTCCTGAACGCTATTGAGAGAAAGTGTATACTCTCCGCCTTTAGCAAGGGGCTTGGTCTTGATCTTGTACGTCGAGCCTTGAATGTCGGTGACGCGCTCAGCCTTGCGTTTGCCATCGTGTACAAGCTCCCATTCGAGCGAAAAAGGGGCGTCGCCAAGAAGAAGTATATCAACCTCGACTGGTTCGTCCAGGCATGCGCTCTTGGATCCGGTACTGTGCTGTATGACCGCTGAAGCTGCCGGTTTGACGTCTGTCTCGAGTGTTATGTCGGGGCTCAAACGCTGACCAGTGTAAATCGCATCGTCGATGGACTTGAAAATATACTTGTGGTGTCCGGCTGCCGTGGGCCTGAGTTCAACTTGCTGTCTGAGACCCTTGACTTGTACCGACTCATGCCTGGTCTTGAGTTTTTCGTCAACGACATCATACCGTACCACGAATGGCGGTGTTCCAATCAGGTCCAGGTCCACACGAAGTCCCACAGAGTTTCCTGCACACTTGTCGGGTATCTCCTCAGAGCGAATCGATAACTGCGGCTCCAGAGGGTTGAGCAAAAGGCATGAGGATGGCTCCTGTACTTCTCCTTCACAAGAGCCACTCGAAATTGATTTGAGGGTATAAAGCCCTGGCTCCGAAACAAGAGGTTGATCATGCGAGTTAGCCGCGGAATAGGAAACCACAGAAACCTTGTCGCCGTGGTCTCCGCTGTTGGTCAACGAGTCGATGGGCGAAAAGTCCCATGTCAAGTGGTGAGAGGTATCTGGAGCGTTGCCATCGATCGAGAAGCGAACAGGCAAACGAGCCTCTCGTCTCTTGGCAACTTTGATAGGGTTGCGTAGATCGCAGCCTTCCAGCTTGACCTTGGGTCGCTCCTTTACCTTGAACGTGCGGGCCAGGTCCTTGGGCCGGGTACGGGCTTCAGTCTCGTCTGCAGAAGGTGCGTACTTCCGAACATTACCAAACCCGTCAGTAACCTCATCCACAGCATACTGCCATAGACCTGGCTCATCCAGGGTCTCGTTCAGACGGACTGCCACGGTTTGTGGCTTGACCCAAGACGTATCCTCGTCGCCAGCAGGAGTCAAAGAGGAAGAAGGCGAGCCTAGCAAGGGCGACGTATAATCCTCGGGCTGTAGGCTCTGGAAATGGAAACTCTTGTCCTTGTCTTTCACTGTTCGGCTGTAGACAATCTTCAAGGGCGGGGTTCCAGTGACATCGACAAGCAAGTCGGACAAGTCCCTGATGCAGCGATCCTCGTTGTCGGGAGTTCGGAATTTTGCCTTGGGACAGGGCACAACATATGTGTCTCGGGTCGCGCGCTGGACCTCGAGCTTGTATTCATCCAGAACCTTGCCGAGACGGTAAACACCGGTCTTTTTGACCGGGTATTCGATGATGTGGGCTGCTGGGTTGGATTCTGCCGTTTGATCCTTGATCTGCTTCGCAATTTTCCTAACCTCGCGACTAGACAGTTTGATGGTTTCTTCTTGGTTGGTATAGAGATCAATGCGAGTGAGTTCCATTTCTGCGGGTATCGTTGAGTTAAATTGGATAGGCAGCCGGACGATCTCTCGACCATCGCCGATGCAGAATGGGGTTTGGTCAAAATTCAGAACCGCTGAGCTAAACAAGCATGTTAGCAATATGCATTGCATAGTTGGTGAGCTGTGACCTACCCCTCTGGCAAAATGTTGATTATCTGTCTTCCCATGATCAAGGAGTGGTTATGCAAGATGCTCGAGACCTTGACAGTGTGCTCTGAAACGGCAACCTCGCGGTCGTAGAAGACCTTGAAAAAGCCAACGAGCCATGGCTGAAGTGGAAGCTGCTTATCGGTTAGTTCCGTTCGTCTTCTGGATCCGAGAGCCCGTTTCCTCCTACGCACCGGAATGTTGAACATCAACATAAAGTTGAAAAAGGCGTGGAAGAGGAAAATGCCTGTAACGACGGGTTGCGACATCTCTAGCCATGGTATCCTCATTTCCGGGAGGCCGAACAGGAATCCAAAATCAATGAAGACCCATTTGAGAAACAGCCAAGCGGACGTGTCGTTATCCTCCACCAGCTTGATCCAGTCATAGAACCTCCATGCCAGCAGACCAACATAAATGGCGAAGGCGTAAAAACGCTGTTGGGGTGCATCGAGAACTGTCAACGGGATGACTGGCTCGGTCGCAGGACCGCCTGGGGAGACATTTTCGGGGGCCAGGGGCAGCGCGGACGATCGGCTGCTCTTCTGGGAGGAGACGGAGGAGTTTGGGTCGGGGTCTTGTCGTCGGGATCTGCCAGGTGCTGCGGTCGCTGGTGTTTGTGGAAAACCACCAGTCCGCTGTCTCGGAGTCGCGCTCATCGCATGCCGTGCTTAGGCTCGCCTCATAAGAATCGCAGCAAGCAAAGGTCACCGTCAGGTAGCAGAGGTCTTCGAGTGATGTGGGAGGGGAGACCGAGGAGCATCAAAGCTTGCCTGGCGTTGCAAGCTACTGTTGACGTCGCGGAGGTAAGAGAAATTACTGGCAGAAATACAAATCTTCAAAATTTCCAGCGAGTGCTCGTCACGTCTAAACGCGCCTGCCAACAACACCCACCCGCCTTGTCCTGAAAGACTATGATTGGCATAGCGGCCGCATAGTGGGCCCGATCCGAAATACTAACAGGGTCAGAGCTTCGCTGCAGCTGCCGTCCGCGCTGTAGATGACAGTTCCGATGGCCTGTGCGAATCATACCACAGACGCCCGCTTACCCTGCTGTTGTTGTTACCTCACCTTCAGTTGACGTCGTTGGAGTTAAGAGCGGGCTCATCCCAGGTGGGAGCTGTTGGAAAGGCACGAACCCCCCCGTTTCCGAACCTTATCTTGACACGGCATGCGGCAATACAATCAACTGCATTGAACGTAGCCCAGGCGCCACCCGTAACATCCGCTAAAGGCTCTGAATCACCATATGTAAAAGGTGCAGTAACTGAATCATCATCAGCAGTTGTTGAACTATCCTTGCTTTAGGTATTGACCAAGGATCTGAAGCTAATCTAAACTACAGGTATGCCTCTTACAAGTTGCCACTGGTCCGTCCTTCAACGCCAGGTGGCTTTGTGTGTTTTCCATATTGTCATCAACAGCCATTTTGTATAGTCTTTCAAATTGGTAACGATAAGTCAATCAATGGCTATGCCCAACCTTCCGTCTTCTTTGTGGTTCTGTCTCTTCCCTTGACGAAGCACCTTGTCCACGAGCCCTCATCCGCCTTTCCCACATCAAACACCAAAGTCACCTGCACCTCACAAAGCCAACAATTAAACCAATTCACCTTTAACTGAAAAGTCTGACATGACCCCTCTATGAGGCGGTCTACACGGATCACCCTGCATTCCGTTCCTTCTTTGGACTCCACGCGATTCTTCTTCCTCGGAAAAAAACCACCCCTGCCACAATTCTCCCGCACCCAATCCCTTTCCCTCCCACGTCGCTTGCGAATCATTTGAACTTATACCAAATACTTTCTGCTTTCATGCTGAGAAGTCCTCAAGAGAGCAATCGAATGCCTAAGCCAAAATCATTCCAGCCAAAATGACATCCCCAAGACGTGCGCGCCCCGAACTACGAAGCCGCTCGGCGCGGGCAGGCACAGTTGCGGCAGGCGCTGAGTTACAACCCATATCTGACGAACATCCGACCGCAGACAACGACCGCGATACATTCACAATTAACGAGAGTCCAGAGGAGGTCTCTGTAATTGCTACCGTGGCAGGCCTTGCCCAGGTGAGACGCTTGCGTTCTCAGAAGAGGAAGGAGTCGCCCCCGAAAGCAGACAGTGAAGCTACAATGTGCGACTCGAGACGGAATCCTAAGCGGAAGGCGACTGAAACCGCTGCTGGCGCTGCTCAGGGGGCCAGGGATTATCAGGTGCTTCTCCACGAAGCTCTGGCGCCTATAACCAAGGATGAGCTTCAGGAGTGGGAAGGCTGGTGTGAGGTGGAATCTGAACCGGTCAGTCTCCCAGACAACCAATTTGCCACACATTTCTAACATCGCCTTCAGGCCTTCTTCAATGCCATGCTCCGAGAACTGGGTGTTAAGGATGTCAAGGTTCAAGAAGTTTTTTCAGTCGACGAAAATTATGTTGCGACCCTTCCACAGCCCATTTACGGTTTCATTTTTCTCTATCAGTACTTTTCCGAGAATTATGAAGACGATGAAGTTGTTGACAGCAGGGATCTTTGGTTCGCGAACCAGGTCTGTTCCTGTGACGTCTCTCCTCTAGCTGCATCCAACACTAACACCCACACAGACTACAGATAATGCCTGCGCAACCGTCGCCATGACGAACATTCTCATGAACTGCAAGGACGTGGATCTCGGCACGAATCTCCAAGAGTTTAAGGATTCCACGAGTAACGTTAGTACTCCACTACGCGGTCATGCCTTGGCCTCAAATGTATTCATCCGTTCGGTCCACAATTCTTTCACTCGAAGAATGGATCATCTGAATGCAGATCTCTTTCTCGAGACTGAAGCCGCCGATTCCAAGAAAATGAGTCGCAGAGGACCTGCGAAGAAGACCAAGAAAACCAAGAAGCAGAAGATGGACTCGGAGTCGGGTTATCACTTCATCGCGTATATACCAGCTAATGGCTCGGTATGGGAATTGGATGGCCTCAAGACAAGGCCTGTTTGTTTGGGGCCCCTAGAGGACAACGTTCACTGGGCAAACCTCGTCTGCCCTGAGATCCAAGCACGTATGCGCCAGTTTGAAGAGAGTGCCCTATCATTCAACCTGCTTGCGCTGTGCAAGAGCCCCCTAACCATCATATCTGAAAATCTCGCGCGTACAATACACGCATTTGAACTCCTCAACAGCCGCACAAACCGTTTGAGCGGCTGGCAAAGTCTTGTAGCCGGCAACGAGCAACCACTGAAAGGTGACGAGACAGAGCGCCTCGCCGACTTCGGCATTGACAGCTCAGACTTGGTAAAAACTGAAGTCGATCCAGCATTCAAGAAGAAGGTCACAAACCCGTCCATGGAGGCTATGGAGCTATTCGAGCTCTACAGCGATCTGGTGACACAGCAGAAATCCTTGATGGGAGAGTACAACACAGAGATCGCCTTTATGAAAGAGGACGAGGATCGGGTACAGGGGCGCCAGAAAGACCACTCTCCTGCAATCAACCGATGGGTACAGAAGCTGGCAGAGCACGGCGTTCTTGCCGATTGGGCTACCGATTCGTAGAGGGGCGCTCGTAGGAGAGGGGCGCAAACCCGCACGAAACAGCGTTCTACGAAGAACCGACACAAAACTTTCAATCTCTGGGCGTTTGGGGTTCGGGGAAAGCGCGTGGTTCAGCATCAGCGAAAAGCAAGTCTGCCTTGCGGTGCTAGCCTTTGCGGCCATTGGGGCGTAGCATTGACGGGGTGAGAGGAAACCATGGGGTTGCGCAATAAGTCTAGAATGGCTATTAGGGCCTTTTCAGGTCTCGATCGACCTGCCAATGATACCGACGTCTGAATCATCCTGGGGTGTATGCCAACTCGTCGTTTAATGGGATAAAAGAGCAACTTTCCCTATCAAATCGTTTGAAGAAGAGCCCTGTGTCGGAGAACATCGCCGCTTCTGCTTCCTCGGCATTCCGCACAAGCTCCAAACTTGAGGCTTTGACCAGAGAGAAAGTCCCCTGCATGTTTGGAGGTGTTCTAAGAAGTAGTCAGTCATGCCTTAGTAGTCATTATGCGATCAGTAACTACTCACAATAGCCTGTAATATGAAACTGATCCCTGAGGAAGCACCTCTCCGCTGATCACGACCCCGATAGAGCCGTATCTTCTGTGACGCACGACACTTCCAGTTTTAAACTCCATATTGACCTGCGGTTCACGGAGCACGGGTTCCTGCTCATCCGCTTGGCGGATGAGGCGAAGTATATACTCGAGGTTCGGAGCGGCAAGGAATATGTTGCCGTTCGGTTGAGGATGAGTAATGTAAATCTTCTCCACCAGCCAGGCGTCGTCGAAACGAAGCGAGTTGAACCTGAGTGCGAAATGTGACGTGACGTCCACAAACGCTCCTGGATCAAGAAGCGCGGTAGCCCAGGCGGCGGCGTAGACGGACAGCTCCAAGTTCTGGAGAGCAGTTCCGGTTCCGAGGCCGGCCAGAGTCTCGACCGAGACGTCCTGGGATGCCAAGAAGAGGTTTGTATGCCTGATGTTGTGTGCCAGTCGTCCGATCATGGTCGAGACTGCAGCCGGCGCCATCGTGTCAACATCCAGACTATGCCACCCGACTTGGGCGACGAAATGTCTAAGCGTCTCTTTGCTAAACTCTGTATCGCTCCCGTATGGATCTAGATACATCCTCTCGATAGGTCGCGAGGGGTCTGTAACTCTGGAGCCGTCTAGTGTTGTTTCCCGAGTCGCAAAGACCATCGCAAGGACGTGTCCTGGAAGCGCGCAGCAATGTGCGTTCAACCCTAGCCTTTCACCAATGCAGCAGAAAATGGCGGCTGAGACCATGGGGAGTGACTGATGAGCCTCATCACGGAGCACGTGGCCTATGAGACAATTCCGGAGGTTGCGATAGTTGGTTTCTGGGTCGATCATGCCGGTCAGGTTGTTGGATTTCAGCCAACGGTTCAAAGCCAGGGACTGTTCCCGAATACAGAGGCTGTCAAAGTCCGAATGGCTGTTCCGAAAATCGACAGCTAGACGGTCCAAAACTCTCGAGACCTGATGCAATATTAGTCAAGAGCAACTTAATGAGCTTAGGATGGCGTACATCATTCACATCGCCAACATCGTCTTGAATGACGAACATGTCAAAGGCCGCGAGTGCGCGCTCTAATCTTCCAGGCACGACTTTCGGAACTTGGTCAGGCCTTAACGGCTCGAGTACCTCCTCGTTACGAAGGTCATCCCAGATTCTGACAGCGGCACCTCGACGGATGCTCGCTAGAATGGCATTGCTGAAATACCTAAGCGGTGTTGATTAGCCAAAGACCGGGGAACTTGAGGGACCCGCGTTTCCAACCTCCTAGCCAAGACGTCATCAGCAGTGTCTGGAGTTTGAGTTTGGGTCAAGAGAAAGTCCTTTGCGTCGTCACCAAGTGTACAGATTTCCTCAAACTTCTTCACGCGACCGTGCTTGGTAGCCAAAATCCCATTAAATAGGTTGACAACCTTGGCGTGTCTCTTTTTACGGAGGAGAAACAGCTTTTTCCAAGGGACACTTGATGCAGGCTCCTCCAATTTCTCACTGAAATTGTGGCCGGGTTCCCAGAATCTGAAGGCGTTCAAACAGTAATACCGCCATAACAACGGCTCCTGAGCAATCCAACTCAGACGCCTGGAGAGGGGATGCACTGCGAGCAGATTATCTTCTGGTGAGATGTAGTGTAGAATTTGGCGAATGATTTCCTCTGGGATCTGTTCGAGCGATAACATGGCGGCAAACACCTCCTGCGCGCACCGTCAAGCTGGCCGAAGGGAGAATGAGACGTGGCCGCAATCGCAACTGCAAACAGCCTATCAGGGTTGCAAGAGGACTTATACTGATGTTGGACACAAAGAGTTCGAATGACCGATTAATTGTGTAGATAGATGCAGAGTATTCTTGTGCAAGGCTTTGGGCCAGGTATTGTGGATTATGTTTCTGTAGAAGGATGAGGCAAAGTGACGACGACATAAAGTGGTTGCATCACAAACCGAAGTTGTTTCGCCCCCCCCTGAAGTGAGTGTCTCAAGCCGGTCCACGCTATGCCCACTGATGTTTTGTAGCCAAAAAGTGGAAACTTTTGGACATGGGATTCTTAAACTGCGGGGACTTGGATTTCCTCGCCGATGTGATTGGACCATAACATAGGCCTATCTCATTGGTCGAAAACTGCGACTTCTTCTTTCATTCATCCCCCACCTCGCTAGTCCCAAAGTGGATTACGAGTAAACAACGCGGTCTGGGATGTGACCGCGCACCCTTGGTCCCTTGCTCTCTCTCAATGTTCCCTTATCAACACTGCGATTGACCAGGCTCTGAGCTATCGCGACCACAAAACAACTTATAGCCGCGCAGATATAACGCGTTTTGCTTTCTTGCGCCGCATCCCACCAGCGCGCGCCATTCCTATACACGACTAACAAACCAATGTCATGAACAGAATCACGAGACCGCACTCCTAATCCGCATACCGAATTCTCCCCCCTCTATTTGTCGAACGCGGTCGAAATGGTGGCACCAGGCATCGGCGGTCTCGACACGCCGCGCACAAATATTGGCGATGCGACATACCTCAGCAGACAGCCCGACTTCGATATTTCTCAGGAGGCCTCGTTCCAGTCTCCTCCAGCGAAGGAGAACAACGTGCTCCATCAACTGCGCAATGGACGCTCTGGGGGTATCAACCTTCGAACCCCGCGCGGTCGCGGTCCCTTCGCAGACCGAAAAAACCTGCCTGCCGGTCTTGGGGGGGCCGAGTTTACGCCAATGCTCAAGTCTGCTACGCGAAACAGCATCCGCCGTAGGTCTGGCAAAGAGAATGGCGCCGTACCGAACACGCCCGCACTTGGCAGGGTCGACGAGGATATGACACCAATTCCCAACATCGACACCTCCATGTACCAGTCTCGCTCGTTCGTGGATCGTACACCCCTTCCAGAAGCGGACAGCACGAGTACTGCCACTACACCGCTTGTTGTGCTACCGCGACGCGACGGAAAGGGACCTCTCCAGGACGGCAACCAACTGTCGCTTCGAGAGCAGGAAAGCGTGATCGATAAAATCGAAAAAGAAAACTTTGGCCTCAAGTTGAAGATTCACTTCCTCGAAGAAGCCCTCCGGAAGGCCGGTCCTGGCTTTAGCGAGGCGGCATTAAAAGAGAACACCGAGCTGAAGGTCGACAAAGTTACCATGCAAAGGGAACTTCACAAGTACAAGAAGCACCTTACATCGGCGGAAAAGGATCTCGAGAGTTATCGACAACAAATGATGGACCTGCAAGAAAAAGCCAAGCGGAAGTATGCAGACCAGAAGCAGCTGGCAGAGATTGAGCGCTTGCAGCAAGCCCTGGAAGACAGAGAAGCCGACCTTGACGACATGCAGCGCCAGCTGAACCAAGGGCAACAAGACCAAGGCCAAGTGGAAAAGCTGCAGGACGAGATTGGTGATCTGGAAGCAGAACTTCGCGAGAAGGAGCGTTTGCTTGGTGATCAAGAAGATGAAATCGACGACCTCAAAACGAAGCTGGAAGAGATGGAAGACAAGATGAAGGATACCCAAAGGCGGATGATCGAGCTCGAGCAGAATGCGCAGTCCAACGACGCCTTGGAGGAGGCGAAAGATACCATCGACGAGCTGGAGACTAATGTCCGTCGCCTAGAGGACCAGGTCAACGACATGAAAGACAAGCTCAACCAGGCAATCGCAGACAAGGAACAGGCTAAGGGCGACTTGGAAGAGCTTCAAGACGAACTAGCGAACAAGTCCATGGTCACCAAAGGTCTTTCTCGACAGAAGGAAGAAAAGCTTCTGCGGTTGCAGACTGAGCTGGAGGAGGCGGACTCTAAATTCGCCCACATTGAAAAGCAGCTCTCGGATACCATCAAGGAGAACGAAAACCTCAAGACTGCTGCCAAGGAAAGCCTTCGCGAACGCGAAGCCGCCGATCTGGAACATCAGTCTCGACTCGCCAGGATCGAATTGCAGCTTTCCGAAGTGACGAGAGAAAAAGAAAAGCTCAAGAGCATCGCTGAAGATGGCCGTCAAGAGCAGGAATTCTCTGACCGGGAACGTCAGTCGCTGTTGGCTCAGGTGGAGGACCTCAAACATGAGCTGCAGTCTAGGCTGGATGAGAAGAACCTATTGCAGAGCCGCCACGAAGCACTGACGAGCGAGTCTGCCTCTCTACAACGTGACGTGGCACGTCTGCAGAAATCCGTCGATGAGTTGGAAGAAAGTCTTGCCCAAGAACGGGACCATGCCTTGGAGATCGAAAGGGATATCCGTGGTCAATATAGAGATGAGATTGACAGGCTGAACGATGAGATCTCGGACCTCCAGGCCGAAATTCGCGAAAAGGACAACTTGTACGACAACGACAGTGAAAAATGGGAGACGGATCGCCACACTCTGGAGTCAGAACGCAAACGGGCGGAGGAGAAGGCGACCGGACTGGAAAGGACCATCGAGAAGCTCCGCGAAGCAGAAGGAAATTTGTCAACCAAGGAATCCAGACTGCAGGAAGCACTGGAGAGTGAGGCCCAGCGCCACAAGGATGAGCAGGCTTCGCTCACCCGGCAAATCGAGGACCTTCAGCAAAACCTTGAGTCCCGTCAGGCTACGCTCACCGAGCTGCGAGGTGAACTCTCACAGGTCCAAGACGAACTCCGGCAGACTCAGCTGGACTACCAAGCGCAAACGGAGAAGGTTGAAGCGTTGGAGGATGAGGTGGAGGTTCTCCAAACGACTCTGGATGAGGAGTCGGAGCATTCTCGAGAGGAGCTGGAAGCAGCGAAAAGAGAATGTGATACCTTGAGACAGCAACTGGACGAATTGCGTCATGGGGCGGTTTCGGTCTCACAAGAGAGCGCCAAGTCGAACCAAACCATCGACCGGCTTCGAGCACAGCTTGACGAGGCGACATCGCTCGTATCCAAGCTCAACAAGGAAAAAGACTTGCTCCAGGACCAACTTCAGACGCAGATCTCAGAATCTACTGTGCGGGTGAACAAGGTGTCTCGGGAAAAACAGTCGCTACAGGACCAACTTGCCAGCCTAAACCTTGAGATGCATTCTCTGCGCAGCTCATTGGCCGAAGCCAGAGCAGAGCGTGACGAGATCGAGAGCGGGATGAAGCGTATGCATCAAAACGGCGAAGAAACGTTGCGCATTGACCGCGAGCGATTGGACTTGAGGACGTCCAAGATGAAGCTCGACAACGAAGTACGACGACTGAAGGATGAGAATGCCGCCTTGATGGAGCAGATGCAGTCAGTTGAGAAGTCACTAGAGGACGAGATCGAAAAGGCCGCCGAAGAAGAAGATCGCCTTAACCAGGAGATCCGTCAGCTCCAAGCCAAGCTGCGAGAGGTGTCTTCTACAGAAGGCCACGAATCGGTTGCTACCCGGCGCACCATCCGTGAGCTTGAGCGGCGCATTAAGGATTACGAGGACCAGCTAGCACTGACACAGCAGCTTCCTGCCAATGCCGGTGAAGGCAACAGCGAGATATCTATCATCCGCCGTGACCTCTCTACGGCACGGCAGAAGGAGCGGGAATACCTTCAACGAGAGGCAGCCCATAAAGAAGTTGTCAAGGGTCTCAAGAAGCAAATCACGGAGCTGGAGCGGAAAGCTCACGATGCTGAGATGTCCCGACTGATCATGTCTCCTGCATCGTCCAGCCCTTCGGCCAGGAAGTCTGAAGTGTCCGAACTACGGCATCAACTATCTTCGGCACAACAGTCAATGCACGACCTCAAGACCAAGACTCGCGACGCTGAACGTAGAGCCTCGCAACTTGAGCGAGACTTCCAAACACAGCTCGACGATCTGGAGGATCAGAAACTTGCTCTCGAGCAGGCTCTGGAGGACGCTCAGCGAGATGCTGAGGAAGCAGCTGCTCTGCACGAGAAGGCTCTCCGCCGACTCCAGCATAAGCTCGAAAGAGCAGAGCAAGACCGGCAACTCGTGGCCCACGGCCGTCACAACATCGACAACATGTCGTCTTCTGAACGAAGGGATCTCCAGGAGATGCTTCGTAGAACACAAACCGAGGCAGACGCGCTCGAACACGACGTTATCCAGCAGCAAGAGACCATCGACGCATTGATGGCTGCCGAAGGCTCCCTTCGTCGCAAGCTGGACAGGGCACGCAGTGAGCGGGCAGCCTACCGCCTGACCGCAGAGAAGCTGCAAAAAGACATCAGGGACCTCAAGAGGCTCGCCGCGGCCGAGCAGAAGGACCCACAGGCAGTTCGCTTCGCCGACCAGAGGATGAGGGAGACGGACGAGGCACTGGAGACAGTCATCCGCGCCGCCGAGAACGCAGACGCGAAGCACACCAAGGAACTCCGCGGCATGACGCTGCAAATGGAGTGGATGCAGGCGCGATGGAAGCGCGAGGTCAGCATGCGCGCCGACGCGGCGTATGCGAAGAAGTTCTTGCAGCTAGAGCTCAGCATTGCCAACGCATGGTACTTATACACCCCTTCCCCCCCGAAGCCACTGCAGCGTGAGACTAACACTCGAAACAGCAACAAGGCACAACTGCGCGAGCTTGAACAGATCCGCTGCGAGCTCCTCGGCAGCCGCAAAGCCCTGCCGCCCCCGTCCTCGGCACCAGCGAAGAAGCACGGTACCACGGCATCTGGCCGGCCGACGCTCAAGACGGTGGCGACGATGGCACGCTTCATCGCCAGGATGCGCATCTCGGCGCGCGAATGGGCCAAACACGAGGCCACACGCCAGAGGTTAGCGAACTGCGTCGACGAGATGCGCAAGACCAGGAGACGGAAGCAGCTCAAGGTAGTACCGGCGGACGACGTCGTTGCCTGATGGGGCAGCAGGCTTCTCGGTGTCTCCTAGAGGTCCGACCGGGATTGCCAGAACGATTCTACAAGAGCGACCGCCTGTAGGTGTCAGGTTCCGTCTGCGCAACGTTTTCCTTATTGAGCGGCGGCACAACGGAGCTGACGATGCTGCTGCATGAAATGGCGCCCGGCTACTCCGTATACCTAGCTACCCGCACTTCCTCCTCCACGACCACGCCTATGCATCTGCATGAGCAACGATGCGGAACAAGAGTCTTTTATATGTATTGCATGTTTTTGTCTGCATTAGCCTTTGATGTTGTAGCGGCAGCGGGCGGGAACGGAAATGGTACATCGTTTGAAGGGATTGCCACCACCCACTCCTTGGAGTTTTTATCACTTGCCTTGTGGAGAAGGCTCAACAGGCTAGATCATGACAGGATAGGTAGGAGGACGGAAGGGGAGTGGATGAGGATGGACAGGGGGGGCGATTTGAGGGATCGGCGTCTTTGAATGGTTGTGAGCCTATCAAATATTGATACACAGGTCCTCAACTGGCTGGGTTGGCTGGCGTCGAGAGAGAAAGGGAGACGCTGTAGCTTTCCTAATGTCGTTGGTTGGTTGATTGCTTGGATAGGGCAAAGGGTACGGGGAGAAACAGGAGTCTGGTTCATCATGGATTGTTTACTTGTCTGGGTTCATATCATAAAGCACGGCATGATGAATAGATTGCATAGGACATGAACATGGAGAAGCGATTGTCATTCCACGTTAATCGCTGCCAGGGGTGGAATGCCGTAAAGCTAGGTACTTGGGAAGGAGGTGCGTATACTGCTCTCCCACACGCAGGCAATGATGGACACGCCATTCCTGTGACCGTCCAGATGCAGCATCACCAAATTTCCCTTCGAAATTCTTTTTGCTTTTCTTTTTTCTTTTTTTCGTTTTGGCGACCCGGTTAAGGCAAGACAACGAATATGTCATTCTAATTGGACCAAATGGAGCAACAAAAGAGAAAAGGATGAATCAGAATGGCAAGAAAGACAGACTCCACAACCTAAAATAGGAGCCTCCCGCCTAAGGAAGGGAGCCCTCAAACCAACATCAGCATTTTTTTCCCCCGCCAGTCCAACCGTTCGCTTTCCAGTAATGATATTCGTGCCTTACCTAACTCTACCGAGCCTGATGCTGATATTGCGAGGCCGAGACGTAGGGGATTATGACATGTACAGGGCGGGCCGGCCGTTTACACACAGGGTATGATTACAAGATAAACCGAAGGTTGGTGTCTGCAAAGTTAGCGACATGGAACGATGTATGTGGCATTCCTAGGATGGGCGACATACCCAAAGGGTGACTGCATGACAGCTGAGGCTTTTGCGTGTAGCGCGTCGAGAGTTCGTCTCGGATGCTGTTGAGAAGTTGCACATAGCTCTGTTGGGGATTCTTCTTCAAAGCGGTGATAAAGGCCCACGACATTGCGCCGGTGGCTTGAGCAGCGATTGTTGCATCGGCCCTAGCAGTTGGTGTTAGCGAATGCTGAGCCCGACTGTGCATTTTCATAAGGACGCTAGCTGGCAAGGGTTCAGCACCCGCCCGGCCTCTCCACACTCGTGGTCTGAACAGTTCTAACGTGACTCGTCGCTCTAGAAACAAAGCGCGACCGCTGGTAGGTCCAACTTTGATCTAGAGCGTTGGGAAAAGAGATCACTGGCCTGCCTTTGACAGACGCCGAATTACAAGATGTATGTGCCCCAAAATCCAGTTTGGGACATAAGGGAACCCCGACTCGATGCTTTTTTGCTCCCGCTTGTAGAAACGAGCCATCTCACCCGGAGAAGCAACAAACAAGTACTAGCTCGATACAGCAGAGGACTTCCCCCAGGGTATACTTGAAGAGAAATGAGTGTCATAAGGAAAGAAGGGCTTTGCATACGAAGTTTGGTCATCTTTGCTTCCAGACAGCATGACTACGTCGGCGGGTGATGTCTTGGTAGCTATTGTGCGGTTGTATGCATCCTCGCCAGTGGTGGCCTTCTTGAAAAAGCCCATAATGTTGCTTGCAACCCCGCCGAGATCTCCTTGGCTGTATGACGAAATAACGCCGAGAAGCCCTTGGCCGGCTTCCTTGGCAAGATTGGGTTCTTTGAGAATACCCTGGGTTGAGTAAATGTAAGGCAGGTCGAGAGCAGTACCCGAATGGCAGGAGTCGAAAATGGCAGTGAGTCGCACACCAGCCTGTAAAGGTTTCACCATAATTCTATGCATTTCGTCGTCGGTTATATGGCCTGTTTGGCGGAAGTCCACAGGATATATGACTTCGTCATACCCATCAGGCTCATCGCCGTCGAGGTCTTTTGTTTGCCCACCATGGCCTACGGTGGTCAGCTCCTGAGTAGACGTCGCCGCTCCAATACAGCTTACCTGAGTAGTGAAAGAAGAGAGAGTCATTGGGCCTGGCGTCTTTCACCAGCCAGTGCATGGCTCTCAAAAGATTCTGTTTCGTAGGCTGGCTCATGGGGTTTTGCTGGTCATCAGTAAGAATGACCATGTCTTCCCGCTTATACCCAAAACGCTCGACGAGATATGCCGACATGTTCTTGACGTCGTTGATGCATCCGCGCAGTTGGCCGCGCTGGCCAAAGTAGTTGATTCCAATTAGCAGCGCTTTTCTCCGGCCCGTGCAGTTGGAATACTGAAAGGCATATCCGTTGGGCGCGCCGTGCCCGAACTGCTGCGGCGCAGATGGTGGCGGCGGAGGAGCGTGGTGATTTCCGTGCATGTATGCGTTCGAATTCCCCGTCGGTGCACCTGATGAAGGCCTTTTCAGCAACCCATAACTTCCAATTCCTCAGCTTGAGAGCCGGGTTCCCGAACTCACCTGGGCGATTGTTGTAGTTGGGCTGTGGAGGCTGCTGGTAGCCGCCATATTGCGGTTGGGGGGGCTAAAGACGAGTTTAGCTGAAAATAGTCCGACAATGGTGGTGACCAGCCGTACCTGGTTGTAACCATAGGGCTGGGGCGACGGTTGTTGGTAGCCGTATCCTGACCCTGCGGGAGGATATCCGTTGTACCCTTGCTGCGGAGGACTTCAAGCCCTCAATGTTAGCATCTGAGCGCGCAGGGCGAGGGGAGGTTGGCGATCGCACGGGTAGTAGCTGCCAGAAGGCGCGTATTGTTGCTGAGGTGGGCCGCCTTGATATCCTCCATATTGACCTGGGTATCCTGACATCTTGTCGCGTCGATAAGACTGTAAACAGACTCGGTCTAGGGGTATTGGGCGACCAAAGGCCAACACGGCGTGGTCGTGGGAGGATGTAGCTCGATGGAATGGTGTGAAAAGATAGGGATGCCAATAGCAGGAGCGTTCGGGAGCTGATCTTATTTATATATGGGCGAAGACGACGGGCATCTGGTTGTCGCGAGATCGAGAGACAGCGAGGAGAAGCGAGGGGTGTAGAGTTGAGGTACAAGTGGGGGATGAGAAGGCGCGTGCTTAGGTCTCGAGGCTAGTTCGTTGAGCGTAAGGACAAAGTCAGCCTTCCGGGAGGGCGCAAACAGCTTAAGCAGCGTGGGCAAGTTTGTCGACACGAGGATCGGAACCAGGACAAGCTAAGTAACTATGTTAGACCAGCAAACGGATCATGCAGCAAGGGTGGGTTAGGGACCCTGCTAGCTGACACCTGGTGATTAAGAACCGGGCTCTCGGACGGATTTGGGGTAGGAGTCGTCTTGGGCGGATGAAGAGAAAGAATGAAAGAGGATCAACGGTACGAAGCAGTCAATTGAGTAGCTAGCGCAACAGAAAGAAGGTGTGAGTCGGGGTGGCCGTAGTAGAAAGGGCAACGATACACTGCGCCCTTGAGTTGTCGGAGCTGAGGCGAGCGAAAAGACTGACGGGTAGTAAGCGGAGCGTTCGGGTATAGGAAGCGAGGAGTGAGGAATGCAAAGGTAAAATGTGCTGGCGGAATGAGGAGGAGGAAGAGGAGAAGGAAGAGGAGGAGGAGGAGGAGGAGGAGGGCAAGGAACCACGAGATGCGCCTCGGCGTTGCGGCGGTGGAGGGGTTGATTCGAGTTTAGGTTACCTACCTGCCTACCTACCTACCTACCTACCTACCCACCTACCTACTCAGTAGGTACCTACCTACCCTCTCAATCGTTTGGCGGGGGTTGCTGACGTGCGAGAAACAAGGCGAGGTACACAAAGATGGAGCAGCTAACAACCTAGACTACGTAATGTCGGGCCCATCGGGCCAGTCTGTCGCAGTCGCCGAGGGAGGCGATGGCATGTGGCAGAGGAACGCACGGTGGCTATTGATTGGGCTTAGACGGAAAGGACGGCAGACGGCAGACACGGCCTCGATGGCCAAGAGCCTTTTGCTAGCGGAGGTGGATCCGAGTACTTGTTTATCAAACCCCAGGTCGTGTGTTTCTTAAGGTACACCAATATCTACCTACCAACCTACCTCCATAGACAGGTCACTGGTCTTAGCTAAGCAGATACAACGGCAAGGCCAAGAAGGAGAAGAAATAACACACCACAGAAAAAAAAAAAGGGTGCAGATGGGCATCAATCATCCATGTGCACGGACCGACAATCTTTAGGTCCGGTGAGAGCCGAGAGATGGGCGCAGAGACAATGACGCTAAGCCTCACCAGGACGTTCATCATCAATAAACTCCTGCGGTGCCACTATGCAATGCCGCGTCCCTGAGAGGGCACCTACACACATTATTATGTATCGCCAGTCGCGGATGTATGTGTGTGCAGGTGCGTGCAGGTATGTGTCCTGCCCCAGTCACCCGTGACCTGGCTGTGGTATTCTTATGTACACCATACTAGGTACCCAACTGCTAACCTACCTACCTGGTAATACCCTGGTACCTAACACAACTCCCCACTGTACCGGATAACCAGGGTTCGGTTCCATTGTTTCTGCCCTGCCATGTGCGACGGTTAGACTCTATGTACTCTGGCATCGTCGTCATTTCTCTGGTCTTGGGCCGACGAGTTTCCTCTATGCCAATCTGGATACCTACCACATACATAGTAGGTAGGTACGCTACCTAGCTTGGTAGGCTCGCGCACACCTCACGTCTACAACGTCGACGGCGATATCAATTACTTAGATACAGATACCATCCTACAGATGCAGAGCCGTTGCATTCCTTTTGCGATCCGCACCGCCATCAGCCGCAGCGCCACACCCACCCCCCCACGTTTGCGTAACTTTTGCCAAAACCCAAACTCCACGTTTCCAACTTAATCAACCCCGACCTGGACCGGCCAGTCGGTCTCGGCAGAAGTCACCAAAACAGAATAGTATCCAGCACACCTCCAAGTCGCGCGTGAAACACCGCCTTGCCCTCCTTTGAGGTTGCTTGCATGCATGCATGCCTACCTCAAATCGGCTCCCCTACATTCCTTACGTCCACATACCTGGATTGCCTACTGTACCGGTCAGTACCTTGGCCTGACGACGACGACGACGCTTAATTAACCTGGGTTCCTTGACCCTGCTTGCTTCTGCTCGAATCCCCACCCAGTCCCGCTGAGCCTTCACCCCTGGTCCAGCTGAGGGATTGTCGCGAGCGATTACCGATCTACGGCCGTCAGTGCGAAACGACATACCGCTTAGACACCGTCTCGCGTCAATCGAGCCATACATTGAGCTGGCTTCACCTGCCTCCAACAACATCAAGATAAAAACGCCTTGTGAAGTTGCAAGAGTCAAGACTGTGTTTCGGCGGCCGCCGACCGCCACTGCGTCGTTAGGCCATTCCGCCCCGCAGTAGTGGTTGAGAGGTTCTGCTTAAAAATAAAATAAAATAAATGACATGGTATTATCGGCTCCTGGTCCAAATATCTGCTCCCAAATTCACATTCAGGCCCATTGCTGTCTCACGGGGCTTCCTGGTGCGTGATCTAGCGGAGCGTGGTGTCGATAGCGACGGATGCTGTTCCCCTAGTTGGCCGGTTCCTCCACTCGGCCCGTCGCCTCTAACGCCACAAGAAATAAAGATGGGTACGATATCTGTGGTTGACAGGAGTCAAAGTACGCACCCTATTAATCCCCGATCCAAAAGAGGTAAGGTGACGGGAATGCCGATCACTGTGGCGCACCTGACCGACAGGGGCGGCACCGGATCACGGCGAATGACAGACAGTCGTTCCTCCGTCCTGGCCCTTGGACCCCTTGCTCGGAGCGAGAAACTTGGGGTCCAGAAGCAACACCGCTGGCATATGCACAGGCGGTATCCAGACCTCGAATCCCAACCGCCCGTCTACTGTCTTAGACACCGTCACTCGCACAATATGTGTGAGCTTTTGGCGTCTTGACCACTCATCACACCGAGTTGCACACTCGAGATGCCTCCATTCCCTAAAGACGTCTCAAATGCAATGTCTCAACGACCTGAGAACGTGGCTACAAACCCCAATGGCGATTGGGAGACCTCGATAAATCTAGAGAAGCCATGCCTACACTACAGAAGACGTCATCTTTGCACTAGCAACGCAACAGCAGGCGCGGTGCAGTGTCTCTGAGCATACCGGCGGCTATTACCGTAAATGGACGCTTGTCCGATGGATTGGACACCAGGCTACTATGTTACGAGAGGGCGCCGACGCGAGCCAAGACTCGACGTTGGCGAGGCCACACAACGTTAATCAAGCCTCTGGTACCAAGCCTCTGGCACATGGCGGCACGGCACGGATTCCCTGGGGCTGCTTGAACAACCAATACCGGATGGTTCACTCCTAACCGCGTGCAACACCTTGGAGCATTGAGTTGTACCGACACCCCCGTGGCCTTGAGATATCCCTTCCTTCGATATTAGACAAGGCATATATGTTGTCTAGCCGACTCCGAGATGTAGCGTGCGTGCCTGCATGAAGCCATCCCAGCGTTGACAAGCCACGTGGACCCTGGCCCCCATCTGCTTGCTTGGAATTCTAGTATCCTCCCGCATTCCGGCCAAATCCAGATCTACTCGGACCAGATTATGCGCTTCCCAAAATACCCCGAAGCCACGTCTCGGAGCAAACTTCCCCTAGGAGACTCACCGGTACCGCTGCATATTAGCAGTGGCTTCCGAAGCCCGTGGCAGACACTATCCCGGGTTGCAATGCAGTCGCTTCCAACACCATCGGCTTGGCACCCACTCCCTAGAAATCCGGAGCGTTTGCCTTTTGCACCGGAGCAGTGATTCTGTAAAAATAGAAGCGTTTGGAGGCTATTGCGTCTTTTGTTTGATTTTGAACACCCCAACGCGATTCCATGAGCCCATGCCCCCCCTTTACCCAGGGTCATGAACCATCCGTGACTTAACCACGCTGGGAATTTGCTGCCAGGTTGTAATCAATTACAGCAGTGTGGCGCCGTGGAGAATGCCAAAGTATGCGACAAGAGCGAAGCAAATCGCGCAAGCTCCTCCAGGAGCGGTCCTAGGATCGGGCACCGTCGACCAGTCGAACCCCGCCACCTGGTCGTCAATATCTTCGTTGGTGCTCGAACATTGGGGATTCGACAGATAACCGTGGCCGCTCAGACCCGGAACCGTCTAACTGGCGGATCACGAGGATGGGGGGCCCTTCCCTGCTCTCGAATGCCGCAGACACGATCTCTCTAATCCACGTGCAAGTGCGTCGTGCTCTTTGGCTTCCGCTATGAGCTCGGCGACCAGTATGGCCTATCGAGAAAACCTCGGCCCCGGTTGCTGGCCACTTGGTTGGGGATCATATTATGAAGACCACGATCCAACACGGCCAGAGGCCGGGGAGGTGCGGCGCGCTGCCGAGGCAGCCGCCCATTCAGGTTCGAGCAGTCTGTTCGATACCTTCCCGCTCTGGTCGTTTGACCTGGCTGGCTTAGCATACGTCGGGGAGAAAAGCCGCGAGTCTGGTTCGCTGCCCTTCGGCCGTGGACGGCAAACCTCTCTGTTGTGCCAAGCCTGGTCGGGAGGTTCGATACGGTGGTTCCAAGGCCACTTTCACAAAAGTTGCACGCCAAGCTCGAACCAACGAGAAGTCTTCTATCGTGTTTTGCCACCCAAAGATAAAGGTTGGCCCGTCATCTATTCCCATCAAACTGTCGCCAGAGGTATGATATCCTGGGCCGGGCTCGCAAATTCTACACGCAGTCCCAGAGTCAGAAAGCTGCATAACTTCGTCATCGAGGGAAACGGGTACTTGTTCCAAGATAAAGCCGGCAGAGGGGAGAAACAATCGGCGCCTAGCATGTGGCCATGCAAACTCGGCTCATGCCGTGATATACTATAGGATCATCGGGTCCTTTCAAAGCATGGGGCCAGACTGCAATAGAACAACGCCACGGATAATCGCCATGACCTGGGGAGGCACTTGGTTTATTGAAAATCATCTTTGTACAGCAGCCACGTAGGCAAACTAACGTACCCAGAAAGGAAATCATCGGCTTTAAAGGATGCTCGCTAGTCGACAATGCTTTACGCACCAGTCATCTTGACATCCTCTCCTGTCTTCTCGGCCGTTGTCTCTTCCTTTCTCATGAGCCAGGCCATCAACGACCAAACCAACTTCATGGCGTCAAGACGCTGCTCCAACACGAAAAAGTCGTACCAGGGACTGCGACGCGCTTCCAACTGGCCCCAACTGCGGTGGACGCCACCCTCGTCCGCACCTTCAAGTACTTCCAGAAGGCGCTCCGGCACACGCACGCGCAGGATACTGATGTGGTGGAACAGGGAGCTAATAACATAAATGTCGTCGTAGCCAGCTCCTTTAACCTTGCCAATGGCCTCGTAGCGAGTCTTATGGTCCCAGCTGGCCGAGGGTGGGCGGACCATACGGTAGTTGTCGTAGATGGACATGTTCTTGCGCGGTCGCTTACTGGCGGGCTGTCCCGTCCCGGCGTTGACGTTGTCCTTGTCGCCCTGGATGGCATCCCTCTCAACCTCGCGGCCGATGGGACCTCCAGGACCTCCCCCCCAACGGGGCTTGGTAGTCCACCAAGCACCATCACCAAACCGCTTCTCTGTCTTGCCCTCTCTCGCACGATGCTGTGCCGTGACGAGGGCAGCTACCAGCTCACGTGCCAGATCGATGTCCTGGTCGTTTTTGCTTTCAAATGAGATGGTTGCGCGGGCAGAGACGGCGGCCAGAGGACCTTCCACCACACCTTGCCGAGCAGCTTCGCGCGTCCTCGGGGTGCGGAAGATGAAGATACATCCAGAAGCAAAGTAGGAGCTTCTCGGGGCCTGAGGTTCAACCTGATGCTTGGACGGCTGCGAAGGCGGGGGTGCGGCCGTAATGTGCAGACGGGGCTCGGTTCGGGGAGCGGAAACGTTGCAGCCAAAGTCATATGCCACGAGCTTCAGAAAGGCTGTCAGAAGGCTCTGGCGACACTCGCCAGGCATCGATGAACCGGCCGAGCTGCGGATGACACGTTGGTAGGCCGGGGTCGACGGGTTGGCCCGCTCAGACTTGTCCGTATCGACGACGGTCTTGTCTCCATCCGTCTCTCCGTGGGGCTTTGCGGGGTTGGAAGTATCGTCCCAGTAAGGAGTGAAGGCCTCGAGGCATCTGAAAAACTCGTACGAGTTTCCAAGGCGTGCCTGCTGTTGGCCCTTGGGGGCGGGGATGCGCCTTACTGTTCGGAAGGCATCCTCATTGGAATGAGATAGCTCACGCTTACGGTCGAGGTAGGTCTGACAACCAGGAGACTGAACGCCGTTGTTCAAAAGGTTGCGCGTCTCTGCATTCTTCTCACTTGCTTCATCTGGGGAGAGCTGGTCCCATCCCTCAAAGTCGGGCAGGCAAGCCGAGTCCGGGATCAGGTCTGCGGGAGGGACGTCCGGGATGAGGTGTACGCCCAATGCGTTGAAGACGGCGGATGTGACGTCTCCGGGGCGATATACGCTTTGCAAGACCGAAGTCAATGGCTTCGTTTGGCCGGCAGGCGCCAGGGGGGCATGCAGCTGGGGTCGGCTCTGAGGAAGGGTGACGGGCGTTGGAGGGGGCACATCCTTCGGATCGACCTTGACACCTGTTGGCAGATTTGCTAGGGGACTACTGTTAGGATGACATATTCTTCCATCTCTCAAAATAAAGGCGTGTGGGCGTGACAGCGGCTTCGACGGTACAAGACAGGAGCGACGTGTAGGAGGGTAAGACAAGACGCCGAGGGTTTGATTGGCTGAAGGCTGGATCAATGATATAGGTGATGACCTCGGACGGCGGAGGCGGATGGGGCCGGGCCTATGCGACCGCGCGGGCGGGCCGCCAAGCAGGAAGCGCCAAAGAACGGGAGTAGATCAGGCAGGCTGGCACGGGGGGAAGGCGTTCCCGTTGCAGGATCGCGAGGCATGGCATGCTTGCGTGCGAGGCTGAGCACCGACGAAGCGTTGAAGGCGTTGCACGACGGATTGGGCGGTTAGAGGAACAGAGGAGATATGCCGTTGAAAGGGCCATGAAGCAAGGAAAGACTGGGAAGGGCACAGGCATCTCGGACAAAGGAAGAAGGCGAGGCAGGGCCGTCTGCTGCGTCGCACAGATGGAGGAGAGCCGCTGGCATTGATTGGACCAAGTGGAAAGGATGAAATTGTCAACTCACCCAAGGCGGGATATGTGCCAAACATGGTGTTGTGAAGGTGCCAGACAGGTTTTCTGGTTGTGTTATGGGCACAACAATGATATTGTGCGTCGACGGGCCGTGAGATTAATAGGTAGAGGGACAAATTGTGGTACTGTCAGCGGTGGTGGGAATGGCGGTGGTGGGGAGAGAGGGTGGGCGCGCGAAAGGCGAGCGGGGTCGAGACCTGGTTAATTCTGCTGGAGACATATGGATGGAGAGAAGAAATCCGTATCCCAACTTCGGCTCAGTTGAGGGACATGGTTACTACTCGGGTCGATCTGACTTGGTACGTCGCGACTGGCCTCGCCCTCTCCTTTTCGGGTTGGGGGAATCAAGGAGAAAAGAGGGCAAAAGCAAAGAGGAGAATGGAGAAAAGAAAAAAAAAGATCTGAACAGAGTGTAGACGAGTAAAGGGGTAACAGGAATCCAATCCGACCCCCGAGATGGCATGTCGGAAGCAAGCAACGCAACTTGCAAGCATGCAACCCGAATGAAGCCGGCTCGGGGACAGCGCTGCAGTGACCTACCTGCCTTGTCAGTCCTAAGGGAAGGCGAGGTGGGCGAGATGAGGAGCTCACAACAGAGGGCCGCAGAAGCGAGAACTTGGCGGCCGTTTCTGTCCGCAACCGACTGGTAGACGGGTGGTTGGTTGCTTGGGTGCCTTTGGGCGGCGCGTTGAAGGCGTTTCCCAGGGTTGTTTGTTGTGTGGTGCTGATCACAGCCAGTTGGGCCTTTGTCCTGTTGGACCGAATGGCCAGCGGCCCACATGTGCGATGCATCGTTGCTGCAACTCGGTCGGCGCTGGGGAGGGAAGCAAGCTGTGTCCTAGTCTCCGACTTCCAGCCGCCAGTATCCGTACCACAAGCTCTAACAGTCGGACCCCCTGCGTGCGGTGGGTGGGGTGGGCTCTTGTCCGGCTGGCCCCCCCGACTCCTTCTTGTAACGGCTGCGGAGAGCGGTCGATGTTTCCGCGAGGGGCTTTCCTTCGACGTACCCACCCTGACTTACTAAGGGACCTCGGTACCTACCGCTGCTGAATCGTCCGCGGATCGGATAAACATGGCGGCGGCGTCTCCATCGTACGGCGGCGGCGTACCGACGGGGCGGGTATTCGACATTCCGGGCACTGACGCCGACCGCTCCGTCGCATGGCGAACCTGGCATGGCCCGAAGAGGAGGGCCGTCGGCCGAGCGAGTCAGCATCCCACGGGCAGCCGAAACCTTACGAGCGGCCAAGCCTAGGTATTGGGTATCCGGCCCGCCCGAGATCTGTCATTGACGTCTGTCTACCTCCGTAAGCTGAATCCCTTTTGCATGCTAGGTATGCCGCCCTGTACGTGTCACCGTTCTGCCGCTCCGATCAAACTTGGGCCCCTAGCGCGAAGTCTATTTGCAGATTGCCCTCCTCGCCTACCGTGTTCCGACCCAACTGGCCGGTGCCGCTCCTGTGTTTCGGGAGAGGGATGGATCCAGTTGCCTCTCGTGTCAGCTACAGAGCGGAGTGCATACGGTATACCTGCCCGCCTGCGTGACAACCTGAGGCAACCCACATGGCGAGGATGCGTGGCTCTTCAACGGCTCGTTGCCCTTGAACCATGATGCCTGTCTGCCTGCCTGCCTAGGTAGGTACCTACTAGTTTATCTACCTACGCCTCCGATTGATGGCGGCCTCGGTGGCCGTAGTGGTGGTGCAGAAGCTTCCCGCAGGGGGGCTTGACGTGCAGACGTCTTTTCTGTGGTGCAGCATGTTGATCCAACTTTGATGTTAAGCTCTGCTAAAACTAAACATAAACAATCTGCGGGACGGTAATAGCATTGAGTAGCCTTCATAGCCGTTTCCTACTTTGTTTGCTCTTCGAGTCGCCCTCCCATTCCCGGCGGAGGTCCAAAGTAGGTGACTTATTACCAACACCGAGAAACACCGTGCTGTTCCTCCTTGTTTGCCTCCCAGTTCATTCTCGTTGTGCCAGGTCACCTGCCTCGCCTTTGTCTGCCCAGGCGGGCGACCTTACGTAGCGCCAGACTTACTCGCCCTACTCCTTCTTGACACCACCCAGGCAGACTCTGAGCACAAGCACACCCAACACACAGACGTGAGAGCGCACCGGTCACGTACGCGTAACCCTGTTTCGGCAGTCTTCAAGCCCAGGGGAAGAAAGAAAGAAAAATCATGACAAGAGGGAAGCTAGGTACACCCAATCCACCCAAGGCACGGCTGGTTCTCGACGCACGTTCATCTCTTTCCCTCTCGCAATGTTTGGTGATTGGGCACTCGGGCAGCCCGCCAAACCGTCCGATATATATGACAACTTTGTCTTACATGGAACTAACTAGTCTCATCACCACGAGAGCCAATCGCTTTCTGGCCATCACGAAGCATCGAATTTGACAGCATACTTGGCATCGCCTACCATTGCCTTATTGAGTTTGTATTGCTGTCTTGCTCGATACGGTCCCGACTGCCAACCCGCAAGATATTCCGTGACTTATTCCCCGATGACCCTGTAATAATAGTTGGCCATCGAGTTTCACTCTGCCTTTATGGTTGTTCGCCTTTGTTTGAAGATCTGGGGATCCTGCACGCGATAAGATGCACGTAAACATGACAACGGCCCATCATTGCATCAACACTGCACTGCACTGCCTTGGGAGCGACTCGGCTGGCCTGCGAGCCGGCCACCCGGAACGGAAATCCCTTCATCGTGTGCATCTATCTACCTATTAGAAGGGGGTTGGACGCCAAACTGGACCGACCGAGACCCTCCCGGTTTTGTCATTCTTTTTGTTTCTTCTCGTTTTCCCATGATAAGTGCAAGCCGAACCCTGGTTGGGCGGCAAATGTGGCGGTAAGAGTTTGACGAATGGGCTGTGCAATGAGCATGTCAAGCCGATATCCGAGACGTGCTTACAAGACGGTACCTAGGTAGTCGAGATTCTAGGTATTCTTGATCCCCGGCACCGGCGCGGATAAAGGGCAGGCGGCCGAGGGCCCAGCGTGTCAAGACGCCTTCGCGTGCTTCCAGGGTGCAGGAGGCCTGTCAGTTGATCGACCAACCAGCAGCCCCCTGAGCGTTTGATGTCTCGGTGGGGGGTGGCGAGAGAGAAGAGGGTCATGACCAACAAGGCGTGGTTCTTCTCCCAAACGGGTAGCGGGATGCCCTTCGCTTCCGTGTGCAGGCTAGGTAGGTAGAGCCTGGGGGCAGCCGTCCCAAGCACCCACTTTGGGTGGTTATGCCACGAGGCCGAGAGGCCAGGGTCCTGCCTGTGACGAAAGGTCTGTGATGCTTGGACTCTTACAGCGATATGTCATGCGCTATATTGGACGCCCGTCGTCTCACCACATATCTGTTTGCGCACCTTTGCCTGCCTCGACTGTCTTAATTCTCACACTATCAGAAGCCGTCCAAATCGCTTGCGGCTTGGCAAGCAAACCATGCTGCGGCGACCGTGACTAAGGATGGGGGGAAGAGAGTTGTTGCAGCTGAGCTTCTGACGATGCAAACGTGCAATTCCAAGCAAATACCTAGTCCCTTGCGACCTTTGGTTGGCCGAGACCCTTCGTCCTCAAAACATCAGGTGAAGCAACACACAATGGAGCTTGGCCGAAGAGGAGACGAGCGTGAAGTGCCATCGAGGAGGCTTTCCGCCAAGTGTACCACCGACCAGGTGGCCATGAGAGAGATTCTGGCAGATGAATGAATGGGCGACGTGTCCGCAATCAGGTCGACTGGACCGCGTGGACAAGGACTCGGCTCCTCGGCCCCGCTTCGTGGATACTGTTTCTTGTTTCGTGCAGGCCTGCGCGCGCGCAGCACAGCGGTCTGTCCGTACGGCACTGTCTCATGTGACCGGAAGAGGAGCGAGGTGCTTTCTGGCCAGTGGTCGTGGCAGGGCTTCTCCGGATTTCCGAGCGATAAGAGGGACAGGCTACCGCGGTGGGCGGCCCGCATCTTGTTTGAGAGATGAAAGCGGACGGGGCGTACGTCCAGTTTAGATTGGATGCTATTTACAGATGACCTTGACGCTCACGAGGTGGACCGAAGAGGTGAAGGCCCAAAGGGAGCGGGCGAGGTCGAGGAGAGAGGGGAAGCTGAGAAGGACAAGAGAATGCCTTGCCGGGGATTGAGGGTCACATGGCTTGCAGTCGGCCGGAGATGTAAACTCGAGATGGTGTACATGATGGTAGGCGATGCGCGCGGCTGGCCAGTGGCAAGACACATACATGCACACTACCTACCCACGGCGATGGATGAACACGATGGGTGACGACGACGATGGCAAATGGCGGAGGAGAAGGGTGTGACCCTGAGGGGATGGGACGATGCCCAGTGGAAGCGTCTCCTTGGAGCTCAAACTCAACTCAAAAAAGGAAGATGATGTTCCGGGTGGAGGCGAACAGACGAAGGAAATAAAGATGTTATGGTTTAGACGTTGGCCTACCTGGGTACAACGAACTCTTGCGGAAGCGTAGGTAATGGCGTACGTCAGGTCCCTGACCTCTGCAGGTGTTTCTGTCTTGTGGCCGATTCGGGGCCAGAGAGCGGGTCTCATGCAGGGGTAGAAGACGCCAAACAACCCGGCCGGGATCCGACGGGTGCCGTGAACTCCAAATCTGTGTACACTACCTTTCTATCGGGCTTCCATTGCTGACGATGACTTGGAACAGATGGGAACACCCAAGTGTACCCGGTGTACGGATATTGCACTGCGTATGGCAAAAGACGGACAGGCCAGGCGTGGGGGAAGGGGCCTCCTCAACGCACCTTTCGGGGCTAAGCTGTCGCAGATCTGGCGGGAGGAATGAGATGCAGCCATTCATAATCGTCCGTTCCTCAAATCGGTTCCAATGGACAAGGCTTTTTTTTTTTCTTTCTTTTTCTTTTCTTATTTTTTTTCTTAGTTTCTCGAGTATCTAGTGCATAGGTAAACTACCTGTAGGTACGCTAGGTACCCTAAGGTGCCTTAGTTTAAAGTGTCGCCAGAAAGGGAGGGGGTGGGGAGGGG